CTGTTAGAAAAAGCAGCCAGGGTCGTTGAAGAGCCCCTCGTCACACCACCCGAGTCCCAAAAGGCAAAAGGCGCTGCGAGTGACGGGTACTTTGAGGAAACAAACCTGGGGGTGACCACGTTGGCGGTACCCTCGGGGCCTGCTGTTTCTTGGCGCTGAGGTGGGGTTGGATCGGAGATCTGGAGAACATCCCGTGGTGTTGCGTTAAGGACGTGGAGTTGGCCGATGCTTACGCGAGATAAAGCCTTCAGGATGAAGCACTTGAGGCGAGGCAGGTTGAATAGCAGGTCTGATAGGCCGGGGCCACGTCATAACATGCCACTCCCATACGACGGCCTGGCTGCGCCGCACATCTCACGCAAAGGGAAGGCATCGTGGGCAGGAGAACATCCTGTAGTATATTGCGGTGGCGTTGCGAATACGCCGCGTTAAGGGGTAGAAACTCAGTCTGGAACTTGCTGGAAGGGAAGGAAGCAACTCTGGAAGTTGTGAACAGCCGGTATCAGAAGTTGAAAAGGGAAACGGGACAAGGCTCTCCCGGGGATGTGGGCAGAGGCATGCCAAATGCTGTGCTGCAACGCTCTAAGAGATGCATGCCTTTCTATTGATGGGCCAGCACTGAATGTTGCCAATGCCTGCCACGGGGGTATCCCCGTTGGTTTCTGCCGCGGGAGCCAACGGTTACCGGTAGTTGAATGTTGTAGAGTTTCCATAGCGTGCTCAAGGTATGACGGGATATCTAGTTCAGGTTAGTTCGTGAGGTGACAGATACCGCGCTGCCAGATTGGCAACTGCATAACCTAGAGTAGCATGTTCGCGTTTGTGTCGTTTATGCATCTCCCTCTTCGCCGATCAACTCGATTGCAACCCATCCATATTGGCATCGGGGTCTCAAACTTCCAATGTGCGTGGGCGCAGTAGTATCACAGCGGAGGCGAGTGAGACGGTGAGTGCCGCTTGGTGATGAAATGGAAGTATAGATAGGCCATCAAAGCGACAGTGGTCGACGTCGAGGTCAATGTTAAAGCCACCGGCCCAGGGCTAGAAGTGGGCTAGAAGTGGCTGGCCTCTCCAACAGCCTCGACGTCCACCCCGGCGTGAACACAGTCATCCATCAATCCAACGCACCTGCCACGTTCTGAAGCATGCCACATCTGGCCTAGCGCTGAATCGTCTGGACACTGGTGTCTGTCCCCTTGGGAGGGGGGCTTGGCCAATGGGAAGCGAGCGAAAGCGTGGCAGGCATGGGGGAATAATCCGCGGTGGTCTGATTCTCACTCGATCCTGTCGTGCGCCCAAAGCCCATCATGCCACTTTCTGGAATCGTTTGAAGTGCCCACGAGGCGATCTTTAATTGTGTCGAACCACCACCGAGCTTTCAACCTGCAGTTGCAAGCTCGTCAGTTCCTGGCCCCCCCTCTTTTCCACCCCCCTCCCCTCTACTTGTGGTACTGATTGGCCTTTTTTTCTCTTTCTTCTTTTCACTCTTCTCTCTTCATCGCCAGTCCAATCCCTCCGTGTATCTGCTGTAGCTACAGCCTACCATTCGTGTTGGTACTGGTCGTTTTGCACCCACTGTTCTGGTCCTGATCAGCCCTGGTCTGGCTGCATACTCGGTGACCTCTTACCTATTCCACCCATTATATTATATATCATTATATCTCGAGTACCACCTTCAGATCCAACGTCTTCCCCCCTCGTCGCGCATAAAGCCTCGGACGGAAAGACACCACAATACACACCACTTAAAACGGCTGGAGCCGTGCCTCGCTTTCCGACCTCGCTTCGAGCCCCCACGCCTACTTCAGCGCGCGCCTTTGTGCCCCAGTGTGGTGTAACTCGACGCGCACATTGCATACTTGACCCCCAAGCCCGAAACTCTCCAACTCTACTGTGCGAGCGCGGCTATTCCAACATCGTCCCGGTTGTCACCGAAATTCTTCGCACTAGACCGCCTGTAGTAGCCAGCTAGCCAGACACTTCTGCGCCGCTCGGCATACCTTGTTGTTTACGAACCCGGACCCGCATTGTCTGTGAGCCTGTGATATCGACAAACGCTGTCGATCATGGCACCCGGTGTACTGAACTCGGACGGTTCAATGGATGACCAGAACGGTCAAGTCGGCCAAAACGGCCAGACTGCCCCGGCCGGCAACGCCGCTGGGCGTTTAAACGCCTTCGACGCCACGTTAGACACTCTCACCCACTTACGTAGTCTGCCCGAGCCTCCTACGGAGGCCCAGGTGTGCGTCGTTGGTGCTGGTCCCGCCGGCCTCATGTTGGCTGCCAATCTCAGTCGATTTGGCATCAAGGTTGAGGTCATTGACGATAGGGCCGACCAGACGCCCGTTGGAAGGTAGGTAGAAGAAGTGCAGACCTCCCTCCATGGCAGTCGCAAGCTGACACTACGTGTAGGGCAGACGGGCTGCAACCCAAGACTATCGAGACCTTCCGTCAGATGCGCCTGGCCGACCCTTTGCTGCTCCGAGGCGTTCGCGTATACGACATTTCCTTCTGGCGGAGCACCGCCGACGAGCCGCTCCACAGACTGGGCCGCGAGGTCCACTACCCTCCCGTCATCGATGTCCTAGATCCGTACATTCTCCTCGTGCACCAGGGCATGGTTGAAGGCATCTTCATTGACGACCTGAAGAAGCGCGGGGTTGAGGTACGCAGGAATACGGCGTTCGAGTCCTACAGCGTCCCGGAAAACAAGGCCGGGCCTCTCCAAGTCAATTGTCGCACAAACGTCACCCAAGACCGGCGGACGATCCTCACACAGTATCTGGTTGGATGTAAGTAACTTGGGCGAAACTGGCCTCTCTTGCCAACGGGGAACTGACATGGCGCAGGCGATGGTGCCCACTCCAAGGTGCGGAAGAGCATTCCAGATGCGCGGGCAATTGGCCTGTCGCAACCGGCAATCTGGGGTGTTCTCGATGGCGAGCTCATCACCGATTTCCCGGACATTTGGTCCAAGACACTAGTCTACTCTCAGGAGTACGGATCCATTCTCATCATACCCAGAGAAAGGAACATGACACGCTTCTACATTGAGCTCAAGGCAAACCCCAAGGCAGACAAGCGAGACCTTGGCCAGGAGTTTGTCATGGCTCGCGCGAAGAAGATCATGGCACCTTTCGAAGTTGACTGGAAGTACATCGAGTGGTTTGGTCGTTACCAGATTGGTCAGAGAGTGGCCAGCCGATTCGTCGACCCCCATTTGAGGGCCTTCCTTGCGGGTGACGCCAGCCATACACACTCCCCGAAGTCGGCTCAAGGCATGAACACCTCCATGCACGACTCGTGGAACCTTGCCTGGAAGCTGAACCTGTCCATTCGAGGGCTCGCGAAGCAAGCCCTGCTCGAGAGTTACGAGGAGGAGCGAAGAAAGATCGCCATCGATTTGGTTAACTTTGACTACGAGCACGCGAACCAGATTGCTGGCGGCGACGCAGTAGCCCTATCTGAGAACTTCAGGACGAACGTTCGTTTCATTTCTGGTATTGGTGCCGAGTACTCCGAGAGCCCGTTAAACAGGGCCACCCCTCAAGGCCTCATCATGGGAGATGCCAGGCCTGGTTGCCTGCTTCCTCCTGCCAAGGTCACTAGATACATCGACTCCAACCCCGTAGACATCCAGATCGACATCCCGATGCTTGGGCAATTCCGCATCTACCTCCTCATGTGGGACATTCAGGCGTCGAGCCCCTTCCTGGAGACCTTCTGCCAGTCCCTTGCCTCGGCCAACTCTTTTATCAGCAAGTTGTCTGCTTCCGCAAGCGCTTCCTATGCTGCGCAGCCTAGACTGCCGTGCCCGGAGGACATCTACTACCGGCCCGAAAGATACACCGCCGTCAGCCATCTCTTCACTTTTGCCTTGATCAGTAAGTACTCTCCGGTCGACACTGTGGTGCTGTCACTAACATGAGCGCCAGCCACGATGCCCAAAAGCGATGTGGAGATCTCGGACCTCCCGGCTCTGCTACAGGACAGCCGTTGGACCTTCTACCTGGACGACATTCCAGAACAGGATACACGTGGCCAGCTTTGCACCAACAAGTGGCTTGGCAGCCTCGGACCCGGTGAGCTTGCCATAGTCAACGTACGTCCGGACGGCTACGTAGGCTCCGTCGGTCGATGGGACTCGAGCATGGACGACGCCGGTGAGGAGGCTGCCCGGTGGTTGGACGACTACTACAGCGGCTTCCTTCAGTTGCCCAACGGCTCATCGCCTACTCCTACTCCGACCCCCATGGCAGTTTAGTCATGTCAACTCTTCAATCTCGAGCCCGCTCTCAGGAGCTACTCGTTGGGCATTTCTGTAGCATACAAATCTCACATCACACGACACGCAACACATAAACAATAGCTTGACGATACCAAGCATCCAAGGAAACGCAAACATGAGATAATTGCTCTCTATCTCTCTATCTATCTATCTCAACTTATCTAGCAGGTGTTGGGGAGTGTAGCGGCGGTGTGGTTGTTATCACAGCATTTTCAGGAGCTAAAGGGGATGAATAATAAGCACAATCTGCTGCAAAGCAGAAAGCAGGGGTTCGGTACTGCAATTTTGTCATTTGTTCAGCACTCAGCTGAGTGGGCATGGTTTCAACACATTGGGCAAATACATGTCAATAGATGGGATCTTCATTGCAGATCACAGCTCCTTTTCTTGGCCCTTATCCGCTTGCGCCACAAGCCAGCGCGCGCGCCTGGGGTCTTGGTCGTGAGGAAGTGACACCACATTGGGGCCGTTCGTGCGAGTTGTCATCTCCCTCATACACCCACGTTGGCAACTATTGCCCCCCCCCCCTGTCTGGGATCTTCCGAAAGAACCGACTGGTATTGCCGCTGCCTGCCGCTGCCTGCCGATGGCCAGAAGGACGTCAAGGCGATGTCTGTCTCTGTCCTCTTTGGACGGCTGGGGTTCAGCGTCTGACGTGAAGCTTCAGAATCCTGTCCAGCTATCGGTCGATACGCTGACGCCAGACCCGTCAGAATCGAACCACGCTGACATCCCCCGCAGTGTCCTCCCCGATGACCCACCTCTCGTCGCCCGCCAGCGCAGCGCCCTTCATCAGCGTCTTCCACATGTCGTCGTCGAACTGCGCCTCGCCCCGCACCGCCGTCTCAGCGCCGGCGCTGGCCTCCCCTTCGCCCGGGGCGTCGTCTCTCCTGCGGCCGCCGTCGTCGACGCTGGCGCTGACGGTCGTCATCGCGAAGCACCGCCTCCCGCAGACCCTGACGCCCGCCGCGGCGTCGACGGCCTCAGCGACGGTGAGGTAGGGAAACTCTTCGTGACGCCAGCAGGGGGCGCGCCCAGGCCACGCTGTTTCTGCCGCTGCCCCAGGCCGCGACCGGGCGACGGGGCAAAAGGATCTCTCGGCGTCGCCGTCGGCGCCGCACTCGTGGACCCACCGCGGCCCGGCCCCGGAGAGCGGGATCCCGACGCTACGCACCGTATGCCGTGCCGGCGGGTTCTCGGAGGCATGCGGGCCCGAGGACCAGATGTGGTCTTCCTCCTGGACGAAGACGTGGCCGCGCACCGCGTCCGTCTCATCCCCGTCGTGCGGAACGGCGTCGAGGGCGAGTCGCATCAGCCGCGGCGTGTGGAGCTGCCTCACTCCCCAGTGGTCCAGCTCACCGTTAGTGAGACGGAGGACGATTTCGGGACCCGGGTCGGAGGGGGGCTTGTCCGAGCACGACAGGTCGAGGCTGGGTCGGTAGGGCGAGGGTCCGTTCAGCGACCACACGACGAGGCGCTCGAGGGGGGTGTCCTCACCCCAGGGGGAGCGGTTGGGCTGATGGGCGAAGAGGGCGTAGTGCGTCGCGTTGTGGGTCGAGAAGATGCGATCTGAAATATGGATGGGGAGGCCGAGGTAGTGGATCTTCCATTCCGAGCGGAAGGCCACCATGGGGGCCTGGTCACGAGCCGCGTCGTCCCCGCCCTCGCCCGTCGCTGCCGGGTTTCCGCTTCCGTCCCGCTTTACCGGCGGCCTGTTGCCCGATGGACAGAGAGGCGAGGAGACGGCGCGCACGTCGAACGCCGTGGCGAAGTGGCGATGTGCGACCTCGCCCTCGTTCAGCGGGTGGGAACCCTGCGCTTCTGCCCACTCAACAACGAGGAGTCCCTCGGCGAGGCGCACACGACGGACGACTTTCTCGGCCCAGTCGAAGGGGACCGTCGACTCGTCGCCCGAGTTCAAGTCCAGGACCTTCAAGACGGGGGGTTCCGAGGACGTTGAGGACGTGGAAGAGGCAGATGACGACTCAGGAGACGTGGCCCCGGAACACGGCCAGGAAGATGCGGCGGGACGAGCCGGAGAGGGAGAAGGGTACACAAGCACCCCGTCGGCGTATGTCCAGTTAGGGTCTGCGAGCGCGAGGTGCGCCAAGTGAACGTCGACAGCGAGCTGGCGCGCCCACGGTGCGAAGCGGCGGAGGGGGGCCGACGGCTTCAGGATCGGGATCGTCGTGAGGGAGTGGAACGCGGCCCTGGAGAGGTTGTGGTAGCGCCTAGCTACGCGCGCGAAGAGGGCGGGCCAATCCGGTTCTGCGCCGGCTGCTCCTGTCGGGGGCCCCTCCCGCCGCGGCTGTTTGTGTTCTCGGGGCGGGGCCAGCCGTTCCTGCGCCTGCGAGGACACCCGCGCCCTCAGCAGCCGGCACTCCAGCGACCGGGGGAAGAAGACATGGAGTAGGGCCTGCGAGAGGTCGGGCCTGGTGAGGGCCGCGTGGGAGGCACGGGAGACGAGGCGGCAGAGGACGATCTCGCGCGGGGTGAGGTGGTAGAGGACCTCGAGGAAGAGAGTGTCGGGGAGATCCGTCAATTGATACATTGTTCTACAACTCGCCCTTGCGTCTCGAAAGCGCACAGCCTGATCCGGTGACTATACCGTCTGGTTGCGGCCCTGATTGATGGGAGATGGCGGAACGGGGTCCGGGTGGTGACCATTCAAACTCGGACGCCAGCAAAGTACCTACCCACCAGGCGGCTGCAGGAGTACCAAGCCCGTACCTCGTATATTTAGTTATTATGCTCGACGAACGGGGCTTATAGTCGCCAACGCAATTCATCGCCCAGTGATGGGGGTTACGTTGGAGTTGAACGCAAGAGTGTGAAGTTTTGGAAACTGTCTGCGACCATTACTAAGACCCTCCCCCCAATCGAGACATCATCTCCTAAGCGCTCTACCTATAGCAGCCGCTGTCACCATTTTCTTTTAGTTTGCGAAGAAGAAAAAAACCCCCCAAAGAAAAAATTGCAAGTCTCTCATATCAAAAGTTGGCAACAAGATATAGAAGTATGCTTCGTTTGTTGGCTTATTCCGCCGAGTTTCTAGCAGCCTATGTATGCATTTTTTGTGTGCCTTGCTCATCCGGCCATGCCATTTTCGGTCCAGTGCGCACGCTCTTTTTTTTTTTCTCTTTTCAAAACAACCAGAAAACGACCAATTTCAGATACATGCTTTGAAAGAAAAAAGCCCATTCGGCGGGTCCGTCCTCTTGCCCCTCAAGAAGCCCAAGCCAAGCCCAGATGTTCTCTGCGTTGCCCCCTTTCCACATTCACCGCCATGTTCATGAGTGAGTCGGCATGGCGACGTCAGCCTTTTGAGAAATGGCGTCGGCGCTCTGCCAGAGCGCGGTGACCGTCTTCTGCTGCGTGTAGAAGTTGATGCCGGGTCTTCCGTAAAAGGTGTTCGCGCCGCCGCCGGCGATGCTCTTCTTGTTGCCGGTGAAGGAGAACATGGGCAGGGGCACGGGGATAGGTACGTTGATGCCGATCTGGCCGGCCTCGATGTTGCGACGGAAAGCCTCCGCGGTGGCGCCGGAGCGGGTGAAGATGGCCGTGCCGTTGCCGTACTCGCTCTTGTTGATGAGCTCGATGGCGTCGTCCAGTGTCTCGACGTTGAGGCAGACCAACACCGGCCCGAAGATCTCCTCCGTGTAGCACTTCATGTTGGGCGTCACGTTGGTGATGATGGTGGGGGCGACCCAGTTGCCGTTGGGGTACTTGGCGGGCTTGTAACCGCGGCCGTCGAGGAGGATGGTGGCGCCCTCGTCCTCGGCGCTCTGGATCAGGCTCTCAATGCGCTGCTTGCTCTGAGGGGAGATGACGGGGCCGAGGTCGGCGCCCTCCTCGAAACCGCCGTCGACCTTGAGCTTCTTGGCCAGCTCGGCCAGCTCAGGGAGCCACTCCTTGGTCTCGCCGACAAGGACGAGGGTGCTGAGAGCCATGCAGCGCTGCCCGGCGGCGCCGAACGCGGCACCGACGACGCTGTTGAGGAAGTGGTTCTTGTTGCAGTCCGGGAGGACGGCAGCGTGGTTCTTGGCGCCCAGGTTGGCCTGCACGCGCTTGCCGTGTGCGGAGCCCTTGTTGAAAATGTACTCGCCGGCCTTGTTGCCGCCGACGAAGCTCACGGCCTTGATGACCGGGTCCTCGAGGATGAAGTCGACCGTCTTGTGGGCGCCGTGCACAATGTTGACCACGCCCTCGGGGAAACCGGCTTTCTGAGCGAGCTCGGCGAGGATCATGGCCGCACCAGGGTCCCTCTCGGAGGGCTTCAGGACGAGGGTGTTGCCGGTGACGGTCGCGATGGGGATGCACCAGAGGGGAATCATGGCGGGGAAGTCTAGACAGTGTTAGTATTGTTGTCTCTTCCTTGGCCGGTTGGGGAATCACCCACTGAAGGGGCAGATGGCAGCCACGACGCCCAATGGCTCGCGGTAGCTCCTCGTCTCCATGTCCTTGGCAACCTCCAACAGCTCGCCCTTCAGCAGCTCGGGCGCACCACAGGCGGCCTCGGCGACCTGCAGACCACGGAGGACGTCGCCCTTGGCGTCGGCAAACGTCTTGCCCTGCTCGAGAGTGATGCTGGCGGCCAGGCGGTCCCAGTTCTCGCGGATGAGGGCAACGAATTTGAACATGATCTGCTGGCGGGCCAGCACGCTCATGGCGCGCCACTTGGGAAAGGCCTTCTCGGCCGAGTCGACGGCGGCCTGCAGCTCCTCGGTGGTCATCTGCGGCACGCGGGTGACGAGGTTGTTGGTGGCCGGGTCGTGCAGGTCGATGAAGTCGGTGGCGCTCGAGGTGACGAACTTGTTGTCGATGAAGTAGGGGGTATCCTCGGGCTTCGCAATCTTCTCGTGCGTGTTGGGGTACGATTCAGCCGTCGAGGCCAGAGCGGCGTTGAGGTGCCGCGCCGTGGCGTGTATCCTCCTCGCCGCGACGGCGGAGATGGGGGAGCTAGAGGACGTCATGGTCTTTGCTGAGGACAATAGTGAAGAGCGGGCGAGAGACACTCCAGATGTTCGGCCAGCGCCGGCAGTAATGCTACGAGAGATGGCTCGACGCATTGTGAAGGAAAGGGAGAAGAAGAATAAGTGCAAAGAGCGGGGGGAGAGGTCAGGTGTATGAGAGTTTCTGATGAGAGCAATTGGGCAACTAGAAACCGCGCTACAGACTATGCAGGTCAGTCCGTTCCGTCTCAGACCAATAACCAGCCACTTCAACCAAGAGAAGACACGACGACGGCGGCCGGAGGCGGGCGACAATGTAGTCCCTTATAAAGCCCCCAGGAGAACTCGGCGAGCTGCCAGAGTGTGGGGAAAGGTTGGGGTGGGGTAAGAGATAACGCTGTTTACGCAGTAACCGGGTCGGATCCCCGCCGAATTCCCCAACCCTCTGGCACCGAGGTCGGCCTCTATGCCGTCCAATGCCGAAGGGATCCGTGCTGGAAGCAACAAGCAGTGTGGGCACTCTGCGCGCTGGGTAGCGTAAACGGCGTAAGGAGCGTCTCACGTTGGCGGTCTGTGGATCTTGACCCTTCAAAGCAACAGCTCGAGGCACCACAGTTGGCCGCGAAAACTAGCAGTATTTTGTTCCATAATCAATGATAGAATAGCAGATGCCAGTGTGATCACTTTGGTACATAACCTCAAGATTGCATGTAGCGATTGTTTGGTCAAATCCCTTTTTTTCGGTAGCTACCTAGAATACACCTACGCCATGCTCTGTCCCTTGATGGCCGAAACAGACGTAATGAGGGAGTTAAACTGAAAAAAGCAGCATCCGGATCTCTCTTTGGTCCCCAAATCACCCTGGTGCCATGCTAGCACGAGGCTTCTGGCCATTTGCCTCATTTTTTGTTCCCTCCTTTCCCGCAAATAAGATCAGAGAAAGCCAGCTAATTCACAATTCCACTTCGAGACACTCCAATTTAAGACGAGCTGCGGGTGTTGCGCTTGGTGGCATCCTTCGCGACGTCAGCACCTGAGGCAACAGCCTTGGAAGCCTTGTCCTTAACATCCTTGGCCTTGTCCTTCACGTCAGCGGCAGCCTTCTTGGCAGCCGGAGGGGCACTGCCAGAGCTGGCAATGCCAACAATGATGGCAATGATGGTGACGAGAAGAGCACCGATGCCACCTGCAACCTCGGGAACGAACTTAATGGCCTGGATGGGGTCCTTCTGGGCAATGGTGATGAAGAGGTCGAGCTTCTCCTTGATGAAATGAACGGGGTCGTCGAGGAACTTGAGGTCGTTAGGTGACTTGGGCTTCTCGGCGTCCTTGGGCTTGTCGGCGAGCTCGAGGAGCTGCTCGATGGGGTGCTTCTCCTTGAAGGTCTCCTCGGCGAACTTGGCGGCATCCTCAACGGAGTGGCCGATGTAAATGTTGTCGAAGAGGATGTCGTTCTGCATGGTCCAGATCTCAAAACCAATCTGTCGGTCCTTTCGTTAGCAAGGGAGGATATTCATCTGGATTATCAGGTAATAAAACTTACAGCGCCCATGGGCTCGAAGTTGGCGGGGGTCTTGTCCTCGTAGTAATCGGGGTTCTTGATCTTGCGGGGAGCCCAGACGCCCTTGTAGGCAGGGTTGTCGATGTAAGGCGCAGTCCACTTGCCCTTGTAGTCGGGGTTCTTCTTCATGGGCTTCGTCCAGGGACCACAGCCAGAAGCCTCGGTGCACTTGGGGTTAGGGACAGTAGGGGCGACCCAGTCACCATCCTCCTCGTCATCCCAGTCCTCGGGCTTCTGGGCCTCAGGGTCGGGGATGGTAAGGGGCTCATCCTCAAGCCAGTCCTCGGGCTTGGTGGCCTCCTCGTCAACGATCTCGAAGGGAGCGTCCTCGTCCCAGTCCTCGGGCTTCTTGGCCTCGGGGTCGGGGATACGGGCCTCGTCAACCCAATCCTCGGGCTTGGAGTCCTTGGGGTCGTCAATCTCCTTCTCGGGGTTGACAGAGGGGGAGAAGTCCTCAAGAAGGGAGCCGGTCTTAACCTGCTCGCCGTTCTGCTGAATGATGAAGGTGTTGTTGGGGTGAACAATGAGGGTGTAGAGCTCGGTGGTCTTGACGATGCGAGCGGTGGGGGGAGAGGTGAGGTGCTTCTCCTCGTACTCGCCCGTCTTGGGGTTCTTGTGGTTGAAGATGAAGTGGACCTTGTTGGTGTGGCCACACTTATCGGGACCAAACATGATCACGTAGGGGGTGGCATTGGAGAACTCCTCCTGGTGAAGAGCCTTGTTCTCACGAAGGAGCTTGAGGTAAGCGCCACCGCACTCGAGTCCGTCTGCAGGAAACAGTTGTCAGCATTGGCGACGGTTAGCACATTGGAGCTAGGTCTCGAAACTTACTCTGAAGCTTAACCTCATACTGAACAACGAGAGTCTGGCCCTTGTTGTCAATCTTCTTGGGGAACTTGGCCGAGATGGCGTGGTGAGCAGCAGGGTTCTTGATAACAAGACCCTTGTCGCCTTCCATGCCCTTGTAGACGGTGGGCTCCTCAACAGACCACTCGCCAACGTAGGCCCATTCCTCGTCGTCCTTCGAGTCTTTCTTGGCGTGGGAAGGTCTCCAGCGAGACTCCCAGTCGTCGGTGAACTGCTCAAGGAAGGGGGCCTTGAGAGAGGTAGGCTGTATAAGGGAGGGGGGAACACCATTGTCAGAAACTTGCATACTATTGCTGGCAGAACAAGCAGACGCGGTGAAGCTCAAAGGATACTCCAGCCCCTGTGCTGGTGTGCTCGAGGCCGTGCGCCAGGCGTGAGATCGCAGCACAGAAGCAGCGAGGGGATCATCCAGAGTAACAAAGAGAAACAAGCCGCCCAAAGCGGGGAAGGAGAGAAGCTTACAGTGAAAGTAGGCAGCTGGGGGGCAATCGAGGTAGCAGAATCAGCGGCAGTAGAGCTCTTGTCATCACTCAGAACCTTCTGAGCATCGTCGGCGTAGGCACCGCCGGCGAGCAGAGCCGCGGCGGACAACGCAGCAGCGTTGAACTTCATGATGGGCGAAAGGGTATTAGATTCTCGACTTCAAGGGGTGGAAAGCAGCGTTAAAGCAATTGGAGTTTGAGAGTTAAGAGAGAGAGAGAGAGATGTTGCCAATTGAATGACAATGAAAGAGTTGCTCCCAGCGCGATAGATGGTGAGGACTGAGTTGTTTCGAGGAGGAATTTCCCAAGGAAAGGGAAAAGAGTTTCGGAAGAAGGAATGGGGCGAGGAAGGCGCCGGATTTATCAGTTTGTGAGGCAGGTGCTTGTCGGCGGGTTGTGCTCAACGTGTCCTTTTTTTGTGGTAAAGGTATCCGTACTGGGAGCACTAGCCAGCAGTCAGCACCACCAAAGCACCCAGCAGCTAGGGGAGAGCTCACCGTCGCCCTCTCGGGGGAAGGCAAGGTAAGCCATTTGGACCAATCATCTTGTTACAAAATTGGGGTCTGGGCCCAAGGAAGCAGCAGCAGCAGGAGCAGCAGCAGTTGCCTCTGCGCGTGCGCCAGGGGTTGTAGGGGCTGCACGGGGTCGCTGATGCCCGGCGCACCAATCCGAAAGCGCTGTGGTACCTTTTTCAGTGGGCCTTGCTTGTTGAGTTGCGGACTGTGGCTAAGGAAAGTGCGGGGGCCCCTTGGCGGAAGGTGAGGGATCCGCCGGCTGTGACAGTGAGAGGGATTCATGGTGCTTCGACGAGCTTCCAAACCTCAAATGCTTATCCTGGTTTGCGGAACCGAGCTCTTCCCAGTCCAGCCTGCCGCTCTGCTCTGCTCGGGATAAGTGGTGGAATACAAAGAATACATTGATGCAAGTGCCTAGGCGCAGCGCCTCGCATCTTTTCTAAGCTCGGTCTAAAATACGCCGCATATTTCAATCATGCTTCCATACTCGATCTCGCGCCTGTCATCTGCTTCTTAGTAAGCACCGGATTGGTTAACACTCGAAGGACTAGGTTGGTGGCTGATGCCGATATGTCTGGAGACTGGCTGCATTGTCGCTGCGTCGTAGCCACCGCTCTTGCATGACAATCGACCCCGGGAGGCTTTACTATAGCAGAGAGGTCAAACAGATTCCCAGAGTGCGCGGATATGCCTCGGCTATGCCAGTGCCTGATAGTCATCGGCATCGGGCGATCTTGGCTGGGTTTCAGTGCCTCTCGAAGTACTTCTGCTTTGGGCAGGAGGATTCGTGGGTTTAATTTCAGACAAGAGTCAGATTTCAATTGCACTTATTTATCAGTCTCATGCGTAATATCTCACCAGAGCTTAATAGAGCCCTTTCGGCATCCCCACTCGGGATAAATAGCAACACGGCGGGCGCTGTCGTTGAAAGAGGTTAGGTGTCCTTTTCCCGCATCACCTGCAGGACACCCCCCCATATGCATCAATCCGGCCGGACTAGCTGCCGATTCTTCACCAGCGTGTCTCATCAGTTCTTAGCCGGTGACTTGTGTCGCCCTGGGTTTCCACTGTTGCATGCTTCTCCTGAAGGCACCAGTCGCAGTCGGTGGGCTTTCAGAAGCTTGTGATGGGCCCATTGGCACCACAAGTTGAGAGCTACGATGTGTTCGACCAATGGGAACGAGTCTTTCCCTCTACATCAGCCAACCGTGCCGGCCAACCGTGCCGTACTGGGAAGAGAGCGCTCCGTGCCGTGCGTGCTTTACCATGTGGGGAAGACACAAGGTGCCACTGGCCCATTTCATTCGGCCGATTTCAGCCTCACATGCATGCATGTGGCTCGGGCAGGAAAACTCTGGAGCCTCATTTTGAGTGAATGACACATTTGGCTCACTGAGACGAGTCAACTCGCCGTCTTGATATTGTTGCGGTCGTTTGTTATCCGTGATTTAGTCCAGTGAAAACTTATCTGTACAGCTTTTTCTTGGAATATTCTATCCACTCAGGTTCGCCTCAGTTAGATCTCGAACTTGTCGTCTCTTGAATAACCCCGTCTGCGTTTCTACCCCGCGGACAACCCCTCCCCAACCGCCTTCCGATATCATCTCGGAAACAGTTCATCATGGCGTCTGCGAGCGAGATTCAGCACCCCGACCAACTCATCACCTCGGACGATCCAGAGCACCCAGCGAACCTCATCCCTTCCCTGTGCGCAAAGTTTTGGACCCTCGGCTGGGTCACGGGCACTGGCGGTGGCTGCTCCATCCGAGATGAGTAAGTGAAGCCACAGCCTGCGTCGTTCTCTCATGTTTGTCCGAGCAAATGTGCCTCGCAGTCTCACTTGCTTGGCTCCCATCTCGTATTAAAGAGACCATAAACACCACCAACCACCCAGTCGCCCCTGCACAAGAAGCACCAGACCATGGCTCTCACTTACACTCTCCCAGCGACCTCGTCTACCTCGCCCCCTCGGGCGTCCAGAAGGAACTCATGAAGCCCCAGGACATCTATGTCCTCTCCCTCGCTGCACAGGAGTCATCCCTCAAGAACCGCGTCTACCTGCGCTCCCCGCCGTCCTACAAGCCCTCCCAGTGCACCCCGCTCTTCCTTGCCGCCTTCACCCGCCGCGGCGCCGGCTGCTGCATCCACACGCACTCTCACTGGGCCGTCCTCGTCACCCTGATCCTCGAGTCCCGCGGCGCCGGAAACGACAAGCTCTTCGAGATCAACAACATCGAACAGATCAAGGGCTTCGGCAAGGGCTTCCAGAAGCAGGGCAACCTCGGTTACCACGACACCCTGCGCATCCCCGTCATCGAGAACACGGCTCACGAAGAGGACCTGACTGAGTTCCTCGAGGAGGCTATGGACAAGTATCCCGACACCTACGCCGTCCTGGTACGAAGGCACGGCGTCTACGTCTGGGGCGACAACGTCCACAAGGCCAAGACACAATGCGAGAGGTGAGCTTCATTTTGGTTGAGACGACGTCTCTGTTCGAGATAGACAGGCCCCCCGATCCTTGTCTGCCCGAGAGCATCCCTCCCCATCCCTTGTACCTGATCCCCCGCACGCCCGCTGTATTAAAAAGGCGTCGAGAAATGCTGACGATCGTCTTGTGTAGCCTGGATTATCTATTCCAACTGGCCGTTGAAATGAAACAGCTGGGTATCCCCTGGATCAGCGACGTTCCAGTCGTTAAGCCTACCCGAACCTAGTCAGCACTGATTATTAGGTGGGATGCAATCGGGTAGTATGAATCTTGTGACCTCAGTGATGCGATCAACGCACTAGGGGTCAAATCCTAACGCATTTTGGGGCCGAATGAAGGCTGCGCTGGTCAAGACCCTTCATAAGCTCTTGTCGCACAAATCCGCCGCTTCAACGTGTTGATAGGGGTTTAGTAAGACTTGATTGATCCAAGCAGGCATATCAAAGCCAAGATGAACTGCAATAGGGAAACAAACCCCGATGCGCAATTGAATGAGCGAAATGCTGTAATAATTGAGGTTGGCAGACGTTGGTGTCCACTTGTACGTTAACACATGTTCATGCAAATTGCCTATTTATTATTGATCGCATGTACAGCATATATGCCTCCTCTCCAAATGGTATATATCCTCCGCCCATTCATCCAACAAATCTCCCCATACCCCTTTTATACTCATCATTGAATGCCAAAAAGAAGATATTTAGAGAAGGAGAGCGCCGATAATACCGACAAGTCCAAGCGAGGCAGAGCCAATGAGGGCAGGGGCAGCGTTGGGAGCAGCGTTGGGAGAAGAGCTTGCACTGGCGGCAGCCTCGGTACCGGAGGCACCGGTGGCGCCGGCCGTGCGGGAAGCAGAGCCAGTGGCGGCGGCACCAGAGCGGGTGGCAGAAGCAGAAGCAGCAGAGGCGCTGGAGCCGGAGCCGGAGCCGGAGCCGGAGCCGCCGGTGGCAGCAGGGGTGCCGCCGCTGCTGAAGAAGTACTCGCTAATGCACTTCTGGGAGCAGTCGGCGTACTTCTGAGTCTGCTCGGGGGAGCCGTCGCCCTGGGGGCATGCGGCGACACAAGCGGTGGTCTTGTTGACCTGGCTCTCGTCAGGGTTGGGGACCTAGAGGTGAACGTGTTAGCCATTACTTGCTTCTTTCCCCCCCCTTTCGCACGGCCTGCGCCTCTCGATCCGCAGGTCTTGCGGGGGAGACAATCTCAGGCCTATATTGGGAAACCCATTTGTGGAAGGGGGCGCGGGCTATCGTACCGAAATGCACTTGGACTGGCAGCCGACGTCGGTGGCAGGGCAGGCCTTGAGGCAGTTGGCGATGGCAGCCTGCTCGGAAGAGGCAGCGGAGGTAGCGGTGCTGGTAGTGGTGGCGAGAGTGGTCGACTGAGCAGAGGCCAGGATGGCGAGAGCGCCGGTGACGATGATGGAGGTGAAACGCATCTTGAAGTGTTGGTTGGTTTGTTGATATTACACGAGTATATTAAGAACGGTGTAACTTGTTGATAGTCGAACACAGACAGCGAGGGTAGGCGTTTTGAAACAGGCGTGGAGCAACGAATGGACAGCAGAGGCTAAAGAGGAAGAGAGGAGGGAAGGGAGGGAAAGAGTAGAGTGGACGGACTGGAGGTGGGTTTAATAGTATGTGTGACCCCGAGCGACAGACCATCTCCGTCTCCAACGTCGACCTTTTCCTGCTTGTGGGTTACCAGCCAAGGCATGCCAACACCCCTGGTGCCGTGCTATGATTAGTCTTGGGAGTGGCCCCTTTCCCCTCCTCCCACCCCTCCCCATTTAGCGGCTACTACGTACGAAGTATTTCGTTGGTGTGCATCCCGTCGACGAAGTTCTCCTTCGTGTCCGTGGGCTGGGGAACACACTTGTCTGCATGCAAGGGCGGTGGGTATACATGTGGGGCCCAATGGGGACCTGGAAAGTTCTCTTCACGCAGTGGGAAAGCGCCAGAAGCGGACCCAGATGCGAACACAGTACCTGACGCCTCCCTTTTCCGATAGTTCAGTTCGATTCAGGCAGAGAGAGAGAGAGAGAGAGACAGAGCATGTGTTTACTCTCCTCTGACTGATGACTCGACTACGACGAGCCAGTGACCCCGCCCCAACGTCGTGTTGATGTGGGCGAGAGGACCCAAAAGCCAAACACAAGCGAGGAAAGGAAGGGATCAAAGCAAGGTTAGAGGGAGGCGGTGATCGAATCGGATCGCGCCATATCTGGGGAAAGCTAGGTTGATACCTACGCCTTGGACAACTAGGCTACAAGAGTACGTGCCTGCAAGGCAGGAGGAGACACAGAGCAGACAGGCAGGTTCTCTCCGCTTCGCTTCCTGCTTCCCTGGGGCCCATCCTCCACCACTTTACCTAGGGTAGAAGGAGGGAAGGGAGAGCGAGAGCAAGAGCGAGAGACACTCGTGCCTCCCGGGCACAGTTCCCTGCGACTCGTGCTGCCTACCAGGGTGGGCCTAGGCCAGGTGTTGAACTCAATTTAAGATTGCACATGGTTTTTTTTCTTTTTCTTTTTCTTTCCTGGTGTCATTTGGTTTGCTGCGGCAGCCAATTACCATCTGTCTCGGCCCCTGGTCCCGTCTCCATCGGGAGAACATGCCGGGCCCCTAATATTACATCAGTCAGTGTGGAGGGCCGTTAGTCGGGTGGTCTGTTCGTATTTGTATTCTGCTGCTCTGCATTTTTTGTCGAGGCACCTTGCCGGAATTGCCATGGGCTCCATTACTACCGCATTGGCACCTTCTATACGGAGTACATAGCGCACAGTATTTTTTTCTCCGCCGCAGCATTGATGCCCCATTTTGCTTCTGCCCGATAACTGTACACTACGGCGGCGATCCCGTCGCCTCAGCTCGCTCGACGAGGGTTTGCACTACAGCAGGGATGTGAGGAGCAGAGACTTGGGACGATGTTGGGTTGACAGCCAAGCAACTACCGGTAACAACAACAGCAGAAAGACAACAGACGGCAACCACCCCCTTGACACGAAAGGAGCGCGTCTTCTCGGGCAATGCATGGCTTCCCGGTAAATGTCACCGTATCATTGGCCGAGGCACATTGCCCCTGTCTCAGGGGCCGAACGAACCACCGCCATCGACCAGTGGACAAAGCACTGGGGGGCGCCACGCCCTATGCCCCTGTGCAGGTCTTCCCTCAGAGCAGTAAACGAAACAGAACGTGAAAGAAGTCTCATCATCTTCTTTTCCACTAGTTTCCAACATCTACCGTTAGGCCTTGGATGAGTCTTCCGGGAACAACATTCCACCAGGAATACCTCCCCTGGTGACCTACCGGTAGATTCGTTTCGAACTGCATTTAATGACGGCACCTCACAGGAAAGTCTCTCCACACACACTCTAATTATCGCCTAACTTGATATGGACTACTCCATTCCAAACAGCAGACCATCGCCGTGCTCTCAACCTCCAGTGACGGCTTACGCGCCTCATTCATGTGTTCTCACACGAGCTGCACTTGTGCATGAATACGAGATATCCATCCACCGGCACCAGTTCCGCGATCTGCATTCTATGAATAATTGTACCACCAGCGTGTCCCTCCCCAAAAAGCACCGTGCTGTAGGGCCAGCCGATGGCCTTGTGAAGTTGTGTTAAGTGATTTCCACCCCCAGAGCCCGCCCAGAAGGAAGCGCCATCAAACCGTTCGTGGCGATCCACCACCTCGACTCCGTCCATTTACGTGTAAAGTGGGAACTCGGAGGAATGTCGAACAAATAAGAAATCCCCAGGCCCTTCTATTGTCCGGGTTCGTGTCAACGTCTCCGAAAGTTGTCTCGTCCGGGCCCCTTTGGACGCTGCCACAACGGCGACGCGCTGGGCTATACTTTCTACCAATGATAATCACCAAAAACGGAATCTCATGGCTGCCGTGTTTTCTCCCTGTCGCGCAAGATCCAAAGGCCGGAAATTTCACCACGTCATGCCGCCCCCCTCCACCGTCCGTGCCAGGCCTTCGCCTTGGTTTCTCCCTTGTCGCCAAATTCGAATTCATGCGGACCTGGGCGGCCAGGCGAGGCGAGGAAAACCCGCAAGCCCGGCGCCATATCATTGGCCGTTTCCACCCCGCCGGCTATCCAGGTGCTGACGCTTGTGACAGACAACAAGCCGCCCGTAGGGAGTCAGTTGGGACGAACTGAGAGAGCTGAGGTAAAACTTCGAGATGCACCGTCGACAACGGCTGAATTCCAAACCACGGCGGCTGGGCCTCCATATTCTAGAGGGCAACGTACAAGGAGGACAAAGAAACCGTTCGTCTCGACTTTTTGAAGGCTTGCAACGGTATGTGACCGATATGGTATGTGTTATCAGTCGCACAGCGACTACAATAACCCAGCTAAAAACACCAACGCGGCGATCGGATTATTGTCTGTATGATGCTATTTCTTCTTTCACCGAGACCGTTCAGGCTGACGCTTGAACGGCCGCGTTGTGTTTACTTGCTAGCTTACAGCTCGTCTCGCTGCCTGACTTCCTCTTCCGTCCCTAGCTTCGGCTCGTCGCCGGGCACCTGATCAACAAGAGTTTCGTCCTCTATCGGATTTCCTTTGTTCGTCGTTGTCGTTGTCTCTTCGCCGATCTCTTCCGGCATCTCCTCCACAATTCTACCCACCTTCTCAATCAGCGAGTCGGGATCTCCACCAGCCGCCGATCGTTGCGGCTCCCTCCCGACCTGCACGGTAGGCAGCGAATCATCCGGCAAGCCCTCGACATCAATCTTCCCCTCGTTAACCACCACCGCTTCCGACGGTGCCCCAGACCCGGCATACTTGACAACTGCTCCGCCGCCGCCGACTGTGACATTGTAGATCAGTCGCAACGGCAGCCATACTAGCCACCACATGGGTCCATATAACAACCTGCGGAACAGCAGCCATGCGCCCGTCACCATGAGCATGTAGAGAGAGGTCTGTAGATACCAAGTGTCGCTCTTTTGAGAACGGAGCAGCGTTCCCAGCAAATCCTTCGAGCTCGCGAGCATCGTATCGAGGGAACTGTAAGAGTCATTGAGCTGCGCTAGCGCCGCCGACGATTCTGTCAGGGTCTGGTGGGCGAACTCGCTGCGGGCTAACTCCGCCGCGATGAGGTCGTGCGTGCGCCGCAGCGCACTTGTGACATTGCTGCTCGCACCAACCATTTGCTGGTCGTCTTCGGTCAGAGAGCTTGTGTTCTTGCTGGTCTGATGGACATGTCGGTGGCGGATCACGTCTGGCTTTTGCGCGCCCAGGGACGGGGAAGATACTTCGGAGACGGGTTGCGAGTAGGACTGAAGGAGGAGTTCGCGTTCGAGGCGCTGCGCCTCCAAGAGGTTGCGCTTCGCTGCGAGTTGCGCCTTACGAAATGTGACTCGTGAACTGCACTTGCATGTCAGTGATCGTATGCTTCTCACCCACCCTGAGCTGCTCTGTAAATGTCGATAAGCCCATACCTCTTGAGTTCCTGCCCCAGCCTCTCCACGCCATCCTTCAGGCGGGTCTTGGTATGCTCCGCCTCGCTCCCCGGTCTCCCGTCCCGAAGGTCCTCGACCTCCTCCCTCAGGAGCTCCAAGTCATCCTCCTCTTCCCTGAGGATCTGGCTGATCTCTGAGCTTAGCTCCGCGCTGACGCTGTTGTCCTCGTCTATACCGAGGGGCACCGAGCCCGGCTGGAACTTGAGATTGTGAAGCCTGTCGATGAGCTCCTTGAGCTGGGCCGTGGTCTCTTGCAGGGCTGTCAGGCGCTCCTGCAGACCTTCGAAGGACATATTTTGCGAGGTCGTTCCGCAGATTCGCTGGAAATACTGTTTGTCGATGGGGAGCGCCAATCGTCACTTTTACGGCAAAATGAAAACAAAACGCTGTAACAGTTGTTTAGGAAGTGGTGCACATCGAGGTGTGCTTCAGGGAGCAATATTGTCCGTCAAGCTGGCCTTTCGCGGTGACGAAACGATGTGGAATTCGAGTGTCGAACCCCGTTTGGCCGATATGCAAAAAACCGCCACACCTGTCCGCCGGGATCAGCGAAGCCACACACGCACCCACAGCGTCCAAGCTCCCGTCCTCCCGATCCACGCAACAGCCACACGACCCAAATTTTTGGCGACAGCTTCGTTGGAACCATACTCAGAAGAGGCCGCCGCAATACAATCACCACACAAATCTCCCGCCTCGACGACAAAGCGTTTCGGCAAGGAAACTGCAGAACCGATCACGAGTCCCCGAATTGACCTGCCAGCCCTTCCCCCCTCTTCCCCCCCTTCGGAGCTCTCGCAGCCGCAAAAGAACCGCCAAGATGATCACGAAGTTCATGACCGAGATCACTACCAAGTTCAACCCCTTCTCGCCCAGGTCCAAGTCGGCGCGGCTGTTTCTCTCCTTCATCCCGCCCACGGCGCGCTCGTCCGGCATAGCGATCAAGACGGTCCTGTTGCCGCGGACGTCGACAGAGCCCCCGTCGCTGCTTGTCAAGTTCAGTACGTTGTGAACACCGTTCTGGTCCTTTGCGGCTCTACTCTTCGATTTCCGCAAAGAGGACTTGTTTGGGATTATGGCTAACATTTACTTTCTTCCGCGCAGAGGACGGTAAGGAAATGAGTATCGACTGCGAGAAGATGGGTATCAAGAGCATCATTGAGGAGGTTGACAGACACTCCCGCGGTCTGCAGAAACAGGCCGACTTGACCGACTAAGGAAAGGGACAGAGGAACAGATGGAGGAGATGTGTCCTTGTATCATTATGGAATTGCATGTATCGGTACCGGCGTTTATATGGAATGGGAACGACAAACCCAGGGAAATCTCGATTGACTATCATTGGCGGCTCCTAAGACGTTGTATATGCGGGGGCATGTTAGAAGAACGATGCTGATGCAACCTGGTCGAAATACAACGCAACATGGACGCGCTGTTTCAAGATGCCTACGTGTAAATTCACCAAATCACGACTCACGCAAGACGATCACCTCAATGCTGTACATGTGTTTTGGGGTACTTTTTTTGACTTTTTGGTATTTCTAGTTGACACCCTTCGGCCATTGAGCTTCGGCTTTGTGTTCGATGATAGCATTTACCAACAAAGCGTCGTCGAGATTTTTAAGCCCTATCTGGCCTGAGCATCCGCCGTCACTACCATTTCCACCTACACGAGAGAGCAATTTCCTTATGCGGAGGCACCGCTGATGAAAAACCACTTGTCAATGGAAGCGTCAATCTTCTCGGCGGGGAGGTCCTGGTTAGGGGGCAGAGGAGGGAGCTGGTCAGAGCTGAGGCGGGCGGGAGACTGGCTGACGGTGGTGTTGGCGCTGTGGTGGAGCTGATTAGCAAACAGCCGGAATGACTTGCCAAGGGATGGCGTGATAACTTACGTGGAGACGCTGCCGGCCTGGGTCTTGCCGGTGATGAGTCTCTCCCAAGCCTCGGCGCACTCGCGGACGACGTCCATGGCGTAGCTGCGGCAATTGTTAGCTATTTGGTCATGTCGCGTCTTGCGCGGGTGAGGACCAACCTCTTGTTCTTGCACTCGCCGGTGAAGGCGAACTGGTTCTCGGGCTTTCCGTCGGGAATCTTGTAGATGCGGAACCACTCGTTGGTGGCACGCAGGAGACCGGGCAGGTGGCGCTCGACGTCCTCAACGTCGTTGAGCTTGGGAGCCAGGGGGTCGTTCACGTCGATAACGATGACCTTCCAGTCGGTCTCCTCCTCGTCGAGCAGGGCCATGACACCGAGGACCTTGACCTGCTTGACCTGGCCGGTGTAGCCGACAAGCTCACCGATCTCGCAGACATCGAGAGGGTCGTTGTCGCCCTTGGCCTTGGTCTCGGGGTGAATGGCGTTGGGGTCCTCCCAGGTCTGGGGCGAGAGGTCAACTATGTTGTTTCCAAGCATGTGGGTATCAATGAGCGGTCAAGCGTACCTGAGGGAAGGCACCGTAGTTCCAGAGGTAACCCTTGTGGGGGAAGCAGTTGCGGACGTAGCGAAGCTTGCCCTTCTTAATGTCCTGCTTGATGGGGTTGAGGAGTTCCTCCTTGGAGATCTATCATTGAAGTGTCGGTCAGCACCAATTGTTCGTTTCGCGACCACTAGTGCAACAGAATACTGCATCGAGGCGAGGCATTGACAAGGGGGAGGATGATGTTTACCTCGAGCTTGGCGTTGGTCCAGCGGGGGATCTCAACAACCATGTTCAAGATGGTCTGCTCCTGGTTGGCGTAGAGCGGAATGTCGTGGAAGGGGGACACGGGGACACCATCCTTCTCGATGTAGACACGGTGCTCCAAAGTGTTGGGAGCACCAACCTTGCGGAGGGTGTAAGGGGAAGCCATTGCGGGCGGTGCGTGATGGAAACTTGGGTCAGAGTCCTTTGAGATGGTAGAGAAGTGACGGGCAATCTGGGCGGTGCGTTGGGAGGGAATTTTGGATTTAAAGGCCGGGGCAGCAGCAGTTTGTGACAGGCGAGGAGGGGTGCCGTTGGCGGATGATGCAAGGAGGGATGGAGGGGGAGGGGTAGGCGACCCGGGTGTTAGCTTGGTGCGTGCCGCCAGGGTTGCTGATTGATTGGCCCGGGACGGGGCCTGAATCGGGGGTCGACGAGTGAGAGTGGAAACGGTACTGGGTCGGGCAGAATGCACGCGAAAACTGAGTGCGCGACGGGCGGTGGAAGGGAATTGCAGTACGGACACGGGGGCAGCAGCTCGACTAACGGTTGTCTTGGGGGGCTGCAGCTTAATCCCTCGTAGGAGCGGCATGTGTGTGCGTGTACAAAGCGACCTGGCGCTGGGCCGGAGGGGGATCGGGCACAAGAGAGAAGAAGGGAAGGAAGGGGCTTAATTATAGGGAGAGGCGCTGAGTTTGAGGTTAACGCACGATCGATAGAGAAACTGTTTAGCAGGAGACTACAGTGTCAAGCAGTCTTTGCCTTGCATCCGAGGTTCGTTCGGTTGAATGGCGAGGTAGGTAGCCGTGGCTTGGCTTCAGCTGTCGACGGTATTGAGCTCGAGGTACTCGCGGCTATCGGGGTAACAAATTGACAACAGGTGTGTTCTGGGTCGGGGAGAAACCGGAAGAAGCTCTCAGCCTGTCTCGTCGCGACAGCAACAAGGGAAATTTTCTTCACTAGCCTCACCGTGGCTGGAGCTCGCCCAAAGGAAACAAACCCCCTGCTCTTTCGCCCCTCCTTTACCCCTCCAACGGCTGCTGTATCGATCAGCTTTCGTCCTGTTTACTATTTAGTAGCCTAGCAGATAGGTTGGGGCATTCATTGCGTCTTCGCAACAGTCGAGGAAGTGTCCACCGCCTCTGAGTGGGGAAGTTATCATGATGTCAAATCTGTGGTAACAGCAACTGGGGCAGATTGCTGTTTCACAAGAGACGGAGCTGTGTCCGTCACGTTACAAGTCGCCGGTTCCTTTCCTCAAACATACTGTGTCTAGCTCTGTTACCAACATATTCTTTTTGGCTCTCAGTTACGTCCAAAACTGTCACTTTCTTTGCCCTAGGGCCTCCCCAACAAGCAACCGTGATTACAAGATTCAACTCACTTCGCCCCAAGCCCGACCTCTGTTTTTGAGACCTTCAGCGGCGCAATGACTATACGAGAGGGCCTCATCAAAACTCGCATATTTGTCATCTCAGATACCCATGGCCTTCGGCTTCGCTATAGACACCAGGCGGACGTGATCATCCATTGCGGTGACCTTACGAATGAGTCCGAACTCGAAGAATACCGAAACCTAATCAAAGACTTGAGTTCTATTGAAGCACCCCTGAAGTTGATCGTCCCCGGCAACCATGACTTTACTTTAGACATACCCAGGTTCAAGAGACGGATTGTCGAGGTACAGCACGGGAATCCAGACGTGAAGAAAAAATACACGGAAAAGTACGGAAATCCTGGAGATGCCCGCAGCTTGTTCGAGGAGGCCAGGAACGCGGGCATAGTCCTGCTTGAGGAAGGGACACATATCTTCAAGTTGGCCAACGGCGCTCGCCTGAAGGTGTACGCGAGTCCTCACACTCCAGCCGCCGGAGGCTTCCCCGGTTTCCAATATCAGCCCGAAGACAGCCACGACTTTGCCATCGAGAAGGGAACCGATATTGCCATTACGCATGGTCCGGCTTTGGGTATGCTAGACCATACTAAGGCTAATCCCAAGGCAGGTTGTCCAGACCTACTCGACGCCATCGCCCGGGCCCGGCCTCGATTGCATTGTTGTGGTCATATCCATGAAAGCTGGGGTGCCAAAATGGTGACATGGAGCGAAAAACCGGCCGAGGAGTTAACAGGCACAGGTGGGAGTGGCTTGAAGGAATCCTCAGTTATCGCAACCCTGCGTGACTTTAAATCACTACCGACCGACTCTACAGAGGAAACCGTACGCAAAAGGCAATTTGTCAAGCAAAGTTCTCTTGCCAGGTGCTGCGAAATTAGTCTCTGTCAGGGCGATCAGCATCCGCTTGATTTCAATAGTCGAACGCTCTTTGTCAATGCCGCAATACAGGGTGCATCAGGCGAGGCAGCGCTTCACTATCCGTGGATGATTGATATCGAACTTCCTAAGGCATGTTGAGCGACGAGGGTATAGAAGTGTAAAGTGGTAGTCATACGTTAGATGCATAAACCGAAGGGCGTATATCTCTGATAGAAGCTTATCGATAAGATACTATACTTGTCTCCATATTCTAACCCCGTCAGGGCATCGCCGAAGAGTCAATCATCGGATTGCGCCGAATACTTTGACTTCTTTTGGCGAAAGCCATGTAACTTCAATTTATTTTCTTGCCATGTCCCTTCGCACGCTGCTCAAGACTATGGGCTCAGAAATTAAGAAAGTCCCCATCCCCCGTCGCGGGGTTGACTATAGGGGTAAGATCGTTCTTGCGCCGATGGTCCGCTCTGGCGAGCTTCCTTCCCGCCTCCTGGCCCTGCACTATGGTGCAGACTTGGTATGGGGTAAGTTGTAAAATTTCTGGCGACAAAGAAATTTCACTCACGAGTCTTCCAGGCCCCGAAACCGTTGATAAGGCCATGCTCGGCAGCACTCGCAGAGAGAACCCCGTTACGAAGACGATCGACTGGACCAAGATCCCCTCCTTCGGGCAGAAGAACCCGCCAAAGACGATACCCGAGGCCCTGGTCTTTAGTACACACCCCGAGAAAGAGGCGGGCAAGCTGATCTTTCAGATCGGAACGGCCGACCCGGACTTGGCTGTCCAGGCGGCCAGACTTGTCGCAGGGGACGTGGCTGGTATCGACGTCAATGCCGGCTGTCCCAAGCCCTTTAGCATTAGTGGCGGAATGGGCGCGGCTCTTTTGAAGACACCCGACAAACTTTGTGCGATATTGGAGGCTTTGGTGGCAAACATTATGCCAGAGTTCGAAATTGGCATCAGCGTCAAGATTCGCCTCCTTGATACCCCGGAACAGACAGAGGCCCTTGTGCGGAAGCTTTGCGCCACCGGTATCACTGGTCTCACGATTCACTGCCGAACGACTCCAATGAGACCCAGGGAGCGAGCGATCCGTGAACAACTCCGCATGGTCGCGGAAGTCTGCCATGAGGCTGGCGTTGCTTGCATCATGAACGGCGACGTCGAGAGCCGAGACCACGCAGTGGACCTGATCAAAGAATACGGTGTCGATGGCGCCATGATTGCGACCGCGGCAGAGGCGAACTCGAGCTGCTTCAGGTCGAAAGTGAACGGAGGCCTTGCATCCTGGCAGGAAATTGCGGCGACATATGTCAAGTACGCCTTGGAAGTTGACAACAAATACGGCAACACCAAGTATTTGCTGTGTCAGATTGTGCCGGGAAAGAGTGAGATGTACCAGAAGATGCACCAGTGCAAGAGTTACACGCAGGTATGTCGCGCCCTCGGACTCGAGGACCTCGTCGAGCTTGCCCAACAGGCAGACCTGAACAAGGGCGTCGACCCGGAGAAGGGGCCAAACAAGGGCGGTAAAAAGAGCAATCCAAGCGCCATGGCGGCTGGGGGCAAAATGGCCGAGAGCCGTACCAACCAGGCTCCTCGCAATAAGTCTCAACGGGGCGTCAACGCCCCGTCGGAAGCGCCCCCGGCCCAGCCAGTTCAGTCGACTGCTGCTGCTCTCCAGATATAAATGACGGATCTTGATATCTCAAGAGGGTGGTTTGCATATAAAGGCGTTCGGGTCCGGTCGGAACAAAGCATAGCAACATGTCGGGCCGTTTTGACGGGCAACCCGAGAACATAGGGACGAGGGATAATAGAAAATAGAACCTTTCCACATACATAGTACATATCATCGAAACTGGGCAATTTGGCTCGAAACACAACTGTGTCAAAGCTGATGAAATGTGTGAATTACAAAGAAACCCTTTGCAGCGACTCTCTGCGCTTCTATGGTACAGTCCCGCCCTTGTTTTATTTGCCCTTCTTCACCCAGTCCTCAACGGTTTCCCGGGCGTCCGTGACCTTCTCATCAACGTATCGTACACCAATCTCGCTGTGGAGCCTCGCCATCCGCCAGCTGTTCTCGATGCTCTCACGGAGCTTGAGGTGGCCCTGGGCGATGACTGGGAAGCGCTGCTCGTACTTCCACGCGAGGTTGGAGACGTTGCCCATGGTAATGGGCAGGACGGTCCAGCCAGCGGTGATGCCGAGAGCCAGAGGAGCGGTGGCACGCAGGACGATGCTACGGTTGCGCGTGATGATGCTACCGGCCATGGCGGCGACGAGGACGTAGATGGCGCCGGGCATCAGCTTCTCGCCGCTCTCGCGGGGAGGGGCGAGGGAAGCGACCGTGGTGGTGAAGGACTGCTCGAGGTTGAAGGCCTTGTCCATCGTCCGGTTGACGGCATCCTCGGCGCCGACTGCGTACTGGTAGAGGGCCAGGCGCGCCTTGCCGATTTGGACGGCGAGACGGTCGGTGGGAGTAGGCCCGCGGGTCTTGGGTTCTTCGACCGGAGGAGGCTGCTCGGTCCGGGGGATCGGAGGGAGAGTTCCGCTCGTCGCAGGGAGCTCCGGGTCGTCGTAGATGGGCTTCTTGGACTATGTCGATGTCAGCGCACCGTGCCTTGCAACGGCTTCTGTCTCCTGCGGACTTACCCGGCTGCTCTCGGGAGCTTCAGCGTAGGCAGTTCGGGGGGCCAGGGCGAATCCTCCCAGCATCACCGTCGCTGCCAACGGCGCGGCGCGCTATCCGGTCAATGTCAGCAGTCGAACCAAACGGAAGAGAATTGACGAGAATTTCTTACCCGTTGTAGCAACACTCTAGCAGCCATGGTCCACTCAATTGGTCGATTGAGGGAATTGGTTATTGGTCTCGCGAGAATTGTTTGGATGTCATGGAATGATGCACAAGCGCCTTGCAAGTAGCCAATGCCAGGCCCACCCTGCGGCTATTTCCGGAGCTCGGGAATTCGATTATGCACTTGCACACCCTTGCACAAAAAAAAGGTCCCATCCGAGTCCGGATGACATCCCGGCAATGCATTGGTTATTCCCAATAATTCTTCCTACGTATTTCTCCAGCTGCGGTTCTTGGTCGTTTCTACCATCGCCCTCGCTCTTTCTTGCTACTTGTTTTTGTACTGCCTCTTAGCCCGCACCTGCGGCAATGGTTGTTACTTCGACGGCCTGCAGATAATGTTCAAGTCTCCAAGCCGCAGCCTTTGGGTCTGCACCCGATGTGTTCGGCAAGCTTCCCGGGGCCAGCCGCGCCGATGGATGGCCGCCGTCTCCGGCGCCGCGCCCTCGAGTATCACCGCCGACCACTCATCCCCGGGTAGGAACACCGACGATGCAATCCTGCGCGAGCTGTTCGACTCCCCTGACCGGGTCGCGAAAGCTTTCAAGGCTGCCGGGCCCAGCGTTGGCCTGTTCAAGAACCGATATCTTACCAGCCCAAACGGCTTTTATGTCTTCGCCCGCAGGAGCTTGGAGAAGGCGCAGAAGATCGTCCATCGTGTCCTCCATGCGTCGAGCGTATCCGAGTACCAGGCCATCGTCAAGGATCTTGACCGCCTAAGCGACCTCCTTTGCCGAGTCCTCGATCTCTCCGACTTTGTCAGAATGACGCACCCAGACCCTCGATTCCAACAAGCAGCTGCCGGCGCCTGGTCCATGGTTTATCAGTATATGAACCAGCTGAACACGATGACCGGTCTGAGCGATCAGCTGGTGAAGGCCATGGGGCAGCCCGACGTCGTTGCGGTATGGTCGGAGGAGGAGAGGACTGTTGCGGAGATTCTCAAGTTGGACTTCACCAAGTCGGCTGTCGACTTGCCGCAACAGGAGCGAGACCGTTTCGTCGACCTCTCGCAACAGATCAGCGAGGTTGGTTCCATGTTTGTCTCGGACATGTCGCCTGCGAAGAGGGAAATCGTGCTCCCTTCGTCCAACTTTTACGGGTTGTATCCTGGAATCGCTCGAGCGCTCACCATGAGGGGCAAGTTGCGCCTCCCCACCACCGGCCCTGAAGCTCAGGCCGCGCTCCGCAGCGTTAAGGACGAGGGGACGCGGAAGGAGGTGTACACCGCGATGCGCACCGCCTCAAAGCAGACAGTTCGTGTGCTGGAGACGATGCTCAAGCTCCGGTCCGAGCTGGCGAACCTGGCGGGCTTCTCGAGCTACGCTCACCTTTCATTGAAAGACAGGATGATGGCGAAGTCCCCCGGCGCTGTGATGCAGTTTCTTCAGGCGCTGCAAAAGTATAACAGCCCTATCGTGCAGGAGGAAATGGCGGATCTCTTAAAGCTAAAGCAGACTCGACTGGACGCCACTGCTACGCAAGTCCATCCCTGGGACAAGGATTTCCTAATGGACGGCGTGCGGTCTGAAATGAGGCTTCCAGTCCGTCATCCCGATCATCTCCCTTCTTTCTTCTCAATCGGAACCGTCATGCAGGGCATGTCCAGGTTATTCACCCGTCTCTACGGTATCCAGTTTAGGCCTAAAGAGTCACAGCCGGGCGAGACATGGCACGAGGACGTGCGACGGCTTGATGTTGTTACAGATACCGGCGATCTGATTGCCGTCCTGTACTGCGATCTGTTCTTCAGAGAGGACAAGTCGCCCAACCCTGCTCACTTCACAGTGCGCTGCTCCCGAGCCATCGCCCCGTACGAAGTCCAAGAGGCTGCGGAAGACTTGCATAATACCACCGCCGACATGCCCAAGTTCGAGAGACCCGAGCAAGCTGCCAACGACGGTATGGAGAGCTTGCAGCAGGATGGCGTGCTGATGCAGCTGCCCACCATTGCACTTGTTTGCGACTTCCCCAAGCACGACGCTGGCAGCTCCGCGCCGGCGCTTCTCTCATACTACCAGGTCGAGACCCTCTTCCACGAGATGGGGCACGCCATCCACTCGATCTTGGCCCGCACCAAGCTCCAGAACGTTTCGGGCACGAGATGCGCGACCGACTTTGCCGAGCTCCCGTCTACGCTGATGGAGCACTTCGCCGCCGACCCGTCAGTGCTGGGACTCTTCGCAAGACACTGGAAGACGGACGAGCCCCTGCCGTACCAGATGGTCGCCGAGAGGATCCGTCTGGCGAAGCGCTTCGAGGGCATCGACACGGAAAACCAGATCCTCCTCTCCCTCCTCGATCAGTCTTATCACGCCCCCGAGGTCGCCAGCCCGTCGTTCGACTCCACTCAGGTCTACCACGACCTGCAGAGACAGTACTCCCAGGGCGGCCCCGATCCCCCGGAGACGTGCTGGCAGGGGTTCTTCGGCCACTTGCACGGGTACGGCAGCACCTACTACAGCTACGTCTTCGACCGCGTCCTGGCGGAGCGGGTCTGGCGCGTGGTGTTCCGCGCCGGGGCGGACGGCAAGGCGCTCGATCGCGCCAACGGCGAGCGGCTCAAGGAAAACCTCCTGAAGTGGGGAGGCAGCCGCGACCCGTGGCAGTGTCTGGCGGATACCCTGCAGGACGACCGTCTTGCCCGGGGCGATGACAAGGCAATGGCGCTGGTCGGCAGCTGGGGCATCAAGGATGACCACGCTTGACCGGTGCAGCGACGTCGATGTATATTATATGTAACGCAATCCCCGCATCGTCATGCGACTGAAAATGTAGACAATAGAACATGTATCAACAAGCGATCATACTAAGTTCGGTCTATCCGATGAAATTCAGTCATGTCGACTGGAGGGGTTTCAAGGCATCTTCTCCCCAGACAGGGTGTGCCCCCATCGGACGACGTGGCTGCCCATTCCCCGGCCGGTTTTGGATGTACTATCTTGACTTACAAGTTACACTCAGACGCGACCAACTTCGCTGTGCGCCGCGAGTCCCATTCTTCCGAGCAACGTGGCTGTCGTTCAGCCCATGCAGAGGAAACCCTCTATGTCTGTCAGGGGGGCTCTGCCGTCGGTGTTCACCCCGCTGAGCGGATCCGAGGACACCATGGAAAGGATGCTTGTCATTCACCAAATAGAGTCAGGCACCCTGGCTACGGTAGCCATTGTTCTTCAGCTGAGCTTCATGCCAGCCAAGGACGTTTACACTGCCCCCCCCCCCCCCCCCCCCCCCCAATTACCGGCTATCTCACCCAATAGGATTGAGAGAGGCAAGAATCGAGGCCCTCGCCTTTTTCAAAGGTGCTGCCGCCTCGAGATTGATATATTCTAGCCTATTGGTTTGTTGAGGAGGAGAAGCAGCCCGCGGAACGAATATGGAATACGTGGAGAAAGGCAATCTAGCAGTGAAAGCCTGTATTCTTTATCCGGGAACCCACGCATCAAGACTAAGTGATCTGTGTAGTTCCCTGAAACGGATTCCGTTATTGTAGTAGTATTTGAGAAGCATATATAAATACAACATGTATAACCCTTTCTGGCGCTGCTTACACCTTGTTCTCCCCCCCCCCCCCCCGACCTTGCCTCACTGTGTCGTTTGACAGCCCCAAGTCACCAATCCAGCCTATCTTCACAGAAAGAGTGCCTGTTCTTGTCCCGATTCCCGTTTACGCCCCCAGCCCTCTTCGTTACGCCCCCTCCCCAAGCTTCGGTCGTTCCACGGTAACAGTCAAACCATCCCACCCCACCCGCGCGCTCTTTGATCCCCAGCCTCATGCCAGACAGCCACGGTCCTCAGCTCGCCCCCCCCCCTCTCCCCTGCTACCCATGTCACAAACTTCCTCCCAAAATGTTCCATCGAGGGGACATCCCGGGACGCGGTAGCCGAACGGTTAAACACTGGCTGGGAGGTCTCTCTCTGTTCGACACCCTCTTGGGGCAGGGTTTGCTAACAACTGGGGTAAAACTCTGAGACGGAACTTTTCTGCCGTTTTCTCCCCTTCCTACTAGCCTGATTGTGTTCTTCTTTTTGATAATACTTCGATATCCTTACATTTAAGCTTATTTCAATGCTCTCTTTTACACCGGTTGATTGATTTGGATTATGTTGTGCTTGGATAGGTAGTGTAGCGTAGCCTTTGCTTGTCTTCTGCTGAGTTAGGGTGGAGGGCGAGGTATGCCGGGAAGTGAAGGGGCTTCTTCTGGTGGTGACATATCTGGAACCCACCTTGTTATTCCGTCTCTTTACATTTGGAATAAGCACACAGGCAATGACGGTAGCGCAGCACCTCGAAGATCTCGTCCCTCATTCACCATGAAGCCCCTATTCCCGCCCGCACAGGTAGGCTAACGGAAGCCGTCGGAGAATCACTTGACTACCTATAGTACAGAGGTAATACCGCCAACCATGATGTTGCAAGATATCCTGTACGTCGCACATTCCACTGTAACACGTACTTTCTTCAGCTTACCCAGGTAGGTAGAGTAGGGAGGGCTTGCATGTTTTCCGCAGCTTGTCCTTTACCTGCTGCATTATCACCGGGGAGAAGAAAAGCACCTATCAAGAGTGTTGTTTGTTTGTAAGAGAAAGTGTATTCTGACCTTGTACTCATCTTGGGGCCGCCAAATGAGAAACTTTCGCGACTGCTGACTATAAAGGAAGAAAGCGACCGTGGGTATATAATCCTAAGGTATCCTAAAGAAAACACAAGAACGCCCAGTTGCCCGGTAAGATAAAACCGTCTCTCCCCCACCATTCTAAAAACATCTATGGAACATGAATAAAGCGAATGTCTAATATCTCTTCCTTCCCCGTAAATCCATGAACCCAGCATGTCTCTCCACACACAAAAAAAAAAACCCCAGAAAAGAATCGAACATCGTACGAAGATTACAAAAAGACAGTATCGTGGAAGCACACACAACCCCCTGCACCTTCCCAGAGACAGATCTCCCGTCTTGCTTTCCCTTCAGATTACATGGTTCATCTTCGAAGGCATCTGCGGCGTCTGCAGAACGTAGGGTTTCCCCCTCCTCACCTCTCCGAGCTCCGCCTCCTCCATCATGTCGGTGAACGTCGTCATCCTCTTCGCCCCGGGCCTCTCGCCCCCGACGGTCCGCGGGTCTGCAAACACGTTGATGCTCTCGCTGCTCGGCTCGCGCGTGATGTACCCAGGCTTCGGCGGGGAGAGCGGGCTCGGGACACTTGAAGGGTGGTATCGCCGGGATCCGGAGTTGGGGCGCATGCCGCGGATAGGTGGAACGGGGACACCGCGCTCCGGCGTCTTGTTTGGCGGCGTCCGCGGTGCGGAGTCGCTGCGGGCGAGGCCGATGGGCTGGTGCGCCAGCGTCGTCGCCGTCGATGAGAGTCGGGTGTGGTAACCGGCGCCGCCGGCTCCGTAACGAGTCGGGAACGTGGTAGACCCGCGGGAGTTGACTGTGGACGGGGTCTTGAGGATGAAGTCGGTCCGGACGGTGGAGTCGGATATGGGGATGGGGTCGGAGATGATGTTGCCAAAGGACGAGGTTGACGTCGAGGGCCGCGGGGCGCCACTGCGCTTCTTCTCGTTTTGGAACGGAGCGTTGCGGCGGCGGCGGCGGGCGAGGAAGAGAAGGAGGGCAACGCCGAGACCTACACCCGCCAGCACGCCGCAGAGGACCCCGATAACGATGGCGGTGGGGAAGGTGCTGCCGTCCGCGTTGTTGTCGTTGCCGTTGTTGTTGACGTTGTCGGGAGTTGCGCTGGCGGCGATGGTGGTGGGAATGACGGTAGGGATGACGGTAGGGATGACAGTAGGGATGACGGTCGGGGCGGCGCCGGTGGATGTTGGGCCGGGGATGGAGGTGGACACGATTTCGGGCTTCTTGGTCTGGTCCGGGTCTACCACACACTGCTGGTTCTGATTGCAGGTGTACCCAAAGGGACAGCACTTGTCGACGCCGCAGGTGGCGAGCTTACCGGTGAGAGCTGTTGTCTTGATCTGTGCATCGGGATGCGTCGCGGCGTCCTGCAGTTCGATGTTGCAGGTGATAGGCGAGATTCTATCGCAGGTGCTTCCTTCCGGGCAGCAGAGCACGGTCGTGTTCCCGGCCAGGGTGATGCACTTTGTCCCTGTCCCGCAGCAAAAATTGCCTGGGAGACCATTGCCGCAGGGGGAGAAGCCGTCGGCGGTGCATGTTTCTTGCCGTGCAAAGACGGAGGGGTTGGAAGCGGCGTGGGCGGGGGCGAGGAGAAGTGAGAGCACCGTGGCTCGTGTGCGTTTTCGTAGTCTCGCCATGGCCACGCTTGATATGAAGTAAAGTAGTGTAGTGGTGGTCTTTCAGCTATGTGTTTCTCGCCGGCGTTGGAGAGCTCGTGTTGGACACGGCTCTTGCGACGGAGTCAGTCGCGTTTGTTGGAAGGCGTGTAAGTCGGGGAGTCAGGCAGCGAGCTGTGTCAACGAGAGCATGGCAAAAGACGGGTAAGAGTCTCCGATACACTCGTCGTATAGGGGATACAAAGGTATAGAAATAAATCGAGCTTGGGAGATGTTTCGTGTGAGATTGGTCGCGAGCGCACAATGAATTTGTCGTTATTCCCAGAAGATGATATGTCAGACAAGGAAGGACCACGCAATGACACACGGGGGTGGGCGAGAGGCCACACAAAAGGATCGATGGCAAGACGAACAGGCAATGACGACCTCAGAAGGCAGATGTCAATAGAATGGTTTGGCAAGCAAAGAGAAGAGAAGAGTCAGGCGGTGGCCCGACGGATGACGATTCTGTTTCCACTGGGCACCGCGCAGAACTCACCCAAACCCAATCTTTCTTGGTGTGGGCTTGATATCACGGTAAGGCGGCAAGGGCCATCCTTTTCGACCCTTACCTCTGCCACTCGGCGGAGGGCTCCCAAGGATAGCGGGGGGGGGGGGGGGAGAAGAAGAAGCACTGCAGACTCGGCAATCGTCCTCTTGCACGGTTCGAAACGAAGGAGCCTCTCCTCTGCCCAAAGGGAGGTGCCGCCCGATCAACCTCGCCTCTGAGGTAGGCTGTACGGTGGCCAACCAAGCGGCCGCTGGGCGGCATGGCGGCGACTTGCGAGGGGCCTGGCTGCAAATAGAATAGTCGTCGTATGCAAGCGCGATGGAAACGCAGGGCCACTGCCGCCCATCCGTTCGTTCACCTGGCCGGGATCGGTCGGGCTATGGGCAGGGAGGTGGTGGAGAAATGGTGTTGCGCAGGCCGTACGTCGCCAGTGCCGAAGCAAACAAGCCCCGTGAAGTCATCGTGAGAGAGTTGATAGGGCGTCAAGGGCCCGATATTCAGACCTCTGGTCATCTGAAGTCGCAAAACCATTGGAGGAAAAGGAGAAGAGCAAATGAGCAGCAGCGGCGGCAAGGGTGTTTCTAATTGCGGTTTATCGAATACCTACCGCCCTCGCGTTGGGCGGCACGACGTCTGGCCATGAGGCAGTGCTGGTATGGGTAGTCGCTAGGCTAGGGAAAACGAGAGGCTGTCGACGAAGGGCGAGCGCCTCCGTTGTGGGGTCACGGGTACCTATGCGCTCCTCGTGTCGCCAAATGGCCGACGCCTTTTTTCGTTGGCGAGAAACGGGCCATGAGAGGTCGACAAAGTCGCAGTGAAGAAACAAGCGGCACTAAGAACCCAAGAGTCGTGTCCCCAAAAACAGTCATTGAGTGCCAGAGTGTAGCCGCGCACGGGAAACGCGCGCGTATGATTCGCCAGTGGCGTCGTGGGGCCTTGATTTAGGGGTGGCCCCTGCATTCCCCCCCGCTGTCGTCTCTTTTAGCGTCCGTCTCTCCTTCTCTTTGTAGTAGGTAGAATAATAACTACACTGACCTAGGTAGGTCAGTTCTAAGGTAGGTATTCTACTTTCCTAGGCGTCTTTAACCGCCTTTCCCATCTTGGATCCTCGCAGAGAACTTCACTAGTGTAAAGAGACCAACATCAAAGAGGCCCTCGTGGTCTGTGCCTGACCTGTCAGCATCGACTCGAGGAACAAGGTGCCTGATTATGATTCTGGATTTCGCCGAGAACACTCCCAAGCGAGCGATACCAAGACCAAGACTAACCTCCAATGGCCCGCCGCCACTCCCGCCGAACCAAGCCACACGTGACGTACGCCATCGTTCCAGCCACTGCGACCGCTACTTTGGTCTCGTCCAGTCCTGTGTCCGGCCTTTTGTCATATCGGCTCCCTCATTTCTCGGACGACGGTCACAAGACCGCCACGCGGAATCCTCACCTTGACCGATCGGCAGCCGGCAGGAGACAAACATCCCCCATCCTCCACTCAAGTGCCGCCTCCCAGAGGGGGACACGCCGCCGGCCCATTACCACGTCTACGGGCCTCAGCCTATCCGCAGTAGCATCGTCGTCACCATCACCGTCGCCGACGTCCACCTCACTTCAGCTCGTCAAGGGGGGAGGGGGGGCGTGTCCAAACTATCCCGTGCCCACACGTCCGCCTGTATCTCGTTGTTGCCGTCGGTGAGCGTGTGCAGTGTAAGTCGGTCCCTCATTCCACGATGGGTGTTCAAGGGTCCCAAGTGCGAAAACCCCACCAAAGCGGTCCCATCCCGACCCGAAGCCCCCCTCCTTGCCCGGCCATCTGGCGTCTCCATGATCTACACCACGACCAGAAATCCAGAAATCCGCCTTGCCATGCTCCTCAATGAAGCCCTTGCCTCTTGCCCATGTCCTTTTCGCCATCGCGCCCCTCCCTCTCTCTCCGCGAGTACCCAACTGTCGTCAACATCGTCGACTTTACACCCCTCCCACGCGACAGCACGGCATTCGCCAAACTCTTCAGAATGCACGTTCCGATCCCGTGGCCTGTTTTCGTTGCAAAGGCCCCCAGCAATGGAGGAAACGGACGTCAAAATGCCGGCCCAATTCGCCAACGTCGTTCAAGTAGAGACAAATCGCAGCCGCAGTCAGGCCCATCACGTGGATACCCTCGAGCATATCTCGCATTTTTCTCTCACATTTCCCTGTTTTCCTAGTGTGAACTACCGACTACGCTACCTCACCACGCTACTACGTACAACCCCCCCTCAGGTACCCCAACCCCATAGCCAATTCACAATGATTCACACACGCGCGAACTGTGCGTTGTGACTCGTAAACGGCGGTGAACATCCCTTTTTTTTTTTTTTCTTCTTTTTTTCTGCAATAGTTTGCAGGTACGGGTAGTGGACGGGTGGCGTGCAGGGAATGTCCATGTCCTTTCCGTCATCTGAGACCATCCGCCCGAGTGTTGTTCCTTCCTCCCCCTGTCTCTTGCCGTTCAGGAATGCCTGCACAAACCACAAAAATTCCCCCAGCACCTGCAGCCGAAGGGGGGAGTGTACTCCAAAGATGTGAGATGGCAGAGCGTGAGGAACCGGAGAGTGAGAAGTGAAGAAGAAGAAAAGTAAATGAGGTAAATTCTTCACAGTTAACTTGATACTGTGACCTGGCCCCAGTCTCTCGAGCCATCTTTCTCTACACCCACTCCCGAAAGGCTAGAGATGATACGATGCGCCCCCCATCCAACCCCCCCCCAAAGCTGACTTATCCCCTTCGTCTTCCCCCATGCCAATGAACACGGCAGACGTTCGCGACTGTGCGGGCGGGATAGACTGCAGTTCACCAGCATCGCTCGCACGTTCCACATTCTGTGCCCACATCGTCCTATCTCCCGTCACTCACTGCCATCGCCCTGACGTCGTCAACACGGCTATCGTCCACCGGTCTCTCTCTTTCTTGCTCGACGACCCTGGGATAACGGGGGACTTCCCAATTGAGAAACCCGGCAAAGACAGCCACCACCAGAAACCGCGTCCACAACCCGAGAAGACGTCAGGTGAGCAAACATCCCAAGGGTCACACACACACCTTCCCCCTCCTCTTACCCCCAAGCTCACCGAGCCCTACCATGCGTGTTTCTGGTTCACCGCTATCGGGGTGGACGCAAGTGCGGACCTTTGGTGACTGTACAGACTGCCACTCACTCACATACACGAGCCCGTCGTCGTCGTTGTGCTACCCCGACCCCCCCCCCCCCCCCCCTTCTGCCTCCCCCTTACAGGAATCCCATTAGTCTCCAGAGCAGTCTAGGGAAGTGCAGCACAGAACGGGACCAGGGCAGGGCCGCGGCGCAGCACAGCGTGTAAAGTGCTTTCCTATGTGGCCTTCATTGCTCTCTCTGCTCTATTTGAACCTCAACCCAGGGGGAGACGTCGCCCGTCGGATACCGTGGCAGACAGGAGGGATCCAATGGGCAGGCAAGAAGTTGCATATTGCGCGAGAGAGCAGAGACAATACACGCGCCCGTGAACAATGATACTATCTGGTCATCTTCGTGCAGGTGCAGGTGCACCGCACAAACCCCCAAGCCGTCGACGCCATTCCTTTGCAACTCGACCGGGGTGGAGGGGGGGGCCTCTGTCACTCCTCAATCGACCGCCTGCATAGGTACAATCATACACTCTCCATCTATCTCTCTTTCTGCCTCTCTTTGCTTTTTAACTTTAACTTTGCTTTTTGAGTGGAAAAGTCTTTTGCCGAGCATCATCCTCCCAATTCGGTTTGCTGACCTGCCCCCCGCCTCCCCGCCTCCCCGCCTTCCCGTCCGTTGAGAGGTAAGCTTCGGCCGAAGTGCTTTTAAAAGGGAAGGTGGTGGCGGTGGGTATTGCTCGCCGCTATGAGCAGTAATCCGCTCGGATATCCCTAGCATGGACCGGGGCGCGAGACAGTAACGCTCGCTCGGCCCAAGAGCAGAACTTGACTGCGCGAGAGTTTGTTGCTCTCCATCGTCACCTTGGCAAATTGATTAAACGCAAACGGGAACCGTTGTCAATGATTTCAAGTATTTGCTTTTTTAAAATTGTTGGGTATAACTTGGTATTACATGAATCCCAATCTTGCTCGATCCGGCCAATGCTCCGTGGAGCAAGGCCGCCGATCGAACCCCAAAGTGAAGAAGTCAACAGGGAAGCTAGCCCATCACAGCTCCCAGAGCTCTTCTCTTTGATCCATCCGATCCAGTCCAGATGCACCGAAATGCTATTCCCATGTCCCCAAAAAAACGCCGATGAAGCCCATTTCCCATGCTCATGATGCGGTATACCCAGTGACAGCCGAAATCGAATAGATCAGACAGAACTAAGATGGAATGAAGATAGTTTCCCGTCTGATAAAGGGAGAAAAAAGCCGTTCGTCGCATCTCACGTTTCCCATTGCATGTTCCAAAGGCCCCATCCCAGCGGTCCTTTTTCCGTCATCATCGTCATCCATCATCCCGGCAGCCAGGCCCAGCTGCCCCGCGTACCCTCACCCAGGAAAGTGTCCAGAATAAAGTGTAGTCCAAGTGTCTTCGCTCTCGTTGTTCATGTCCGCTCCGTATGCCTTGCGGCGTGTCCTTCTAGTAACCCCAGAGCAACCTTGAAAAGGCCGATATATAAATGTGTAGGTGGAAAAAGAAATTGTGGTATCAAAACGTGGGGGGGGGGGAGAAAAAGAAAGAAAAAAAGTTGGAAGAGAAGATAACAATGTGTCCAGCAGCGCGAAACTGGCTGGCAGTAGCGTCCTGGTTCGCGCAAAAGGGAATGGGCGATTGCCTGCATCACTTTGCGAAGGCGGTACGCACACCATGCAGACGAGGACCGGTGAGTGCTAATATCTGTTCGGCCCGGGACCAGCCAGGCTATCAGATCAACAAGAAGTCCCAGCCCTTCATCTGCATGACATCCCGCCAGTGGATGTATGCTACCGCCTCCGATCCCGAGGAGGAACCAGGGCTGCCAGCGCAGCTGTCGCTGCTCTTAATGCTGCCCGTCTGAATCCAGACTTCGTTAAGGAGCGAGGCGACGCGGCCGAATGAACCGCAGTCGGAGACGTCGCCAAGCTGGGCAACGCGGTCCTCAAAGAGGGCACGGAAAGAACTGCCAGGCAAGCTGACAGAGCCGCCGACGAGGTAGACCCAGACGAGGCTGCGGTCGAATCCTCCAGGCCCCGAGGGGATGAGTTGGAGGACGTTGGCGAGCTTCTCAACGAGACCGACGCAGGAGGCTTGCGCGGGGTTGAAGCCGGGCACCAAGCTGCATAGGTAGATGCGAGCGGCAATACGGAAAGCGGCCGTCATGTTCTTGGAAAGTTGTTTCGGCGAAAGGCTTCCGTTGTTGTTGTAAGGCATCTTGGGACCGGATTCCCCTATCTCGGTAAGGTTGATCTGGTCGCCAAGTGCGTGCACGTGTTGGCAGAGGGTGATGTCGTCCATGCCACTGCTCTTGAGAGCCTCGAGGCAGGCAATCTCAGAGATGAGGTACATGACACGGTCATCACAGCCCATGAGCTCGCGGAGACCGAGGCTGGGGTTGTTTGACAGGTGCTTCTCGCGGTAGGTGTGGGCGAAGGTGGGCGCTTGTCCTTGCATTGTCGCGCCCAGGATGTCGATCCAAGACGTCAAGGTCATGTTGAAGGGCGTCTGGTTCATCTGCTCACTGGGGTCCGAGACGAGGCGGGGAAGGTCAAGCTTCTGCACCAAGCTGATGGCAGCTTGGAAGTGCTGATGCCATGGGATGTCGGGGAGCGCGTCGTCGAAGCGGCCGACGACACACTGGAAGAATATGAGACCCAAGGCAGCATCAAGAATCTCCTGGTGGTTCTCGTCCTTGGTGAGAGCATCGCACAGGGCCGAGATGGTGGCATAGCGGTGGCGCATGATGTCCTGGTCGATCTCGTCGCCGGATACATTGATCGTCGCCTTGTAGTGCTGAGCGGCGATGCTCAAGCAGCAGTGCAGGTAGCCCTTGTTGCTTTGAAGGGCGGGGAGGATCAGGTCAGAGCCGACCGAGCCGTGCTGGTTGGTGTCGAGGATGGGGAAGATGGTGGGCAGGACGAACTGGATGAAGTGGTCCAGCAGCCGTTGGTCGTTGTCGTCGAGCTCAATTGCGACTTGGCGGTTGGACATGGCTGGGCCATGGGAGAAGTCGAAGAAGTTGACGTTGAGGGTTTCCTCGCTGAGAGATTCCTTGCGCTCTGAATAAACCTGCTCGGTCCATTCGCCGTCGAGGGGTACAGACGAGGGCAAAATGGTTCCTGGTGGAGGAGGAGTGTGAAAGGTGCTGAAGGTGGAAATGGTCGACTCCCTCAGGGTGGGCACATCGTTCATGTAGACCTGTCGTTCCGTCTTGACATCAATCTCATACGGTGAGGGGAAGCCGCTGTACATGAAGTCAGGGTGCATCTGCGGGTTGTAGGTGCCATACTCGGCACCGACAGTTGGCGGGCTGTTGAAGTTGAAAGCCGTGGAAAAGTGCGAGTCGATGGAGGCAGAGCGGGTGCGGTCAAGGGGGTCGGAGAAGGTGGCGGAGGTGGGAAGCGAGTGCGACAGGCCCGGGGGCGAGCCGACGGAAGTCTGAATCGTGTGTGACGCCTTTTCGGAAAGCTTCTTGCGCTTGATGATCGTCTTGATGTCGTCCTTATGCTTGCGGCGAGCGTCGTTGTTGCTCCACCACATTGGCCGCTTGTATTCGCATGTCAAACCGAGGTGTTTGCAAGCGGAACACATGGGCGAGCCCTCGTCGCACTTCTTGCGGCGCAGTCTGCAGGTGTAGCATCCTGAAAAGAAAGGCGATTAGCATCGAGAGTTCAAGCGAGCCATGGCAGCTGAGTGGGAGGGCAAATGAACGTGGTTGGGTGGAAGGAGGCGAGAAGCCGGTGTAAGTAGCACTCGGGTGTAAGTCAAGCGAGAGAGTTTGCTCGTGTGATAGAAGCTTAATGGTTTTGGGGGTGGAAGACAGAAAGGTAGAGCCAAGCATAGGTAGATAGATAAGACGTACCTGTTCTTGAACGACGGTGCATCTGTGACTTTGCCTTGTTGGAGTTGGCATTGTTGTTGCTGTTGGCTTTGCAGGCCGACTTGGCCTTCGCAGATGATGCGACCGCCATGTTGACTGCAGCTGTTGATCTCATGAAGTCGGATCGAATGTGGTTGGGGGGTAGAGTTGACATTTGTACCCTTCTATCTCGCGATGGGGGTACCTGCGTTGAATGACAAGCCGAGCAGCGAAGACAGAGCTAGAGCTGGCTGGCTGGCTGGCTGGGGTGGAGAGGAAGACAGGGAGGAGGGGGGTGGGTGGGGTGTGCAGTGATGAACCGTCTAGGCCGGGATTCAGGGACCAGGGGGGTGTGTGAGGAGGAACCGTTGCACTGTATGGGCCTGGAGCGAACTGTACTGTGCACTAGACCAGGGAAGAGCAACCAGGGTGCGGGGGGGGTGCAAGTACGTGTGGTGCGTGCTTCTCCTTCTGATTTGTGTGCACCAAATGAAGCGTGTGAGCAAGTAGTAGAGAGAGAGGGGGGGCGGAGAGGGGAGGCTGCGGCAGTCTGTCTGTTCCTCAGTGCTCTCTGCTTCCTTCCTGGTAGCCAAGCGAATAAGGCGGGGCGACCTGGATACTGAGAAGAGGGGGAAGAAGTGAGTCTGTGGCCAGAAAACGTCTGTTCACTCGCCCGCTGTCAAGGCAATTTGAGATGAGAGACCGGGTTGTTTGTCGAATGGGCTTGTCGATTTTCCCGAAACCCAAATCACGGTCGTATCAAGATTAATGAATTATTGTTTTTTTCCCTGTCGATTTTCTCCTCGTTTCGACGCAGAAATGATTTCTTGGCTGCTCTGATTTCGCTTTGCGAACTGTAACAAGGCGGCGCGCTGGGCAGAATATTGCTAATTGCAAATGACTGTTGTATGGGTGTGTGGTTCGGTATTATCGAATGAATGACTGTTTGTCGAGCAAGTCCGGCTTGCGATTATCTCGAGTGGTTGGGGTTTCGGACGAGTGCGGAGGGATGGTAGCAAAAAACAGAATGATGAATAACAGAGAAAACAACCTTGAACAACACTTGGATCACTTTCCTTCTTCTTGACTTCTACAGATCAACGAGAGGAGAGACAAGAATCCAACTGGTGGCGATGGATGGCCCAAAGTCTTATATTGTGGCCGCCCTCATCATGGCCGTCCTCCTTTTTGCTCAACCAACGGGCCTTTGGCTGGTCTGCCTGTCTGCTGTTGGCTACGTAGCCAACCAGCCAGCAGTCATGTTCTAAATTTGGCCACGCCCAGATCAAGCTGTGTGTGTGTGTGTGCGTGTGTGTGCGTGTGTGTATGGGTGCGTGTGTGCGTGTGTGTGCACCCATGCTCCCGAAAGAGTGAGTCTCTCTCTACTACATCCAAACTAACGAAAACTAGGGCACAAGGCAGGCCGGCCAGCCAGCCGCCTTCACCTCGACATGACTCCGTAAGACTTGGACCTGCGCTTACAGCCTCCAATGGGATTGGGCCGCGAGGGCGGTCGCACTCCGAGTTGGTCCCACACGAGAATAGAATAGGAATGGATAGGTCGAGGACAGGAGGGGCCCAGCTTCGAGATGGACGACATGGGTGACCGCATCTGTCGAGCGACTCAACGGGCCACACGGTCAACGCATGCATGCCGTTGCTTGTCATTGCTGACCTTTGGGTGGTGGGCCATGGGGACCAATGTCACCCTCAACCATCCGGTCCACACGCGATGCAGAGACATGCAGAACCGCACATGGGGTCCGCTTGCTGTTTGCCCAACTCGATATGCCAACCTTGCCTGCGGCCATGTACCATTCTGGCCATATGCCTCCCCGGCTGTCGGCTGTCGATACCGCGTCCACTGCCCTCTGCCCGGGTCCTGGCTGGTGCAGCCGTTGGTCTCCAATATCGGCTGTATGAAAACATCATGATGGGCAATTGTGGCTGCTCCCGTTTACACCGCGGGAGGAGTGCCTTGCACAGCTGGAACTGCAAGCGGGCAGACAAACTAGCATCACTTTGCCCTTGCTTCTTCCCGTTGTACCGTCTTCTGCGCCAAGCGGTGTCGCTATACGTAGTATGTCCCTCTCGGCCGCCAAGATGGCCTGCGATGGCACGGCTTCACAAGAGACGTTCGGGGGCCGAGTAACTGAGGACCAGAACAATGCCTAGCTGGGCTGATCCTTGCAGAATAGAGCGGCCGTGGGCCTAGGGTCGCATGTACTTGCACGGAGTTAGTCAACCACCAACACATCCACCACTAGAGCCAGTGTAGACGGAGCCAACAGTAAAAGCCGACCAAGAAGCCGTGGGGTTACATGGATGTGGAACAACCTTGCTGCCCCTATCAATCATTTTCAGCATGGTAGGCAGCCCTGTGTCTAACAAACATATTGGGTGCATCAGATCATCCCATGTGAAGAGCCTCGCTTCACGGGTGCATGATGGATGCCGATGTGCGGGACATGACTTGTCGGCGGTTGGAACCCCCACCGGGTCTCATCAAAATATGGCAATCAGCCTGGAGACGTTCCGGGAAAGATCTTCAAGGCCATTGTGTCCAAGGCCGACGGTTTCTCCGAGGTCCTGATCAAATTCGTGTCTTCGTGATGTCCAATTCCACGCCTACTAGCCCCTTCAACCGGTCTCTCTCTCTCTCTCTCTCTCTCTCTCTCTCTCTCTCTCTCTCTCTCTCTAGGAGATCTCCATCTAGAAGATGGAGATGATCCACAAATGAGAAGGCAGGGAATGGCGGCCAACGCCTGAATTGGCTGGTACATGTCGTGCATGAGAAGAACCCGCGGGCGCTGAAGGCTTGTAGTCCGAGGAGACCGACTAAAAGAGGGAAAATACCTCGGATCGTACGGGACCACGGGCGAGGAGACAGGTATCCGCCCATGTTGACAGAAGGAAGGAAGGCGTTTGTGGGTTTCGACGGCGGAGGAGTCCCAAAAAGCACCAACTAGTACTTGGGCATCGATACCAGACTACTGACAAATCTGGTGTTGGGTGTAGCAAGCCAGGGGGTACCATGGCATCGCGGGAGATGTCGTGCAAGTTGCTCCGCTCCGTCCGAGCCTTCAAGATTTCGGGACAGTCGGCGCGAAAAAAACGGCTGCGGATAGTGAGGGTACAAGGACAGGGGCGCGGTTGACTGCTTGTCTCTCCAATTGTCGGCAGTGGTTTTTCCTTTCTTCTCCTCAGTAGTGTACCTACCTACCTGCCTCGTCTTTCTGTTCTCGTACGTCTTTTAGCGTCTTGTCCGTCAGTCGAGAATCCTTTGTGCCTTCTCCCACGCTGATTCGACCGAGAGATGTGACGACTCAAAGCCTCGTGCAGGGCTTCGGGACCAACCGTTTCTTAGCGCTTGTGATGCAACAGGGATCTAAAATCTTGTGAGAGGGTTGATCTCCCCCCGGATTGGCTGCTGGAGGCTGAGGACGACCAGATCGTGCAGGAAATATTGGTCAGGGCTACCCGGCTAGCGTCATGCACGGGATTTGAGCTTTGTCCAATAGGTGGCGGGGGCGCGGCATCTGACAGGGCGCCTTCTCGCGGGGTTTGCATGATGGCTCCTGCTTCGCTTGAGGGAAGAATGCTGCAGCGGAAGGCACGTCCCTCAGATATCCGTCCGCCCAATCAAGGTTAGGTTTTCTGTCAAAAATCGTCCAATGGCAACGGTGCACGCTCTCCGCTTGCTTCCGTAAAGGAGGCACGTCGGACAAGGTCCGCCGATGATCTCCCGCTAACTATTAACAATGGACAATGGACGACGCTTCTTCTTGCCATGTCACGGACACCATGTCCTCACCACCTTCCAGAACGGGACGCTCGGGTCAGTCACCGTCACCTCGTCCATCCGACCGTTTCTCCAGTGACCTTCGGGACAACCTATTTCTGGCGGCCTAATTAGCCGCCCAGCTTTGGCTGCGTGATGTGATCCAGGGTAATTTACCCCATCTGCGTCATTCTAACTTGTCCCATTAGCCCTCTTTCGGTTCTGACATCTTGGGCTAATTTGGGCAGCACGTCTCCGCTGCATGCCCTTCGAGCCGTCACATCGTCTGTCTAGCCGCTGCAGGTGTTTATCGTCACCCGCAGACCACGCGCACCTCGACTAACATCCGCTGCTATTTTTATTTAACCCCCAACCTGCGGGATTTAGCCCTCGCGGCCGCGAGTTTAACCCTGCTTTCGCCATGTCACGGCACTTCAATAGTGTGCTAATGATTCAATCCTAGGATATGCGGGCTAATTATGGTCCCAGCTTGTGCCAACGACATACGCCTAACCGACCTGGGTAATTAGCTCCAACCAGCGACACGCACCTGACCGACCTAATTAGCCCCAACAACACAACACAACCGAACCCAACCCGACCTCCCTCCGTCCGATCCCTTGGCCGTAACGGATCTTTGGTTTGCCTTCCTCCCATCTACCGTGCCGCAGTCCTGCTGTCGAAACTGTCGTGCGTAGACAGGCAACTGAACCCAACAGCACCAAGCAACCAGCCCGGCCCCCCCTAGCATGCACAGAATCCGTGCCGTGCCTTTCGCACCTGCTTTCATCGGCACGCAGTCCGGGGTCCGTTGCTTTTTTCTCTTTCGCGCAGTAGCCTTGTTGTTTTCCGCCCGCTGACAATCCCAATCATCACAAATGCCTACGATCATCGCCAATCTCTTTGCTCCCCCGGTCCCTGGCCGGGATCCGCAACGAGTTCCTGCCCGTCCCGCCCGTGCCGCAGTATTGCCTGCCGCATTGCCTGTCGCTCGTCATCGTCCATTCCGCGGAATACGCCAGTATATCCGGTTAGAAGTTATAGCAGCCTTTGCCAGTTGGTTGCCTTTCTGTCATCGCAACACTACTGGCTAATAGATCCTCGTTATGACTTCATCCACCCTTGCACTCTCAGCTTGTACGGACGCCACTGTAGCTGACATAATCTTGGACAGAATGCAACCGCATTTTACGTATCGCATGATTGTCGATCGGCCTAGCCAAGCACTCTTCCTCGGCCCCAGAGACTCTTTTTACTTTTGTGGGTGACATCGAACCGTTCAGTCGAGTTGACGGGATCATTAACACCAACCAATGTTAGATGCGAGAGGTGGACGCCTCTATCACACAGCAATTTCCGTTTCTCCTAACCACCCACCGTTCTCTCCTGGCCACAGCCTCCGTCGGCTTCATCCTTTTGTCAGCAGCGATACCAACCGGACTGGTGCGGCCCTGATTCGCCGACGGACATTGAGGCGTCGAGGTGTGTTTACTGCTCATCATCACTGTCCTGTTGTGGCTAGTTTAGTGTGATGCGATGTGAACAATATCGCTAAACCTTGAGGGTTAAGACGTCGGATGGCAGGGAGACGGCCGCTACTGCTTTTGCGGAGGAGACCATGCCCGGGTATCCCAGTCTTCCCGCCCTTCCGCTAACAGCTCACGAACGGCGCAACATCGCTTGCTTCTATACCCCAGCCACCCGCGGCATATCACCACAGACCCTAGTAGGACTCGAGGATTCTAGGCTTTAGCCTCGCTCGGCGCGCGTTGTTTGCCTTTGGGCAAGAATCTTACGGCCGCAGCTCCAAGGACGGCCGGTGAGCCAGCAAACGTTGCAACGTTAACCAGCCCGGGAGACGATCCATTTTGGTTGATTGCGCAAATATCAAGAGGCAAGGAGACCCCTGCCCCCAGACCCTCAGCTCCATACCGTACGGGAGCACTGTACGATATCCATGCTCTCCCGCTCTCCCGCTGAACCTGTGGATCTACTCTCTTGGGTTCAACCCCCGACTTGGCTTACTCAAATACTGACTGGCTTTTGCGGCACAGATTCACAGATACAGGGCAAACGACATTTGAGATTTGCAAAATCCGGCCCCCAACGAGGCTTGGTCTCGGACCCCATGGCACCATGCCAGAATTTGCATGAAGTTTCATGGTCGCATCTCTACTTTACTTTACTTTCATTTTTCATTCTCATCTTCATGTTTTTGTAATTCAGTGTCAGTGTGGCTGGTTACCTGCAAGTGTCCCTCTGACGGGTGACAACTCAAATCGCGCCGGGTGGCAGTGAAGCAGCCCAACAACATGAAGATGTGTCCCCATGAATGGCCAATTGCAAATGCGAGGTTGCATTCAGAGATCATGACAAAGGGGGCCTCAGGAGGCGACCGCAGACAAGGGCCTTTATTGTGATCTCGACCGTAATACAACCTCATGGAAGACTGCCAATCACACCACAGATAAGCCATTCCCCCAGAGCCGATTCGCCCCCACCTTGGCAACTGCGAAATGGGAGCCCTTTTCGACATGCCGCTAGTGCAGCGCGTGTTGGCGGACCGAAATCACGATGATCTGCCCGTTTTGCTCAAGCCACCAGCGCCGCACCGCCATGCGATCTTACAGAGACGTTCCCCAGGTCTCACCAACGTCCATAGTTCAATGCTCCTGTCGTTGAGACTCGTCGACACCATCACAAACCTCTTTGGTCTTCGTGATCCACTGTCTGGCATGAGCATCAGAGTCATCCCTCGATAACAGTGGTGCGAAACTCGCATTGGTCCGCCATCATGTGAGTGCGCGTCAAGATGTGTTGTGGTAAACTCAATGGGGAACATAGGCAACGTATTAGGGACATATCTGTGGAATCCTAGTCTCAACATCCACACACGCCAAAGAGAATCCTCGAAGTTGGGTGTGCTAAATCGCCCGAAGGACTCTTCCCCAAACCACACACCATGCCCCCCCCCCCTTCCCTTTCGACCTTCAAACAACCCCCTAGCTCCCTTACGCGTGAGGGGGTGGTGTGCAAGGTGCACTGGGCCCTTGTCACTGTTGGCCGTATTTGATGATTTCCCTCCAGGATCAGAGATTGAACGTGGAGGCCCGTCCAATTGCCTTGGAAGCTCGCACAGTCTCGTACACAATTTCGAATGATCATCGGGTCGAGTCGGCCGCGAAGCACGTTTATCGACAGTCAATTGTCCATTATTGGGCTTTCCTTCAGCTCTTAGCATTAGCATCTCGCCAGTTTGCCATCCTACTGGTTGACGGTTCACTCATTCGGGTGCCATGTGTTTTCGCTGCGCAACCCGGCTACTGTCGGACAAGATTTGCTTGGGTGTCGTTGAAAGGATTGAGGCATGGCGAAAGGCGGGGGCTATTGATTGATCTGTCCGAGACACCACAGCGTCGTCGGACACGCCTCCCTCAGTCACGGGATCCATCGGATGAGATCATCCGCGAATATGCCAGGCAGCATGAAGAGTCGGTGAAGAAGGCAAGACATTTCTGCGTCCCGTCGATTCATGCCACGGTTCCTCATGTCTCGGAGACGCATCGAACACCTCTTGGAATGGACATGGAAGATGGAGACGCAGTAGCGGGAGCGTGCTTTTCTGCTTCCCTGCAGAGCGTCACACTGCTAACGCAAGAACTGGGTTGTCTTTCACAGCATCTTTAGGCTGTCTATGACTCAGCGATAATACCCAGGGTCGACCTTTACCTCGCCTTTCCAGCGCACCTGTTGTGCTGTTGCTTGTGGAGTGTACGCCATGCTTCACCGACCTTGACACACGGCGGCATATGTCGCGCAACTCGAAGCTTGCCAGCCCCCGAGAGGAGGGGATTGAACGTGGCTGCCGGGCAGCAACAATACAACGACTCGTCGTAGTGATGTGATTTTTGACATTTTTGTCATGGTTAGACGGATATTGGCTCACTCGGGCTGTTAATATCAGGGTTGTTCATATCAGATCCTGTCCAGATTAGAGTGGTGTGGCGAGAGCCAATTCCACAGCGGTCCGATTACCGGCAGCACCATCGGATATCACCACTTCCCAATCCGTGAACTTACACTAGGAGGGGAGGGTGGCAGCACTCACCCCTTCAAGCATTGGGCACATTGCATATTTGTCTCAACCGTTCTGCGGGGTAAAAAGCTGGCCCCCGATGTCCTGTCGTGCCACCCGTTCCAGGTCCACGAACGTCGCCAACCTATCAAACCTGTTTCCCGCCAGCCTCCCTCCCTCCGTCCCTCTCTCTCCCTCTCGTTCTCGCTCTCACCGAAAGGGTTGTCCGATTCCCACCGAGCAAACAAGGCCAAGAAGATTTGTTCCACGGCATCGAGCTGTGGAAGCTAACGACGGGTGCATACATACAGCTGCAAAAGCCAAAAAGACGCCCTGCAACAAACCATGTCTTCTCGTCACATTCAGACCGCCATCTGCAAGGACCAAAAGGTCATGAAGTCATACGTGGGTAGGCGACAAGGGGCACAACGGCGATTCGACGAGAGTTACGCCTTCCGTTATCAAATTTTCCCCAGCGGCGAGGAGAGAAGGCCAGCTGGGGGCGGGTAAAGTCATGTGCCGTGGCCGCATGTGGTCACGTTGTTCGCTATCGTCTTGGAGTGATTGGGCAGCAAACATTCGGGGACGTCTTGATTTGCGAGCTGAGGGCGAGGCGAGGCTAATGGCCGAGCAATCCAACGGGCAGCGCCGATGGTCGCACGCCGGGTGGGTGGAGCGACGCAACGCAACGGGTCGACGGGTCAACGGCCAGCAATGAAGCAAGCTATCGTTTGCAGGACCCATTGAGATGCCGACCATCTATCCCGTCCCACTCGCCAGATACCCATTCCAAAAAAGGGACGAAGGATATCGCCTCATCCAAGGGGTTTTTTATTTTCTATCTTTGTGAGGCCATTGGCCTCCATTGTCCTGGCCAGAAGAGCAGTCTCGGCTCTCGATGGGATCCCTCCGATGGAGGCCCGACGAGCGAACCGAGTGGCTGATGAGACGGTGAGGGGAAAGTCAAGTCAGTTGATGATGGTGGGGTCCTGTCCTGCCCTTGTCCGTTGTCGTCGGAAGCTCGTCGAGACGAGAGCAGAGAGTTGGTGGTGGTGGCTGTGGGCAGCCGGGGGGTGTGCAACGGTAGAAGAGGCAGGAACCGGGGTCGAGAGGACTGGCACTTTTGCTTTTTTCTCAACCATCTCTTTTTCTGATGGACGGTCGAGCGGGTGGTGGTCGGTGTTGGGATGGAATGTCTGTGATTGCTCCATGGTCATGATGCAAAACTGAGCGAGGTACGGATACTCATCCAAACATTGTCGAGGCCTTTTCCGGCCAAAAGTTCGTCGGGGGGGTCGTCGCAAAAAGATGGCTTGGGCTTGCTCCCTCAATTACACGGCCACTGCTGGATAGCAATGTGGCGGCGCATAGGGTTTGCCTGATGCACACGACTTAGCTGCCAAGTGTCAAGTCAAGACAAGAGTCGCGTGTGGCGGGTTCGCCTGGGACAAAGGGACACGGCAAGATGGGAATCCGATGACAGGAATAAGAACGTGGCAATGGCATGGCGGGAACCGCGAACAGCAGGCGGTAGGACGGCGTGGGGTCTGAATACGCGCATCTATCCACCGAACTCTCAGTGCAGAGCTGTGGGCAGTCGGACGCTGGCACAAGCATACACCTAGATAGTACGGATAGTGCCTACATCCTCCGTAGGAAGGCACGATGTACCGGTAGTAAGCAGTTGGTGAGCGGGGCGGCGGGTCGAGTGCTCTTTGCTTTTTTGGCATGCAACCACCACGAAAGGCATCGAGAGAAAGTGTGTGTGCCGGGGAAGCTTGTCCTGCCCCTGGCCATTGCAGGGTGACGAACGAACAGGGCCTTTAGGTTCTTAGTTGGATTGGTAGAGGGAGGGTAGGGAGGGTAGGACGAACAAATGTCGAGTCTCTGTGATGGGCATGTGCAGGTGGGTGGGCTAGTGGCATTTGGGGGCGTGTGAACGAACTACCAGGAGGTCGAAGGTGAGATGTGAGTGAGGTGCGAGAGGTGTGAGGTGAGGGAGGTGAGAGAGCCGAGTTTAGCGTCATGAACCGGCGGACCCAATCCCCACCGTCCCCTCCCCTCCCCTCCCCTCCCCTCTTTCCGTTCTGTGTCTTTTTCCCGTCTCCTCCTTCCTGCCTTTCCCATTTCTCGCGCCGTTGACGGCGGGCAGGTCCCCACTTTTGTCTTGACGACAAGCGACAGCGACTGGCCGCCGAATCGAGTAGACGGGCGCTTAATTATAAAAAGAAAAGAAAACCGCCGTAGCGGTGCCGGGGTGCGTCGGGCTTTCTGGCCAATGGCGTGTTAGCGTTCCTTAAAATAAAGTCGCACAACGTGAATTTTGTCCAATGATGAGGCCTTCAGCGGTGCCTGCCTTTTTCACGTCTGCGCTGTTTCCCGTTCCTGTCCAATCAATAGCTGGCATTGCCCGATCTTCGCGCCGTCTAGACCATCTTCGAACACCACACCTGCCTTCACCACACTCTGTCTCTCTCGTCTCTCCGATTCACGCGCAACCCCCTCCTTTCCCCATGCCGGGTCCTTCTTCTTCTTCTCCTCCTCCTCCTCCTGCCGCTCTTGACTACTGCGCTGCGCTGTGCCTGTCCTGGACATGCTGCGTCCTGCGTCCTGTGTGTTGCTTCACTGCAAGTGCAAGTGCAAGTGCTGGATGTTGTGTATCGCCGTCTACATGGATGCTGACCGGCTCACACCCCCCCTTCCCTCCCATCTGACCAGGTAACCAACTTCGAGCATACCTCTTCACCCACTACATGGCGCCGCCGATAGTCGTCCATGGCCCTTGGCTAGGCCGTTGCCCGCTTGGCCACCCACACACTCTCTCCTCCCCTAATATCTCGTCCCTACCCATACCTGTCCACGCAACCACCGGGCTATTATTATACACTGGACTGGCCTGTTGAGAGTACCACCATCGGATCCGTGTGCAAGTGCCACCGGTCGAATCACATCAGAACCGCCGAGCATATGAATATGGGCATGGGGGTGATGGGACAACTGCGCGTGCACTGCGTTATGTGCTGTGATCCGACCTCAACCACCCCCCCAACCCGTTACCCCTACACGCTCCGCTGTCCATGGACACACTAGACATACATAACTCGCGGTAGGCGCCCGCCTTGTACCGGATCCCCTCCTTCTTCTCTTTTGCGACCTGCTACATACCAAACGAGCATATTCGGCTCTGCTGGACTATTTTCCTTTTCCTCTGCTTTTTGCTAGTCCGTTTCCTAGCTTGACTCACCCTCCCTGAGGCGTCGTACAGCTTGCACTGCGTGCATCCCCCCCCCCCCCCACCATCCATCTACAAGCTTCATCATCGGGGTATCCCTAGAGCAGAGTGCTGCCGGCAACGGCCTTTACCCCCAATTTCCCACTTCACCGAACCAAATATCTCAAAAGAGGCTACTCTGCGCTGTAGACTGCGAGTCGGGTACAGCCAGTCCATGCCTCTTTGATATCCCATACTTCCCGCATAGAGAACACCCCTCGCCGGTATACACAAAATGGTAAGCCCAGACGAATCCAATGGGTTTAGCGTTGCGCGTGGCGGCTTAAGGCTGACCTCGGCGCAGAATTACCCACAGGCATACGCCATGGGCGAGCGTCGCATGCGCCATGAGATGCGCGAGAAGGCAACCTTGCGTGACACGTTCTTCGGTATCAAGGCCGAGCCGCAGAGACCAACATCGGTAGCAACGGAATTCATGGACATGGAATGGGACGATGAGGTGCTCAGTGAGTTCGAGGACAACTCCCCTCGCATCAGCGTCAACTCCGTAAGTGATTTGTTTGTATTTGAAGCAGCGCCAGCTGGCAGCGACTAACATGCGCGCAGTCCGGCGGCCAACCAAGTATCACAACACTTTCATCCTACGATGAGGTGTCAACGCCGAGGTCAAGTCAAGGGCGCATGATGTACGCTGTCGAGGTCGAGCACTCGAACAAGAAGATCGAGGGCCCTACAGGCCCGCACCTGTTCCGCGCCTCCAGTTCGGGCTACTTTGACGAGGCCGTCCTGAGCCTCTCCCCTATCACACCAAAGACGGCGCGGCCGTTTGATGAGCCTTTCAAGCACATCAGACCGCAACAACCGCCCATGCCTCAGTCAAGACAACAACAGAGCGGCCCCTTCCAGTTTACGTACGAAGAGCTCGAGTCAAGAGAGCTTGTCTCGTGGACCCCCGAGATGGTTGCGCAGTCTATGCTTAATGCCGGCATTGAGCTCTCGGTTGCCGGCCGCTTCGTGGAGAACGACATCAACGGGCCCATCCTAATCACATTGAAGTTTGAGGACCTGAAGGAGCTGGACATCCCGTCCTTTGGCATGAGGACGCGCGTCTGGAACCAGATCCAGGTGCTACGGGACAGCAGACCGAGCTCGCCCCGCGCCCCGACGCCCATCCAAGACGAGCCCAGCCGGGAAGTCAAGAAGGAGAGCCGCGAGAACAGAGCAGCTGAGAGGCAGGCGGATGACTGCGGGTTGAGGAGGAGGAAGAGCAGCCGCAGGAGGCTCAAGAAGCCGTCCCACGACGACATCATCACCCCCATGGAGTCGGTGTCCATTGTCGGCATCGAGCAGGTTGTCCCCAAGCCCCACCAATGCCCAAAGGGAGAGAACTGCTCCAAGTACAGGAAACAGCAGCGTCTCATCGAGGCTTTCCGCAAGGAACACCCTTTCGTCGACCTCGAAACGGAGCAGGTCGTCATCACCGGAAACCCCGGCAACCCGCAGACTGCCCGAGCCCTGGACCCCAACCAGATCCTCAGACCCATTTCGGATGCCGTCCCGTCAGTGGTCGCTTCCTCGGACGTTCTGGGCCCGGGCAACGCCACGCCTCTGCAGTACCTCCAGGAGGCTGCGCTCCGCAACGTCGTTGCAAGAGACCCGCAAGACAATGTGCGCCAATTCCTGGACTTCCAGAAGCACGAGGGCAGCAGCACCGTCCCCCCTACGCCGCCCTTCGAGATGGCTCCCCCTGCCATGAAGGCCCAGCCTGACCGGCTTCGTCACCTCCCAAAGCTCTCCATCCCGGGAAGCCAGACTCCTCGTGCCAGCCCCCTCAGGGCCTCCACGGTCCCTCCTCCCTCCCAGCCCGAGCCTCCCCAGTACCAGCAAGGCTTCGTCCCCTACCACATGGACCGCGCTGAGGCAATGTCGCCGGATCTGCAAAGCCCCACAAACCCCTACCGCTTCGGTACCCCCTTTTCCGAGATGGACGTTCCCGTCACCGCCGTGCCGATGGACCGCATCGCGCGCGATACCTCTCAATCCGTCCCTCCTGAGATGAACTACCGTCCGGGCATCGTCAAGCAGCAGCCGCCCCTCAGCCGCACCCAGTCCCGTGCATCCGCTCGCCGTCCCTCCTTCCCCGTCCTCCCTGCCCTGAATGAGAACACCACTACCCCCACCGCTCGCACATCCCCAAGGCAGACATCTCCTCGTATCTCCGTCCGCCCTCAGCAGCAGCAGCAGCAGCAGCAACAGCAGCCTCTGCAGGCCCCCCCTCGCGTCAACTACCCCTGGTCGCCTATCGAACGCACCAAGCCCTTCGAGCAGGCCATCCCCCCAATCTCCCACCTCGCCGGAGCCCTCCCCGTCAGGCAGGCGGCCGAGGCCGCCCAGAAGGACGGCATCACCTTCCAGGGCCCCATGAAGAAGCGCAAGACCAAGATGCTCCGCCACGAGTGGAACGACACGTTCTGCACGCTCAAGGGCACGCGGCTGGCGGTCCATAAGGACGCCAAGACGATCGACCGCACGCTCGAGTATGTCGACGTCGACGACTACGCCATCGCGTGCTCGAGCCTGGCGTCGCAGAGCAAGCTCTCAGCCGCCTTCAAGGCCGTCCAGTTCTCGTCCCACAGCCGCGAGAAGAGCGACCCCGTGGCCGCCTTCAGCTTCCAGCTCATCCCTCAGGACAAGGACAAGGAGGCGGCCAAGCTGCGCAAGCGCAGCAGCGCCCTGCACGGCTTCGGCCACCACCACTCGTCGAGCGCGTCGTCCATCCCGGCCGAGGGCGTCAACGGCACGGGCAAGACGCACCACTTTGCCGTCAAGAGCCGCGACGAACGCATCGACTGGATGCGCGAGCTGATGCTCGCCAAGGCGCTTAGGCAGAAGGGCGACGGCTTCGAAGTCAGCGTCAACGGCAACATGATCTAGATGTGTCTGTTGCCTGGCAACCTCGACCTCTCTTTCCTTCAGAATAACGAGACCAGCAAAAAGAAAAAGAAAAAAAAAAGGGATGCGGGGTCACATCAGAAGACAGTCTCTCGCCACAAGAAACAAGGCATGCAAAAAACATCAAGTATCCATAATCAACACGCGGCTTACATGTGCTGCCCCTTTTCTATTATTCGCTTCTGGCGCGCAGTCAGGCAAGCACATTCCGCTTCGGTCTCTCATGAACAGCTCTCGGGACGAGAGGGAAAACTGGATACCTATTTGTTTTTCTCTTTTCGTTTTGCCATTTCCAGCCTGACCGACCGCTTCTCGGGGACAGCGTCTCCAACCTCTTTCATCTTTGTTTCTCTCCATTTCTCCGTCTTTTCCTTTTTTCTTTTCTTTTCATTGCATCAGTCATCTGGACAGCGGCATTTGTTATATCCTTGATCAGATTCTCCCTCCCCCTTTACCTGACGCCGGGTATATGACTTTGTTTTTCTTTCTTTCTCTATTCTACAACAGGGGGGAGGGAAAGGATAGGTACCGGGGATTTATATTTCTGCTTGGAAGCTTTTATGGTAATCTCTTGACTGTGGGCCATCTCACTTCCCACACACACACACACACACACACACACACACACACACACACACATACACATACACACTCAAAATCGCCATGAAATCACCGATACACGCACGACACGACACGACACGATACGAAAAGAAATAGGTCATTCCTTCTATTCATATATGATCTTCTGGGTGGGGATACCATGATACCTGAGAGTAGCTTTGCTCTACGCGACGAGTTTAGTTTAGATGGAAAAAAACCGAAAATGAAATTGAAACGACCCAGAAAGGGGGGGCGCCCTCTTCTGTAAGAGGTGCGCTCCTCTGGGGACGATGTTATGAAAATGCAACCCTCGCCCCCCCCCTCCTCACAGAAGGTTATAAATATGATGATGTTGTGATGTGCTACGATGGATTTCGCCAAGAACCAGCACGTGGCGAGGGTCCTCGAGCGTCTTTAATCTTGAATTGTTTTTTTGTGCCGTTTCTGGGTAATACATCCGTACGATATCCCGATGGCAGGGAAACCAACCCCCCGCCGGCTTGGGAGCCAGCAGAATCTCGGGTCTCGTCATGTTCCCTCCCTCGCCGCCTGCGACGTCTCGCCCGACGTTCGACGAAGCGCCGTAGCCCCCAAGCAGACAGACGACTGTGCCGTGAAGGGGGGAGGGCAGGGGGGGAGAGATATGGTGCACCGAGCCGTGGTTGTGGAAAAACTCAAGTAGTACAAAGCATACATAGTACATCCTATTCCTGCTCTCTCTCTCTATCTCCACTCTCCCCCCTCCGGGTCTTCCCGTAATATATGCAGCGCGTTTCTATTCTTACATTTCCTGTGCTTTTTTGTATTTCCTACACTTTGGTCGCCAACCGGCCGCTCCGCCTCTTCACCACCGACCACCGATACTGTCACAAACGAGGGGAGGGGGGGAGGAGAGGCTCGTAGCGTTTTGGAAAACTACCGCCCATCCCCTATTTACGGGGAACTCCCTCGTCGCCCGCTATGCCTAATCCCCCACCCCCCCTTGGCGCATTTTGGAGATCCGGTCGTAACGCTTCTTCCAACTTTACCGCCGTCTTTCTCTTTTTCCGCACCGCGTCTGACGCTGTCTTCCCCATTTCTAACCGGTCAACCTCCCCGCCCCCGCCCTTTACCGCATGAAGTTTGGCCGGGCAGGGATGTCCGCCGCGGTGTGGACCGCATGCCAGTCAATGACCTCCCACCACGCCTCGGCGAAGGCCTTCTTGCCGCCGACGCCGCCGACGCCGAGGCCGTAGTCGCGCAGCCACGTGTGCTCCCAGGTGTTGAGGCACAGCAGCGGGATGGCGTCGAGGGCGCCGGGGGGCTTCTGGCCGGGCCGCTGGGCGGCGGCGCTGCGCTGGAAGTAGGGGCTCGCGGAGCCGCCGGCGCCGACTGTGTTCATGTCGGTGCCCTGCAGGCGCCAGTGGGCGCCGGGGTAGGGGCTGCCGGCGAGGTAGGTCGTCAGGACGCGGTAGTCCTGGTGGCCGGCCTTGACAAGCCAGACGAAGCCGGGGCCAAACATGGCCGAGGCCGTGAGGATCATCTCGCGGCGGAGCGTCTCGATCGAGGAGAAGGAGTGGGACAGCTCGGAGGCGAGAGATTCGGGCATGGGTTTCGGGTTCGGGGTGATGTTCTTGAAGAAGAAGTGCGTGTTGTGCGCCATGGAGGCGTGGTTGAAGATGGGGGCTTGCGAGGGGTCTTGGGCTGTGGCCAGGAGGATCTGCTTGACGTCGCGCTGCTCGAAGTCGGTGCCTGGAAAAGGGAAAGGGGACGGTCAGCTTGGGCGGGCAAGGGCAATCGGCCGTGGCGGGCAAAGGGGCGAGGTGCTGTCATGCGGGCTCATCGACTGTCGCAGTCGTCGTCAAGGCTAAGGGGAGGGGGGGGGGGGCATGAACTGACCTGCAATCAGGGCGTTAAGCTTGTCAAGGATGACGGTCATGTACTGGTTCCAGGCCATGTCGTAGCCATCCGCCGAAAGCAGGCCCGGGACGCCCTGCCTGAAGTCGTGGGCGAGCTGGGGCATGTAGTGCAGCGAGCGCTGCTGCATCTGCATGGTCGTCGTCCTCGCCGGGGCGGAGGCGGCGGCGGCAATGGTCGCGCCGACGCGCGGTATTCTTAATCGTGCAAACATCTTGACTGTTTGTGTGTGTGTGTGCGCGGTGCGGAAGGGATCGGTGACGATGGTGGTGGTGGTGATCCGCCGTGAGGGTACCTTCGCCGAACGAGAGAAAGCTGATGCCGGGAGCTTCCACACACGATGGACGGTGAACTTTTTTTTGGGACGGGCTATTTGGCGCGTTGGCTGTGGTGGCCTTACGATTGAGGCTTGCAGGCGCGCCGGCCTGTCTGCGGAGGGAGAGACGTCCTGCCCAATTGGGGAGGGGAGTGTGGGCCAATTGGATGGGGGACCTTTGGTTGGTATTGGCAATGGTTTTCAACTACAAGCTTACACGAAGCTTCGATGGACGAAGGTTGCGTGTGTTTTTTTTTCTTCTTTTTTTTTTGTTCAAGAAATCATCCAAAAAGTTAGTATTCTCACAATTCATAGTAGACGGTCAGAAAGATGCCATGTCTGGAACCAACAGCTCGGCAAGGCCTCCTCCTCCACGCACGGGGTCGGCAAACGTCCAACAACAGGCGACGGTACCAAAAACGGTTCACCGACATGATATCGACACTCGCCGTACTACCCTGCAGTCTTGTTCTTCTAACAATGAGAATGCCATGATGCTGGCCGTCCGGTTCCTAACCGCCCACCTCGGCGCTTACAGCCCCGGCCGCATAACCGCCCGCCGACGGCCCCGTCCGGGGGAGCCCAGGCGCTTACGGATGGAGCTCGGCCGGCCAGCCAGAAAAAGTCGTACCCTGGCCCTGGTTTCCGTCTGTCGCACGGTGCCCATCGGTCTGCTCCTGAGACTATCTGGCGTCCCGTGCAAGGACATGATACCGCTTTGCTTTGCCTCTGGCGGTTAATCAACGAGCAATTCCGTCGCGGACCCGACTCGTGCTGGCCACTCCTGTGTGTGTATCCCATCAGGGGCGATAAGGCCCCATCTCCACTTATTTCTCCGCACTACACGCACGTGACAAGAATACATGACGCAACAACATTTATCTCAATGTTATTTTGTATAGCAACACTACTAAAATTAACATTATTAACTATTTAATAATGTCTTCTATTTCTAATACTACTAGATCTATATAGGACTATATTAAGGTCTGCCTAGAGGACCTTGCTGTTGCCTATACCTAAAATTAGGGTGGCCTGAGATATCTGGGAATAGCGTCACTCGAAGAAAGTCTTGTCGAGGTTGCTTAACTTGTGACATGGCTCTTTGTAAGCAGGGAAATTGTTAGTACCTCTGGCAAAGGCAAAAATAGGCGTAAATAGAGGTACTATACATATTTGCACCTTTGCGGGGTTATAATTGGTGCCCACTGTGGAGATGGGGCCTTATCGCCCCTGATGGGATAGTCGCTGGCCTCAGAGACTGCATCAGAGTTCATGGTTGCTGCGAGGGGGGAGGGGGAAGCATGGCGAGGAGATCGGACGGTCTAGGCTCGGTTGGACGGAGGTAGGCAAGCGACTGCCGTAACACGTAACACCCTCCCCATTCCCTGGATGATGATGACCGAGGTGCGTTCCAAGGTTTACAACAGTTGGGCCTCGTGAGAGATAGACAACTACTTTGGTATCTTTTCTTGGGAGACCCTAATTCGGTCGCAGATTCCCCTCCTCGCGGCCTGAAGGTGTTCGACCTCATCCGAGACATGCGTCTGATTTCACTCATGCCGATCTCATTCATGCGGGATTAACTTCCATCGGATCATTGGAATTGCCAATTTGTCAGGCAAGTATTGGGCTATCAGTAGCAACATTTCCCCCATCGTTCCATAAAATTGTTGAGCTCTTGGCTGCTCAAAACCCGTCGGGACCCTTCAGCGCAGTTCCCCATGACCTCTCCTTATCACACACTTTTTCATCGAGTACCCTTAAATGGTTTGTTTCGGTTTCTATTCATTCAAGTATGGCTAAGATATAACACCATTATGCATGCGCCCCGGACCTATGCAGGATGACAAGCCTGACTCTGCGACTATTCCCCTCAGAACACGCCCAACCCCAAGAAAAGTGGTATATATGCAAGGAAGAAATGGCTGGCCTTGGAAAACCCCTTCAGATCTCATTGTCTTCAATCATGCCGAGGACGTCCAACTCGGTCTTCACCAAGCGTTCGAATTCCTCCCTGTCGATACCAGACGAGCGCGCCAGCAGGAAGAGGTTGTGGATGCTTCGCGACACATGCTGCTTGACTCCAAACTCGTTCTGTTCATGCTTACCCACGGACTCCTCGAGCTTCTCAACCAAACGGCTGCCATTGCTGCTCGCGCTCGAAGCCGGGCGCGGGTGAAGAAGCACGGCAGCTCTGTCCTCATCCTGCTGGCTGCGGATCGAGGGCGAACGAGGCGGCTCGGCCAGTGTCCAGGAGCCGTTCGTCTCGATGAGTCCCCTATCCGAACTGTCTCGGGTAACAGTACCCAGTCCCAGGGGAGGGGCAACGTCGAAGCCTTCCACTTCTTCATCGGGGTCATGGGCGTCCATCGCCGGCTGTACTGAATCGTACTGTGCATAGTAGGCGTCCTCTGCCGAGTCTGTTCGGAACTGTCCAAGCTGCGACGGCCGCTGTACATGCGGTGCGGGAGAGCGCTTGGTAGCGGGAGAGTCGTTTGCCGGGGTACGCGCGGGAGTTGCATCGTATCTGTCCCAATATCCGTCGTCCTCTTCCTCCTCCGCCTCGGGAACATCGTTGTGCGATACACTGGCTGGTGCCTTGGAAACGCTCGTCTTAGATTTTTCATCGGCGTAGGCCTTCTCAGCCTCGGCGATGGTTGAGTAACCACCAAAGGTTCCAAAGGGCGCCGCTTTGCCGATAACGCTGACCTCGCCGATCCTCCAACCGTCGCCGCCACCGTCCTTGTCGCCAACACAGTAGACGAGCTGAAAGGTCAACTCGAGCTCCTCGAGGACAACAAAGGCCTGCAAGGTTTCCAGGTCAAGGCGCCTGTACCTCGTCTTCGCGTCATACTCCCAGTCTACCTCGACCTCTCCTGATACGGGGTGCGGTTCCAGCCTGCCGCTCTGGACGATCTCCAACAGGCGCGCCGCCTTGTCTGTGTCGTATGCTAAGAGACGGAGCCAGGGCTCTGTGCTGGATTCCGAAAGAAGCTGAACTCTCTGTCTCAAAATGGGACTCAGAAGGGGCAGGACACCGATGGCGGGCTGAGTAGAGATGCTTGCGGGCACCAAGGCAGGCAATAACGGGGCCAGCAGGCCGCCAATGTTGGGCATGGGGGTTGTGGAGGTTGAAGTCATGGTTGTGATGATGTGGGGTAGGTTGAGCTGGTGGATTGCAACGGGGTAGATCCCTCGCAGCCACTCCTCGCGGGGAATGGCGGCGGTGGTGGTGGTGGTAGTATATATAGGGGCGAGGCTAGAAGCGGTAACCCAATGCGGGCGACAGCTAGGTCGTAGGTAGCGGGAGTGTTGGCGTGGGGAGGAGGAGGCACTGGTGACGATATCACATGCAGCCACTGTTGGACTCGCTGTACAGCGCAAGGTCTGAAATCTCTGCCTTGGCAACTGAGGCGGTTATAGATAGGCAGATGTTGGATGTGTGAAGAGTTGAGTCAGAGTGAGTATTGGTGTATGGATGGGGAGCAAAATAGAACAAGAGACGGGAAAGCTACGACTATTATGAGAAGTCGGATGCGAGGCGCGAGGGACGCGAGACGAGAGGGCGAAGGTCTGTCTTCTTTCTTTCTATGCTGCGTCTCCGCGTCGAGTTACGCAAAGTCGCCGGCCCATGAGTTCGGGGGGGGCTGACCCCACAATCGAGGGGAGGCAAGGGCGAACGGGTTGCCAAGACAGGCAGTATTTGGCCAATGCGGAGGCACTTCAAAGGCTGCTGCGACACCGCCCAGGGCAGTCGTTTCGGACGGAGGGAAGTTGGCCACTAACCGAACAAGGCAGCCCGCCAATTACACCACACCACACCCATGAAGCGTCCTCTCTGAAGCGTCCTCTCCTTTTGCACGTGTCAGACTCGACTCAACTACGTACTATAGTCCTCTTGCCATTCGTCCTATCTGTCTCATATGCCTTTGCTATCTGTACCCGCAAAGGTGGCCATGCCTGCACCTCATCTTTCGCTCTCCCGTCTATGGCCGCTGTTTCCCATGCCCTCGAAACATGAGTTGCCGGGCCATTAGACGAGATAAGAGACATTTGTCACGACGCCTGCCACATGGGATTCACATTGCTATACTTTTCCCCCCTAAGCAGCTTCTTTTTTCTGTTGGGTGTTTTTGCCTCCAGAGCCTATCGCCATCTAGTGGCCTATCGATAGCACTCCTGGCCGACTCACACCTCCTTTCATTTCCTCACTTCGTGCTCCGGCGTCGATGGACAGCGTCGCCAGTCACGAGGCTTCCAGTCGTCACAAGACACACACGGTGATCTTGGAGCTCGGGATACGCATTGCCATTCCTCGAGTGAGAAGGCGAGTCGAGTCGAGTCGGTTCTCGCAAGGGGCCCCGTGAGAAAGCCAAGCCCCGCTCATCTCTTCTTTGCTTTTCTGTCCTATGTCATATCGAAATTGAGCTCGAGCCTGCATCTGCATACCTACTGACTGCTGCCTATTCGTCCGTGTCCATGGCTTCTGTCTCTGTCTCTGTCTCCTCTACCTCTCTTTGGGTGAAAGGGACCAGACCCTGCGTGGCTATGCCCGCTAAGCTACTCTGGTAAAGTCGCCAGGTCTTGGTGTCCCTGCTTCAGTGACACTCATGGTGGAGCCCTCCCACGGTAAACATGCCCCGAGCTGTGGTATAGTTGTGTGAGGGCCTCTCTGATAGCGCACTATTGTTAGTATTGCGTCACACTGCTTGCATGCTCGGGGGGTGGGCTAACGAGCTCATGATAGCTATCCGGAATTAGCTGCCTTATCTAGCTATCTGTCTATCAACTAACAAAAAAAAAAGTTACTACCACGCGAGCATACCAACAGTCGCAGAAACATTGAGAATCAACAAGCAACTTGCCTAGCGAACAGACCTCCCAGCATTGTTTGATTTCCTTGTCACTCGGGAAACATCACCACGTCCTCAAACGCGCTCACCATTAATTGAGACCCCTCAGCCTCACTCACTGCTGAAAGCCTCAATCCCGTTGTTTTAAACTTCCCAGCAGTGCCCCACGGCAAAAGAGGAAGAAAGAAAGAAGAGTATCACACGGCAAACATCTCGCCTGCGACACCTCTGATCGCGCCGCTTGGACGGAAAGCCCCACAGACGACACGACCCAGCCATCTGACCTGATAGACCTCGACTTCCGGGCCCGAATCCCACTCGACCATCCCCGAACACAGAGCAGGAAGAGAGCCTCCTCTGTCGTCCCTTTCCCACTTACGCATTAGATCTGCTGCGCCACGTCCCGCGAGGACACAATCGGGTGCATGTCGCCCAGCGGCGAGCGCCTCAAGGACGAGGTAAGGCCACCACGCCTGACGTGACGGCCTCTCCGGCCTGCTCACGCACCCGCGCTCTGCTGCACGTCACGTTGCTTACTTTCTGTTCGCGCCCAGGGCTCCCGCCTGCAGGTTGTAACGGCCGGCGCCACCGCCGGCCTGTTTGCACGGTAAGGAAGATCGGCACCCGCCACCTGTTCCACCCCAGTGACTCACGCTGACCGTCCCGCGATGCGCAAACAGCTTCGTGATCGCCCCCCTCGATGTCGTCAAGATCCGCCTCCAGCTGCAGACGCACTCGCTCTCCGACCCTCTGTCGCTCCAATCCGCCAATGGCGGGCCCGTGTACAAGGGCACCCTGAACACCATCAGGCACATCCTCGCCAACGAGGGCATCACCGGGCTCTGGAAGGGCAATGTTCCCGCCGAGCTGATGTACGTCTGCTACTCGGCCGTTCAGTTCACGGCATACCGGTCGACGACCCAGTTCCTCCAGACGGCATTCGACAATCGCCTCCCGAACGCCGCCGAGTCCTTCATCGCGGGAGCCGCCGCCGGCGCAGCCGCCACGACGGCCACATATCCCCTCGACCTGCTGCGGACGCGATTCGCGGCGCAGGGCAACGACCGTGTATACAAGAGTCTCCGAACGGCGGTGGCGGATATCTACCGAGACGAGGGCCCACGCGGCTACTTCCGCGGTCTCGGACCCGGTGTGGCGCAGATCGTGCCGTACATGGGCATCTTCTTCGCCCTGTACGAGGGTCTGCGGTTGCCACTCGGGGATCTACACCTGCCCTGGGGCAGCGGTGACGCCACGGCTGGCGTCGTGGCCAGCGTCATGTCCAAGACGGCCATCTTCCCCCTCGATCTGGTGCGGAAGCGCATCCAGGTTCAGGGACCGACGAGGTCACGGTACGTGCACAAGAACATACCCGAGTATCCGGGGGCGGTGCGCGCCATGCGGACCATTCTCGCCAACGAGGGCACCCGCGGGTTGTACCGGGGTTTGACGGTGAGTCTCCTCAAGGCCGCGCCTGGGAGCGCCATCACGGTGTGGACGTACGAGAGGATGTTGAAGGCGTTGCAGAGACTCGATAGCTCTGACGAAAACATTTTTTGAGTGATTTAGAAGAAAGAAGAAAGATCGCCCATAGACTGGGACATGATACTTTTTTTGTTTTCTCCTAATAGAAAACGGGATTGGATACCCATGAGGGAAAATCCCTATGTACCAACACTTGGTGAGCCACAGATAGCTTTCCATTAATTCGAATAAACAACATGAACTGGAGGTGTTTCATGATGACCGTTATGTTGCTGGGTGTATGTAACATCCTAGGGTGCACTCGTCTTGCTCTATGATGAGGGGTAATGACCACGATACTTTATCATCTCCGTCGAGTCCATGCTGGGCACCATCCCAAGCGTGCGCCCGCGATTGCGGACGAATGACAAACGGAGATGAGCGCGGCCTCGGAAGTAGGGGTCCCTACGACTATCTCGCAAATCGGCCCTTGCCGACGTCGTGTGGAACAGTCGCGACACGGCCTGTCAACTTATCCTGGGTCGATACACCCGAATGACTCAATGCGCCGCCTCACACGCTGACGGGGTCTGGAGATAATTCGTCAGTAACTTCCATGTATAGCAACTTCGGAAGAGTGGCCGCCGCTGGCTTGAAACAGCGTCATTGCGGCCCACGTTCCAGCGCCCTCTCCAGATGCCCCTAGTAATTGGCAAAGGGAATTTTTGTACGATTTTTTGTCTATCAATACCGGGAAGCATACCATGTAGGCGCGTACGACACACACCACACACACGCGCACGTATACACACACACACACACACGCACACACACCACAAAAAAAAGCAGGTTCCAGCACCGCCTCGGCGGCGATCAATTCTCCAGCGCCCCGTTCTGCTTCAGCCCCGCCACCTCGCCGGCGTTGACGCGGTCCGCCCTCTCGGCGCACTCCTCGAGGACCCGCCAGAACATGGGGATGTCGATGCCGCGGGGTATCCGCACGCCCTCGCTGCCCGGCGGCAGCGGCCGCGCGACGGTGCGGCCGAGCTGCGACCGGCCGGCCTTGGCCTCCTCGATGTCGCCCTCGGTGACGACGGTCAGCTCGAAGCGCTCGTGGTACTTTACGCAGTTGCCCTTCTTGGCGTCGTAGTCGTGCAGGGGGATCTCGTGCTTGGTGCCCGTGAGCACGGCGGCCACGGCGAGGGGGTCGTGCAGCGGCGGGCCGGCGGTGATGCCGAAAACGTCGCTGGCGAAGGTTTTCACAAGTCAGCATCTTTTGTCCCCAAGAAACCTCCCCGTCGTGTATGTTCTAATCAGGACGGGGGGTTACGGAAAGGCGGCGGGAGGGGGCGAGGGGCCCTACCTGTACGTCTTGGCGAAAAACATGAGCAGCTCGACCAGCATCTGGCGTAGCGTGGTCTTGCCCTTGCCCGTTCTCTCGGCGGCGCCGTCCTTGCCGTAGAGCAGCAGGTCACGCACCTCCTGGGTGGCGAGGACCTGGTGCGACAGGTCGAGCGGGACGAGCGTGGTCTTGGCGGCGAGGGCCTTGTTGCTGAAGACGCTGGCGGCGGCCTCGGGGTCGATGATGATGTTGAACTCGGCCCAGGGGGTCCAGTTGCCGATGCGCGGCACGCCGTCGACGACGCCGAGGACGATGTCGGTGAAGCCGTCGCCGATGGCGCCGCCCATGATGCTGAGCCCCTTGATGTGGGCGACGAGCTCCGGGTGCTTCTGGAAGAGGAGGGCGACGTTGGTGAGGGAGCCCGTGGCGACGAGCCAGGCGACGCCGGCGGGCTGGGCCTTGAGGGCGGCGGCCATGGCGTCGACGGCGGGGACGGTGCGGTCGGCGTCCCGGGAGGGTTTCGGGAGCAGGTCGGTGCCGTCCAGCCCGGACTCGCCGTGGATGTCGGTGGCGGCCTGCATGGGCGGGCGGCTCATGGGCTTGGCGGCGCCGACGTAAACGGGCACGTCATTGTGCTTGCCAATGGCCGTCAGGATGGAGGTGGCGTTGTTCGTCGTCTTCCTGGATTGGGGGGAGGGTCTGTCAGCAGGCCGTGCCGTCGGGGTGGGGGCCCTTTTTGTTTCCCCATATCTGGCATGAGGTGCTCACTGACACGAGGGGGGCGTTTCCGAACACGGTGGAGAGGCCCAGCAGCTTGATGGTTGGGTGGTAGGCAGCCAGGAGAATGGCGAACGTGTCCTAGTTCCGTATTAGTATAGGGCCATGTGTGCACTGAATGCGGGAGAGTCGCGAAAGTCGGGACGGTTGAGTGGGAGTTGAATTGCACTCATACCAGCTCCCGAGTTATACCGGAGGGGATGCTTGTATGAAGATGTGCAACCCCTCACACAGAAAGTTGGAGAGAACAACTCACATCGTGGCCCGGGTCGCAGTCCAGCCAGACCGGCACTGGTGTCTCGGGAAGATCGAGGTCGACCATGGTAACTCGGGCGAGCAAGTAATTTACACGTCTGGAATGTCGAGTATTTGGCTTATCACGGTCGATCGTGACACCACGGATTAGGTACGGGTGAGAGAGTTGTCCTCGGTAAGGTGACTGAATGCCCACGCAGACTTGCGTACCGTGCGCTTTTAGTCGCACCGGGGGGTTCCCACTTTCGGTGGATAAGACCAAACCAAACGAGCACGGGGGGCGGGAGGGATGTAGAATGATGGATTTAGTGTATTCTGGCAATAGGGCGGGGTGAGCCGCAGGTCTACATACATACAAACATACATACATACAACGGCGCCCGCCGGAGACCCGCGAGAGGCGAAATGGGCACGCAGCATGTGCTGGGCAAATAACTTTTTCCCCCGTTCAAATCTAATTTGGGTGACTGATTCGTGAAACTGCGCCGGCACCTTCACATGGCAGAAAAACCATGTCTGCCGTTGTTTTCTCTCGACTGACATCGGACAAGCCTTGCTGGCGGGGTGCCGACGTCGAGCTCTTTGGGGGGGGGGGATCCTGTCGACTTCTCCGTCCGACATTGTTGCGATTACCCCTACTGGGCGAATGCCATACCGCGGGGTGCCACGCGCCGTGGGCGGGAGTCGAGCGGGGCCTCCCTTTCTGGTCACCACCACCACAAAGGACGAGGCGGGCACCGGGCAGATGTGCCCTCCGACCACCGCTGCCACCCGACTCGCGTGCCCATTACCCCCAACCCCGGTTCGGAAGGTTCAGCGAGGCAACGCAGATCGCCCACACACGGGCCATACCGAGAGAGCCTCCTCCGTGTTCTGGAAGCCGGCGCGTCGACCGTCGAGCATTCGGGCTAGTGCTGAGTCATCGTCGACTCTGACGTCTTCAGCGTCATCCGTGCGCAAGCTTTGAGGAACCGCCGCCGCAAAGGTTACTCTGCACCGGTGCCTAAAAGCATTGGCAGGAATTAGCACGATGGGAGCGGTGTCCAGGGAGGGAGTACGCAAGCAGTTGTAGCCCTGGCAGCGTGCTTGGGCAATGGTGTGCGCGTGCGCGTGCGCGTGCGTGTTGTACTTGTGTATGATGCGAGCGCGCTGGCCATCTTGAGGGGGTGGCGTAGAGGGTATCAATTTGTACAGACAATGGCTGGAGTGTGCTGGCGGGTGACATCCCATAATGGCAAAATAGCAAGCTAGTTGCACAATGGTGGCTTCGAGAGCAACGGGCATGCGTGACTCTCCCCCGTCACCCGCTTAAGATTACGACTTGCTCGCCGCTTTCCGCTGCTCCATCACCCTGAGCACATCGGCCGCGTTGTTGGCATCGCCCTTCCTCTTCTTAGGGCCCCTCTTCCTCTTGCTTTTGCCGCCCTTGCCGTCCCCTTCGTCGTCATCGTTGCCCCATTCCGAAAGCTTGACCGGAGCGTCGTCGAAGTCTGCCTCGTCTTCGAACCTGCTGGTGCCAAAGCCCATGTCCAAATCTTCGGCGTCCCGATCCGCGCTCTGCAGCATTCTCTTGTGTCGCTCCCGCCGAGCCCTGGCCTCCTGGTCGTCTTCCTTGTCCTCGTCGTTCCCCTGATCTCTGTTCGCTGCGTTGAGTTGTGCGGCCCTCTTGAAAGCAGCCTGGATGGCCGGGTCCGACATTGAGGGGCCCTTGAGGGTCTGCGACGAGATGAGCTCCGTCTTTGCGTCCTTGAAGTAGTTGCGGGCCTGCGCCGGCCGTGGTGGCGGTGGCATCGCTATTGTGTCGGCGCTGCGCTCGTCCTTGGTCTCTGTATTGTCCTTGACCTCTGTCTTGTCCTTGACCTCTGTCTTGTCCTTGACCTCTGTCTTGTCCTTGACCTCGCCTTCGTTGTCCTCGTCGGAGCTATCGTCCATCCCGGCGAGCGGGTCGTAATCGTCCCCTGCATCGACGAAGATGTCGTCGTTGTCGTCTTCTTCGACCTCCTCCTGCTTCTTCCTGTAGAACTCGGGCACCTCCATGCCTAGCGGTTTCGCGTCCTTGTCCGGGACGAACTCCTTACGTTGTTCCTCCTCAGCGCCTGCTTGGATCTTGCGAACCTTTCTCTTCTCGTGGCCATCTTCGTCGACGATAATCATGACTTCGCGACCTTTGCTGTCTCGTTCGATGCGGGTCCCAGGCTGTTGCTTGGCGCCGATCTTCTTGAACTTGTTGCCCAGCGCGGCTTCCTGCTGGGCCTTGGCGGCCTCTCTCGAGGCCTTCAACTCGGCCAGAATCTGGTCTCGGGTTCTCTTTCTCCCGGGAGCAAGCGCCACGGGTGCGAACTGGCCCTTCTTCTTCGCCTTTTCCTTTTCGACGGCCCGCACCTCTGTCTCCCCCAACTTGTCAAATGCTTCGTCTACTTCCTCCTCAGGCGGAACCTCCTCTTCTTCGTCACCACCTTCTTTGTCTCCGTAGACGTCTTCGCCCTTTCGCACCCTTTCCAGGAGTTTAAAATCCAAGCCCTTAATCAAATGCGTGCTCGAAAGATCTCCTCCGGCGATTTCGCTAGAAAGCTTCTCGAATGTCGCCTGGTCAATTTCTTCGTTCTTCAGCGCCTCCTCTAGCGCCTTTATCCGCTTTGCGCGGTCGTCTTCTTCCTCTTCGGTTCGGTCTCGTGCTCGGTCAACATAGCCCTCCGCAAGTCTCGATCCTTTCGGTGTTGATGTGCGAAATTTCTTTTGCGGCTGGGTCTCTTGATTTCTTGCAGCAAGCTGCCGCGCAAACTCGTTTCGGCTATTTCCAATCCCAACAGAGCGCCTAATAGACAGATCAGTAACGTAACCAAAGTGAGCGGGTCGATGGTGCGACATACGGAGTCATGGGAATGCTCGATCGTTGTCGCGATCCCAACGCCCCGGACGCGGCTGAACTGGCGTTGCTCTGGGACGTTCCATTGCTCGGAGACCGGGATTTTCCCGATTCGGCACCCAAAAGTTTCCGAAATTGTTCGTTATTCATGGTCGCAGTTCCTCGCAGAATCAACGTAGAGAGATAACTACGACCTGGGCCAAGTCGACGGTTGACGTTGCTGGAGCTACCCGCAGGTTTCCAAAGTTGCTACAGAAGCCCGATTAGTCATGTGGAACATGGGGCGTGCAGAAACGCGTCTGACCCACACCACTTAACGCGGTTCCTTGCAGGCATCCACCGCGGCCGGTGCTCCGTCTTTCATCGCCAACTCACTTCATTCAACGATGCCGATCCACGTCAAGAGAAGCAGCCGATGACAACTTTGGCCTCTATGAAAATGTTTGCCATCAAGTACTTGGATTTTTGGACTGGATAGTATTCGAGGGGTCAGCAGAACCGCCAATGAACACCCTGTCGCCGCCTCTTACACTCTTGGAGAGAGCCGTCATTTACGCCCGAGCTCCGAAAGCAGCGGCAACATGAACAGCCGCCTCGACAAGAACTCCTCGCAAGTGAGGAAGCGGATTGAAAACCATGATTTCGTAGATGAGACTGGCGAAGAATATGAGCAGAGCGCTTTTGGGGGTTTTGGCGACTATTTCAGGCGCAAGAAGATCAAGCTGCAGAACCTGGATGCTGAGATGCGAGCTGCTTCGCCCGACAAGCCTCAAATCTTCAAGGGTGTTGTTGCGCACGTTATGGGCTATACGCAACCTCCGCTTCATATGTACGTCGCCCTTCATCGGGACCTGCTTCAGATCCTACCACTCACACCAACCTACCAGATTGCACCGCATGCTGGTTCAACATGGCGCAGGATTCCTGCAGTACCTGGACTCAAAAACCATGGCGACGCACATTATCGCGTCTTCTGTTCCGCCCAAGAAATCTGTCGATTATAGCAGATACAGGCTCGTGAAGCCGGCATGGGTCACCGATTCGATCGAGGCCGGGAGACTGTTGCCTTGGTCGGACTATCGGGTGAACAATAATGACGGGCCACGTCAGAAGGTCTTCAAGCTTGATGACTCAAAAACAGTTAGCCAAACAACGCCGCAAGCCAAAAGGGGTTATAGGGAGCAGACGGACGCCAGCTTTTACACAAGCCAGTTCAAGACACCCGCCGGAAGTCCTGCGACACCGTCGTTGACTCGGTTTGCAGAGCGCACTGAATCTCCCCTTGCTCAGCCCCAAGCGCGACACTCATACAGTCCATCGTTTTCACATTCTACGAAACCGCTGCCACTCAAGGAAAAAGACGACGTCGAAGAGTTTGACGATATGGGAATTGACGAGGTGATGGTCGACATTCTCCCCGAGGAAGACAAAGATTCCAAAATCGAGGAACTCGAGGCAAAGATCGCTCCGCCTGTTTTCGAGAAGGAGCCAAAGCAAGAAGCCAAGTCGCCGGAAAAGATGACCTCCGAGGAGCACAATGCCGTCCTTCTATCTGACCCCAAGATATGGAAGTCATCAACAGCGAACCCTGATTTCTTGAAGCAGTTCTATTCCGAAAGCCGCCTACACCATCTTTCTACGTGGAAAGCCGAGCTGAAATCGAGGATGCAAACTCTTGCCAAGGAGAAAGGGGCATCCCCCAAGGCCATCAAGAGGAAACCAGGGTCGCGGCGGTACATCATCCACGTCGACTTTGACAGCTTCTTCTGTGCAGTATCCCTCAAGAAGAACCCTCAATACGTGAACAAGCCAGCCGTGGTCGCTCACAGCAGCGGAACCGCCTCCGAGATCGCAAGCTGCAACTATGTTGCGCGCAAGTTCGGCATCAAGAACGGCATGTGGATGAAGCGGGCGCTGGAGCTGTGCCCTGACATCAAAGTCTTGCCTTATGATTTCCCTGCCTACGAAGAAGCCAGTCGATTGTTCTACGAGTCGATTCTCGAGCTTGGAGGGGTCGTTCAGAGCGTCAGCATTGACGAGGCGCTTGTCGACATAACCTCGATCATTATGTCCACTGCGGGCTTCAGCGGCACTGGACTGGACGAAGGCAGCATATGGAGGGAGCAAGAAAAGGCTGAACAGATTGCGCTCGAGCTTCGGGACAGGATTAAAGAATCAACTGGTTGTGCGGTATCTGTAGGCATCGGAAGCAACATCCTACTTGCCAAGGTTGCTTTGCGGCGAGCAAAGCCTGCCGGACAATTCCAGATCAAGCCGGAGCAAGTTCTCGACATCATCGGGGAACTCGAGGTGAAGGACTTGCCTGGGGTTGCTTATAGTCTCAGCGGAAAGCTTGAGGAAATCGGCGTCAAGTTTGTCAAAGACATCCGACAGGTGACCAAGGAGCGTTTGTCGTCAACACTGGGCCCCAAAACCGGAGAGAAGCTCTGGGAGTACGCCCGTGGCATCGACCGAACCGAGGTCGGAGAGCAACCGCCCCGGAAGTCCGTCTCGGCGGAAGTGAACTGGGGCATCCGCTTCATCAACCAGCAAGAAGCCGAAGAGTTTATTCTTAACCTCTGCAAGGAACTGGAACGACGCTTGCTAAGCGAGCAAGTCAAAGGAAAGCAGTTCACCATGAAAATCATGCGTCGGGCCCTGGATGCACCCCTGGATCCCCCGAAGCACCTGGGACACGGAAAATGCGATTCGTTCAGCAAGAGCATCTTGTTTGGAGTGGCGACCCATGACGCCGATACGATCGCCAAGGAGGCCGTATCAATACTTCGGTCGTATAGGTTCACCCCGGGTGACCTTCGAGGTCTTGGCGTCCAGTTGACAAAACTGGAGCCGATTAAATCTGGCGCAACCGGTGCAGAGAGCAGCCAGCGACGCCTGGTATTCCCCAACTTTGGTGGCCCAGCTGGGGCGAAGAAGGCTGCTGTGGAGCCTATCGACGATTCAAAGAGCCCCCAGAAGCCAAGGGCCTCTATCCAGAGCCGAGCAGATGTGGCGCAGGACCCCATCGCAGACGATCCCTTGACACCGAGAAAACCCAAAGTGCACCCTGCTTTGGCATTGGCACGGGCCGGTGAAAGGGATGCAAAGGCGCAAACGCCTTTGAATATCATGGGAACTCAGTTCATCCTACCTTCACAGGTTGACCCCTCGGTTTTGGCCGAGTTGCCAAGCGATATCCGGGCCAAGCTGCAGAGAGGCCAGAGGTCGAAGCCAGGGGTAAGTCCGCAGGTCAAGTCACGGAGCAACAGCCCTGTCGTGCTAGACGAGGTGCCCTCGCAGGTAGACCCGGACGTCTTCAACGCCTTACCTGATGACATGAAAGCAGAGGTCCTGGCACAGTACGGTCGCAACAAGGTTCAACAAACCCGCCTGCCGCAGTCCCCGCGCAAGGACAGGCTTATCCAGGCAAAGAAAGTCACCACGCCGACAAAGAGAGGCGGCAGAAGCTTGTTCAACAACGCCAAGGAGAGACAACAAGACGCGGCAGCAAACCGCTTGCAGACCAACTTTCTGTCGAACAAAGAAGCCGGGAACCCTGCCCAGGAAGAGCCGGAGGAGCTGGACCAGGAATTCCTTGCGGAGCTTCCAGAGGACGTGCGCAAGGAAATCATCGAAGACCATCGCAAGAAGCGGCTGGCGAAGCGGTCCGGGCTACTGTTCAACGCTCCCGCTCGGCGGCAGCAGGCCGGAGACTTGGGCGACTCTCTGCCTGTTGGACAAACCAAACTCCAGTTTCCGGCGCCGCCGCCCAAAGTCAATTTCATGGGCTCTGCCGTGAAATCGGTCCAGGAGATCAAGGACATGCTCGAGGCGTGGCACGACGGGACCCGGCTCGACGGCCCGCACCAAGACGACGTCGTCGTGTTCAAGAAATACCTCTCCAAGGTCGTCTCGGAGGAGCGGGACATGCACAAAGCTTCGAAGCTGGTGCATTGGCTCGGCTGGTTGGTAGAAGAGGACGGCAGCGAGGGGCGCGGCAAGCAGGGGTGGAGAAAGACCATGACGGACATCAAGGCGGAAGTCCAGAGAGCCGTCAAAGGCAGGGACCTGGGTCCTCTGAGACTATAGGATCGATTGTACAACTTTTTACGAATAACGACACGATACTATTGCTGCAGGACAACACGTGACGTGTGTATCCGGCAACAGTCGCATCTTTTGTCTGACTTTTTTCTTCCGCATCGGGCTCAATTGGGCGAGATGCGCGCGGTGACACGAGACAACGATGCAATGGGGGAAATTGTGTAACCCGAATACCAGGGTGGGTGGTGTGTTTGCCCCCGCCGTTTGTTGACACATGAATATTCAAAATAATGATGATAATAAAGCTCTTTCGTGTAATCTTGCACAGCCTTTGCGCTATGCCATCCTTCGCCGCCCACCCCGCTCCCCTCAGAACTCCGCTCGCCAGAGAGAAGACAGAGGAACAGACGACATCACAGCATGGCGTACGTCGCCGCCGACGCCGCCGCGAGCACAGCGGCCCAGGACGTCGCGGCGGCGGCGGCGGACCGGACGCCGGCGCTCAACTTGTACACGCTCAGCTTGAGGGCGCCGCCGCAGACCATGCCCTGGTTGCCGTCGCAGGGCAGGTTGCACTCGCTGTCGTTGAGCTTGACCGAGAGACCCGAGATCGTCTGGGCGCACCAGCACTCGCTATTTCCCCCCCCGCGTACCGGCTCCCGGTCAGTCGTTTCTTTCTTGAGCGTGGCCGCCCCTCGGCGATTATGGGGGCCGGGATGCGGATATGGTGGAAGGATTGAGGAGGGGGGGGAGAAGGGGGAAGAGGGAAGGGGGACAACTCACCGAGAGTACTCCATGCCGGCGTAGGTGTATTCCTCGTCGGCGCCGGTGCTGCAGAAGCTGAGGCACAGCGGCACCGTCATGTTGCCCTGGAAGACGCGGGAGGCGCCCCCGGACAAGGCGCGCAGGTGGGCCGTGTTGGCGATGTCGGTGGTCTCATTAAAACAGCCCTGGTATAGGTACTTGTCGGAGCCCGTGTAGATCTGGGGCTGGGCGGCCGCGAGGGGCGCGAGGAGGGCGGCCAGGAAGAGCAGGGTGGCGAGGCCGGGGAAGCGGTCGCGAGCCATTTCGGGTCGGGGCTGGGTTTGAGGCCCGAGGGGAAGGGGGGGATTGCGATTCGCGGTCGACGGTATGGGGGAGGTTGAGTGCGTAGAAGTACTGCTCTTTTATTTATTTTCCCCCAGCCACGTAGCAATGTCGTGAGATGTTTGGGCCGCAGCAGACGGTGGACGGCTGTCTCTCTTGGTCTTATCAAAGAGCTGACGTTGTCAGAAATAGCGCAGACCGTGGCGGCTTCACAAATTCGAGGAGAGGTGGCGGCGGGTATGGCGCATTCTCTCACACGGCGGGCACCCTCCTCGCAGACGGTACGGACGGCTTCGGGCTCTAGGTCACGCAAGCGAGGAAGCGGGAAAGAGAGAAGACGGGGAGAGGGGGGGAGGGGGGAGGAAAGGGTTCTGAAATTAGCAACACGGAGCACATAAAACAAAACAAAAACGGCGGGAAGGGGAAAAAGATACGAAGGCAGGCCAGAACAATATTTATTCCGCCCATGCGGCGTTGGCGGTGGCGGCGGCGGCGTCAGCGCGAACCCTTTGGAAAAGAGATTTGCTGGCTTTCCTCCTCCCCTCCCAGGCCATTGACGCGGCATTCCCTCTCCGGTGTGCCGCGACGAGGCGTTCCTGATGCTGACAACCTACCTAATCGAGGTTTTTGGGCCCCCCTGCCCGGCCTAGCCTGGAGCTGCAAATCAACGCCGCACACGTTCGCAGCATCTCCCTCTCTCCTTCGATAAGAGGCCTAGGCAGGTCATCGATTGGGGGGCAGGAAGGGACGGACCAGGAACGGGCTTAGCGTGGGGCGGGCGCAAGGACAGCAGCAGCACCTTCCCGCTCGAAAGAAGGACGGACGTACGTAGGGATCAGAGGTCGGTCGTCTGTAGTTCCCCACTACAGCTGAAAGTTCGGGCGCGGTTCTAGACCGATTGTCTGGCGGGTCTTTGGGGTCTGGTCCGTGCGCCGCGGCATGCCATGTGGGAACATCGCCGGCCCCCCCCCTTTTTGTGTGTGCCCGCGGCTTGCTTGCATTCATGTTTTTCCCTTCCACGATACCTATGCTGTGAGTCAAAACTTGTCGATGCCTCCTGTCTCACAAGCGCGCCATCGACCGATCGACATTGCATCTCCATTGTCGTACAGTATCAAAAGTCGCTACTTCATCTAGCACTCGTCTGCATCGTGCATTATGATTCGGCCACGATTCTCTAGCCCCGGTTTCCGAGGAGCTGCCTCTCCTCTGGACATTTTGCTTCCCACCCCCCGAAATGATCGCTTCAAAAGCACGTCTCGTTGTTCTTTGCGGAAACTTTCTCTGTACAGGTCTTTCGACAACTGCGCTTGTCCAACTGTTCCAAGGCAAGCACGGAATGCTGTCTGACAGCTCTCGGTGGTTTCATCCGCCATTCTAGTGTGCCGTCCTATGGGAACCAAGTAACCCGGTCCAGAGATGGAGATGCTGCCGCCTCTCTTTCCCTTACAGGTGTCTGAAGACATCGCTGGCAGTTAATGTCTCGGCAATTCTCGAGCTCGCATTCGACCAATGTTATTATCGGTTCCGTTGGTACCCATTCACTATCCAGTGCTCCATCCTCGCTTTCGTTTTTCATTAAGATAAAAAGGCATTTACATCGTCAATATTTGTCGTCGTCATAATTCATCACTTCTCCATGGTTAGGACGATCCAGCCACGTGCCGAAAGGATCCGGTGGGCGACTCACAAGGCACTGATCTCCAGGCCGCCAAAGATTCTCGCCTTCAGCGTCACCTCGATGTCGAGGTTCAGGCCCAGGTGCACCGCAAAACCCCTGCTGTTCCGGGACCCGTCTCCCACCCCGGAGCGCTTCTGCGGGGCTGGTTGCGTCCCGCGGGGTCGCCGCCTTCCCCGGCTAAGGTTCTGGCTGATCTTCCTGAGGGGGAACTCCCTCTCGGAATCGGTGTCCGAAGTGGCCAAGTCCGCCGGCCCCGCGAACACTGTCGGGGGCGGCGGGGCCAGGGGCTCGTAACCTGCTGGCTCTGGGTTTGTCGGTCCGCCGGCCTTGCTTCCCATGTCGATGAAGGACGTCTGCTCGACGGGCAAGGACTCATCGAAAGGCATCGGTGACCATATGTACCGGTCGTCGGCGAATGGCTCGACGGAGCCGTACATCTCCTTCGGCAGCCAGACCGTAAGGCTGTCACGTTTCGCCATCTCGAGATTTCGGGGTCGGTTGTTGTTTTTGAAGCGAAGCGAAGCGAATGGCGTGTAAGCGAGTGAATAAGCAGTTGGAAAGAGGAGCAGCGAGTGTGAGAAGATTAACAGAGTGAGAAAAATGCTTAAACACTCCTTCCAAAACGGAATCTAGAAGAGGGGGGGGGGGGGGGGGGGGGGCGAACGATGGCTTCTAAGTAGGAGGAAACCCCTCTCGTCATCCCCAGGACCCAACCGACATCAACAACAAGCAAACATGATCTTGGCACACACCAGAGATCAATATTGCCCTGCGCCGAGAACTGCCCCCGATGAAATCATGTATGGGGCCGGGTTGTATTCGCTTTTGGTTTTGTGAGGCCGGAGCTGTCCAAGAATCGACCGAGATCGGCAGACCAATCGCTGTGGGGGGTGGGCCCCTTCAACGGTTGCATTGGTGATGAGAGGTGCCAAAAACCCGGATTTTTGGCATCCATTTAGAGGGTCCCCCCTTTTCCGGAGGCGCGCAACGCCACTGATGACATCCCAACACTACATCCTCTCCGGCCCCGATGCCCACCACGGAGGATATCGACGGTGGGCTGCTAATTTTGGAAACGGCTCAGGGATTTTCGTGTCCCGGCTGAAGGCCACACTTGAGAGGCTTGTTTCCATCTATTCGGGTGCTTGTTTAATCGGTCCCCATGGCCAAGAGTTGACTGTGTGATGTCGGGTGCGTTTCGGAGCTACAGTGTAGTTTATATACGAATATCTGACTTCAGCGCACAACTGCTTGTCTTCTATCGTGTTACGCGCGGGTCACCGTCCGCTTCATTCGCTCCTGCCTCCGTGATTCCCCCCAGCGTTATCGGTCATGAGTAGTATGGAAGTGACGACCCCTATCCAGACTTCCTGCCTGCCATCACAGAACCCGGTACTCGACAGACTTCTCGTCGAACCAAGGACAATACTGACGTCGCTAGCTACGGTGCTTCACAGCAACACGCACGCAGGGGCATTTCCCCTAAGCTCGATGGTCCAGGCCACCCACGGATCCATGACCATAAGCTCTACCATTGTTATATGAACGTCTCGGTATGTGTCGAGTACTAGTAGAGAGTGATCTCAATGCGAAGATGGCAGCTCAAACTTGAATGGCTGGCGAGGCCCACAACACGTCATGATCGGGGCACGCGCCAACTGCTCTGCCGATGGAAACCCAGCAGAGGAAGCTGCAGTCATCGCTCCATGAAAGGGCAGAGTGAGGGTACTTTTTGAAACAACGATGACTTTGGCCACTCGAGACGTGGCCATTTTTGGCGCAATGTTTCCTTTCCTTTCATCCAGAGAGCGGTTGTGGTTTTCACAGATCGCGTCTTTTCCTTGCAGACACCTGGCCCTGCTACTGTCCTCTCATCATGATCGAGTTGAGATTTCCGCGTCCGCTGAACAATGAGGTACGATTGACAGCGCCCTCGTGTCTTCATGTTGTTCTCACCTTGGCGCCTGTGGCATGGAAATCACTACCGTGGCCTGCAACGCCAGCGCAAGGCAATCCGACTCTGGGCAGAGGGGTGCAAGTTCGAACAAGAGGATACCATTGTCGGTGTTCAAACACGTTCGATACCATATCTATCGCTCCGGCCGTCACTTTTCCGTTGAGATAAAGTCTTTGCTTAGTGGTCAGTTGGTTCATCTTGCAAACAGACAAGCGCTCATGCGGGAGTGCCGATTTCAAAATAGAGGGGCTTCGATTACTTCATTATTGCATTTTCCAAGTCCGGTTGCTCCACCACTTGATCAATTGAGCCGGCTAACTTATATAAAACCCCCATTTTATTGAGTGAAGAAATAAGGGTCAAAGTATCATCCTGGTTCCTCGCCGTCTTGATATACCACGCTCAATGAGGCCAGAGGAGACAAACCAGATATACTCACATCGGGTAAGCAGGCAAGTTTTCCTCCGCAATATGAGACACATGTACCGAAATTCTTAAAATCGGCGCTCTACCGATGATATTCAGCGCCATGATGTTCGGTTTGAAGTCGAGAGTGACAACGTAAGCCCAGTGCTGGGTTCTTAGGATCGTTCTCTCGTCCACCACTTCGTGCTAGATGCTTTGTTTCATCAAGCTGGTCTCTGCCCGAACACGATCTCGAACACCGACTGGAGAGGTCTCTGTTTTCCAACACAGCTATCGTATTCACGGCCTGAGATGTGCCTTGTGTCTCTAGACTATACATTCACCACTATACACTCAGCATTACTCCGTCATGAAACGAAGAGGCCAAGGCCGACCGAGTTGTTGAAATTACAATATGGATCTCGACTGTCCCTGGGCCATGGAAGATTCAAGCGAAGACCCTAGACTGAGGCGGGGTCCTTCTGTCTTATCTCACTCGTACGCGTCCAACGCGGAGTCGTTCTTGGGTTGCAGTTGGTGCGGAATCTGACTGACTTGGTCCGCAGGTCATTGATATGGATACAAGTACCTTCCGGACTGCGTGATATCTACGCCCTATTACTGTCCCGGAATTCTCTTAGGTCTATATCTTTGACTGCAAAGAGGTAGCCCCCCCTCGAGTGGTATAGAGCAACACCAATCAACTACCTCGGGTTCCTCCGTACGTTCGCGCCTGGCGGCACAATTGACCCATTCAATACGAACGGACGTGCATTCACCCCATGACACACCGCCTATCATACCCTTGTATACAGGAGAGGTGAAATAGCCAAGCCGGGCCGGGCCAACGTCCGCGGTATGCATGGCCGCCCGTTGGTTCTCCCGTCCACCCCCAGCCGGCTGAGAAGAGGGGATTGCCCTGGATCGCTATTGACACATGTAGATTGTACGCTCCAGCGACAACCAGAGGCGCACAACAAGTCTTGTTACAGCTGCTAAGTCGTGATTGACGTCGACCCGGAAGTACATGAATATAAGTCTGCTGTGTCTTGAGCTCCCGCATGATATCTCTGACCACACCTGCAGCCGGAGGTCCTGGAACCTTTGTCCGAGGAGCAATCATTGGCCGGAGAGATCAGTACAAGTCCTTCGACGGAAGACCGCTGCCATTTCTATGTAGTAGATTCCGAGAAATCACCAACTTGTTCGATTTTGCTTGTAGAGTGTTGCTTCGTCGAGTACGAGCCTCCGTGACTCCATTTTTGAGTATCGCCGGGAGACCGGCAGAAACTACCATCAGTATTAGGACGGCAGTACATTTCGGTGTGTTATGCTCGAAAGGTATTCTAGCCATCCCGAGACATATCTCATTTCGAACGACAAAAGGGAGCTGGAGAGATTAGCTATCGTCCATCCAGGTCTGGGCCCACCGTTGACTGCGAACTGGAAGGACATCTAGACTTGGAACACACCCTGTGGCTTCTCATCAACAACAAGCTCGGCATGGCCCCGCCGTGCCAGAAAGGGGCCAAGGTTGGCCGCGTCCTCAATGCAGGGACCGGCACTGGTATCTGAGCTCTCGACCTTGGAGATGAACATCCTCAATCTGAGGTGAGCTTTGCCCCGTCCACTCGAGGATGCGCGATACGTAGCGATACTGGCAAAGGATGCCTGTATAAATACTGGTTCGTATCGTGATACAGGTCCTCGCTATTATTCTCTCCCAACTCTTCCCGCTTAGTACGTATGCTCTCGTCCCCTCCATTATCTGCCTTGGGCTAGAAACTGCTGTCACGTATTTGACACTGACCACACGATTTCAGTGCCCTCCCGAATGTCAGATTCGAAGTCGATGACGCCGAAGATCTATGGACATACTCGCTCCCTTTCCAGTACATCCACAGCCGAATCCTCTCGTCCGGCCCAAGCAACCGGTAAAAAACCCTACGCAAGTGCTACGAGTAATCTTGGCCCCATCACATCCCCTCATTAGTCCTTGTCGGGGAACCAGTCGTGACACACTACTGCTATCACAAGAGGGAGGGTGCTGATCTGAGTCAATGTGCAGCAACCTCGAGCCTGGCGGGTCGGTCGAGTTGCAGGAGGTTGACTTGTGCCCGACCTCTGATGACGCAACTCTTAGAACGGATTTCGATCTGATCGAATAATACAAACCGCCTCAAAAGACATCCGACAAATCCGGACACCCCTTTTTCGGAATCGCCCCGCTCACAAACATTATGATGGAGGTTGGATTCGTGGAGGCGTCTCTGGCTGTGACAAAGTAGCCGTCTAATGCGTGACCCATGCCATGAACCGCAAATGGAAGAAGACGAGCATCTGGAACGGCGAGGACATGATGAACGGTGTTGGAGGCTTCTCTACGGCAGCGCTGACGCGGGGCCACGTGCTTCATCCCGGCAGCATTCCGGACCGAGGTCTTGCTTGTGACCGTTGGCGGCGTGAGAAAAGAAGCTGTCAAGATGCTTTCGAACGAAGCCTGTGGCTATCCGGCTGAAATGGCTTTGCCCTCAGTCCGCGGAATGACTGATGGACCTGAGCTGCCGCTGGTATTCTCTGTGCGCGCCTTTTGCTGATGGAGTCGGTGGGTTCGCGCATTTGACAATCCATAGCTTGGTGTTCTGCTCAAACGTACGAGCTGCTCCAGGCCGTAATGTCGAAGAGCCTGCGAGATAAACCTCAAAACGGGGCCACGAAGCCGGATGATACCGGCGGATAGCGCCTTGACAGCGGTAAAGTTCTCATCGGCTTCAAGCAGTGTCCTTATAATGATACCCAAGATGGCTTCAATATTGCCGAGAATTGTGGCATACGATTGGCTATCACCGAAAAATTACCTCTCCAGTACAGTCGTCGATGTAAGAAAGGCCGAGTCTGGAATCGGTCTACTCGAAGGAGAGGTTGGAGGCTGGTCCAGGGCGAGGAGGCATATTCAGAAGGGCGCCGCTGCACTTGGCCTGCCCGCTCCTTGAGTCTTACAAGCGAGTCGTGTCTCTCATCCCAGCGTATCATGTATGTCCACCTCTCCCCCGTCGGGCGATGGCTGGACAACTTCCATTACTTCTTTTCGCAATCCGTTTTCTCCTCCTGAATAGCCTGTAAATGAACAAAGTATCTAGACTGCTTAACGCCAGGACCTAGGCTGAGTTGCTTCCCAGCATCGTCAGACAAAGGATGCAACAGCCTCGGCCCAGAACATAGGGAGTCTGACTTCTTGCGAGTCCTGCAAGTTTTGTGCGGGCTCTACGGAATCCGAGGAGGGCCGCGCGGTGACCTACATCTCAAAGCTGCATAATGGACCTAGCCATGTCCCTAGAGTGACTGATTTGAGTCTCATGTTACCGGTTTCCACTCGAGAGACGCGCATAGGAACGCATGACATAATATATTGGACTAAGCAGTTGACAATCGTCGTCTATACCAAAATACCCTGGCGGAATGAGTGCCCGTACCAGACTCGACGACTCCGCAACCGGCGGCCTTCAGCCGACGCTCTCTCAGAACATGGTATGTAGACAGCAGTGCTCAACTCCGAGAGACTCGTCCCATCCCCCCTCCAACCTGCACAGCCCAAGACGGGGGATTGGCCAGCTGGCGGGGGAACGTCGTTTGCCTAGACGCAAGAGGTCGCCTCTTCTCGCACCAGCCGGTCCGCAAGGCACAGAAGAGAGGCGAGATGGCGCCGGAGCTCAAAGTCCAGAGTCCTCTTCAAAGCACAACACCCACCACGGCCCTCCCAAACCTGTCTTGCCGGCCCAACCCCCTAAGGCGAGCCAAGATGCTACCGCGTCTACGGCAAGTCCATCAGCAGCTTGGAATTCCACCAAAGGATCGCGTCCAGCCCGCGCGACCGCGACCCCCCCCCCCCCCCCCCCGTCCGCGACGCGCCCGACAACGCGACGCTCGCGACGCGGGCGCACATGCATCAGGTAAGGAAGAAACGCTCGTTGCCCCTGACGATCGCCAAAAGAGACCGTTCCCGGTTCGACGCCGCCCAAAGGCTCAAAGCCTCGAGAGCAGACTACGCCTTCGAAGGGCAAGGGGAAACCCTCACCCTCTCGAGCCCGCCTGAAACCATGCGGCGCCATCTCGAGGCCCCCCTCTCAACGGTTTTCTTTGTTCAGAGACGCCACTATGCCTCCCACCCCAAATCGATAGGGAATGGGAAGCCGCCCGAAGCCAAGGGGGGGGGGGAAAGGTACAAGCTTGAAAAGGAAGAAAGCATAAAAAAAAAAGGGGGGGGGGGGGGGGGGAGAAAAATAGAGGCCCGCCCTGACGCTTATGATTTCGCAACGGCGCGAGATCAGCCACCGACCAGCAACAAAGAACCGGTGCGGTTCCGAACCAAGATCTCCTGCGTCTCTACACGATGTTAGCGTGTCGATACACCGAGATACGACAGACGGCGGAGGCTGGGATAGACGCGAAATAAGGCTTCACCTTCATCTTCCCCATCGAGTATCTTGTGTGGCTGACTCGCAGACGGACCATCCTATCCCGCTAGCAAGACGGAAAAGCGCCCGCCGCGCTCCGGTCTAGAGCATTTAGACCACGATGGGATGCCTTTCGGGCTGCTGTGAAGGGGGGGGGGGGGGGGGGGGGCGGAGTCGTGAGAAATCGCCTCGAGTGACGCTCCGGAGGCACCTTCTTCCTCGCGGCGTGTCGCACTCCAACGCCGGACCCGATGGCCCAGACGGACTAAGGCGGGAGTGCCCTCCTTGCCCTACGACAGATCCGGACGAGCCGAGGTTCTCTTCGAGGCGGACAAATCATCGCTAAGTCGCCTGGCAGGCGCCGGCTCCCGGGGAAGCGCACTCGAGCATCCCCTCGACGGCGTGGGGTCGTAGAGGCATCGCGGTAGTTCGAATCACCGCATCATGCTGGGGTCCTGTGCATCGCCGCCGTCCATGGCCCCAATCTGCAATGCGACATCGCATTGGGGCCCGAGTCACCATGGACCGACTGATTGCAACGCCAGCTTGGTGGAGGTGCATTAGGCCACGCGAACAGACGCAGCAGCAGTTAAACCGCGCAATGCCACGGTCGGTCCTCCTCTCCCCCTCTTCACACCCTCCCGCCAACTTGAGGATACCCTAGCTTGTCAGTGTCGTGTGTCGTCCCATCACTGTTCCGGTAAGTGTCACGGACGTTCGTCGAATCAGTCAGGCTCGGCAGCCGTCCAGACAGACACAGCTGGCCTCGGCTTGTCATCTGTCACCCTATGGCCCTTTCTCGCCCCGTTCTCGCCCCGTTCTCGAGAGACAAACAGACAAGCAGGTCATAGCTGCTGCGAGACATTGGCTCTAGGCGAGAAAAGCAACGATGGTGGAAAAACCTCTCCCACTGGTGGTGGCATGGACCTCCTCCCCACCTGCTCCTCGAGAGAGGCAGGACGCGGCCCAGGAAGGCGCCGATGGTTGGTTGTTCCCCTCAGGGCGGCACGACGCGGAGGGACGGACGCCTGGACGGTGGTGGTGGTGGTGGCGTGGCGTGGCGTGGCGCGGCAGACGTTTTGTTTGTGTGCTGTCGGAGGCCGTAGCTTTTGCAGAAGCAATATTTGCTGCCACTAGGCATGCCAAAAAGAGCGGTTTCTAACAGGCGATGCCATCATAGGGGCCCAGCGCTCTCTACTCATGCCAGTGTGCCGGCGCCCTGTGTGCATGTGAACCCCTACGTGAGATCAACCGGTAGGCGAGCAATCCGGGCGGGAGGGAAACCGACTCCATGTGCAGCCTCACCGGTCAGGATCGGCGGGATTGGTAGGCGGGCCGGCGGTGAGCGCCGGTTCGATAATAGACGTGACCGATGATGCTCTCTCTCTCTCTCTTCCCTTCTGTCCATCTTCTCCATCTGGCAGGTGGATCGGTAGCGTTGCGATGCCGGCGTTATGTCTCTTCCGCATGAAGGCGACCTCCATCCCAAGATGGCAGAGCCCCGTCCAGATCTTCAACTAGACACCGAAGATCCCAATTTTGACCCAGGAACATGCCATTGCAGGGCACCCAGCTAGCAGCCCAAGTACCTGTACGCACTGGCTGCCACTGCCCCCCCCCCCCCCCCCCCCTCCCAGTGTTACTTAGGCACGCAGAACAATCAACGTGGTCGGGTTCATGGTTCATGGAACCGTCTTTCTGAAATATGGCACTCTCGGGGAATAAGTCATGAAGCAGCGTATCGTTGCTGGGTCCGAACGGGGGGCTCTGGTGGGGTAATGTGCTCGCGGTTTCGACCCTGAGTCCTGAGTTGTCGAGCCTAGTAGTACACGGCACCTGGCGATGGAGGATCTGCCTCGAGTAGTGCTGAACTAGCGCCGTACCCGCCCGCTCACAGTGCATGGTGTGAATCAGCACGCCGCTGTACGTGATTCTCTTGGTCATCCTTACCAAGGCCACGATCGTCACCAGCTTGTGGCGACCATACGCATCAAGCGGGGCGGGGAGGAAACGTCCTTCTGGTTTAGCCACTCAGACCGGCGGGAGAGCCATGTCTGCCAGAGTCCTGCGACCTGCATCTCGTTGTTAGCTGGTACTGCTATGCATATGTAATCCACAGTTCGTACAAGCCCGCCCTAAGCCCCGGCTAGAGACACCCGACAAACCCCGGACGCCCGGAGAGGCAGCCGGTTTGCTAGGAGAGGCGTTATGGGAGAAGAAGGACAGGGGGGAAAGAATAGTTTGCTTGGACGCAAGCTCTGCTGCTGCTGCTGCTGCTGCCGCTGCCGCTGCTTTACGCTTGAGCCTTGACTTGACCTGTCACTTTCTCGTTTTCTGCGAATATGTTGACAAGCAGTATTTCAGAGGTCGAGAGGGGAATCCACCCATCCACACTGTCGAGATTCAGAAACACGCCGTTTTCTTTTATCAACCGCATAGGCTACATTTGTGGTTGGTGATGATGGTGATGATGGTGGTGGTGGGCGTGGTTACCTTGCATCTGCATGAGTGCACAATCGCTCCCACTGCATGTTTGTCAACGCTGTTTTTGCATCCTTATGGGCTTAGCCGGCCCTCCAGAAACATAATATCTATCCACTGTGTTTCCTGCACTGCGATACTGCGCATGATGCATTCGTGGTTGAATTTTGGTTACCCCCCCCCCCACCTCCCAACTCGAGGTACCAGACTGCATGTTTCAGGCAAACCATCTCGCCGCAGATTAACGGCGCAGTCAGGCTGTTTTCGAAATCGTGGGCGGATTGGGTATGCTCTCTTCCTTCCCCGAAAAGCGTCGGTTTTCGGCGCACCCGCTAGGCGAATGTTGGCGATATTGAACGTTTTCTTTACAAGCTCTTGTCATCCAGGGCTGCAGGCCCCCCCCGCCCCCCCCAAATTGTCCGGCACCCGAATGAACTATTGCCAACAGGTTCCCCTCGAAATATTGTCTGCATGGCGCTGTTCATTCAGGTGGGCGTGTCGACGCATTGATTGTCGGTCGTCTTCCCGTATCCATTCCTACAAACCCGAGCCGAATGATGAGCTCTTCACGGCGGTACCAAGCTTAGGGTCTATCGACCAGTAACCGCGCGCGGGGGGGGGGGGGGGGGGGGCGTCACCAGTTTAGTTGGACAACCGAATGCGCTAGCTAGCATTGACTGAGGCCCCGCCAGTTGCTTTCGCCTCGACACACGTATGGGGTTCTTGCCTGGGTGCGACGAGATAGTCGGACGATCCTGATACCATGAACCGCTCCGACGACAAAGAATGAGTTGGGATCTGTGACGCTCCAATTTCCCGTTCCCCACGGCAATCACTTCTAGAAGGGTTAAGGAACGCCGGCAGTGAAGAGGCAAGGGAAATGAAATTATCTCCCGTTCGTGGACATCGCGGACGATGGGAACCTTTCCAGGCTGGCTCAAATATTGGAGCCTATCATGCTTGGCTACCACTAGCTGGCGAGCCGTCTGCGGGACGGACGTGAGGCCTGTTGGGGCCCATACTGCCTGCTTGGTGTGCACCCCCCGTTGCTTCTATCTTGACCGTCTTCGAGTCCCGCCTTGTCAGATTCATGGGCATCTCAAACCATCCACGAAGCAACGTGCCACTCACAGCTCCACCGCACCGAGTTACCATATGACAAGAGCGAATGACGGAGTTGCAGTAGGGAGGTAAAAGAGAGAGAGAGAGAGAGAGAGAGAGAGAGAGAGAGAGAAATAAATAAATAAAGAAACCATCTAGTAGAGGTTTTCCTTGTCGAGATCAAGACGTTGATTTGGGGAATGGCCCGATGGACAGAAACGTAAGTTTGTGCCGAGCGATGGCCCGTGTTGCGACCGTCGAGATGCATCCGTGTGACCCCGTCGATGTTCCCTTGAAACGTCCTCGAACACGCTGGCGGCGACAGGATTTCGGCTTGACTACCGCTTCCTGTCGATTATCATATAGGCCTGCCAGACGATATGACCCGGTGCCTTCGCCTTTGGGGTCTTCTGACACTTGAGTGGCGGATCCATTCCTTCTAGAACAATGGAAGGATCCATGGACAGCCAGCCCATTGCTCTATCCCGTGCTGGGATGCCTCCCCCTTCGCTTTGCGCCAACTCCATCACGTTTCCCGTTGTTTGCAAAAGTCCACGCAAGGCAGATGTGTCATGATAGCTAGCACCTGATGCCCGAAACAAGAAGTCGCCCGTACCCAAGGCTATGCTGGCTGCTTTGTGACGGAGCCCAGGCGTCGGAGCTTACAGGCTCTGAAACCTTCTGGAAGGTCAGTCCCCCGAGCTAACGGCCGCGGGAATGCCCATTGGCCGCTGCGGAGGAAGTCCTTGCTCTAACCGGTATGACGAGGTAACCCTGGCAAGGCATGTGGGACACCCCACCGAGAAGCCTCAGAATGATAGCTACCAATATTGACCGACCGACTTCTCATAAGCGTGTGGGTTCTTCGCCATCTAGCGAGGGCATTAGCCGAGCCGATAGTTCTTTCTGCTCTGTAACACCGTGTACCCACGGTGGGATTGAAGAGGACAGCGGAACGGAACGGATAGAGATAGACGAGGCATCTCTCTGGGTATTGTTCGCTCGGGCTGCCGGGTCTTCGTGGTCCAGCTCGATGTCTATGTATTTCGGTAAGAAAGAATCGCCTGACAAGGTCCCGAGCTATCGAGCGTCGGGGTTCCCCGAATGCAAGAGCTGCCCCAACCTAGCCCGCCTAGAAGACGTTGGCAATGCTCAATGTTTGCTTTTCATGCTTCGCTGATGGTCGACAGGCTAGGCACTAAACACCAGACAAACGCAGTATATGGCAAACCCTTCGGGTTCAATTGACACTCTGGATGATTTCCACGCCAAGTGAAATGCAGCGGTTAATCCGTGACCGGACCGCTAGCCCCGCAGAAGCTGTCTTTCGTGCCGTTTCCTCGAGACTGATTGGCGATAGCGAGAAATCAGTTCGACTGTCCGTATATTGGGTAGTCAAGGATGATCGGACCCGGCTAAATGGCGGCCCCAGGCTCCATCCAGAATACCTCGGGCCCGTTAAAGGTTCCTTTGATGATCTTCCAGACTCATGCCCGGTTACGGCGAGGACCCTTGTGGCAGAGACAAGCGATGGATGGTAATTTGTGGCAGACCTTTGCTGGATTTGCCTGAAAGAAATCCGGGGCAGCAGCGACGGAGCTTCACCCGTTTTCGGTCCTGGTCGCCGTCACACAGCCCAGGGGGGTTTACTGGCTGGGCCGGGACCCCACGGCTTCCTACCCGGGCCGTCCAACGTACCATAGCCGCTAACCAGGTTCCCAAGTCGTCGGAGGCGAGTTGGAGTCTTGGAGAAGGGAACTTCCCGGAGGGACTAGAGGGCTCGCGGGTACAATTGGGGAACTTCATGAGCATCAAACACCAGATCGCTAGGGCCTCCTTGGTAAGCCAGCGAGTTGAGCTCCCAAGCTTCCTTCCTTAAACGTCGATATTGCGCCATCTGTGCGGCTTTTAATAGCTCTTTGTGGGGGGGGGGATTTGACTAACTGCGGCGATCGGAGGCTCCTAGTGATGATAATGGTCGGCTGGCGATATGCTATACTAAGTGGTCGTTAACCCCCCTCCCCCCCCCTCACGATATGGGTTGACGTGTCGACGACGCCCATCAAGGCAAGTATCGGCCAGGACGCCCACAGTCCTGCTCTCAACCTGGGGGGCAACTGCTCGAGACATTCGTACACTATTTGTAACTTCGCATGTCCGTACATGGAAGAGTCTGAACATGCACCCACTCAACAGGCCGGGGGCCGTCGCAAGAACCGTGCTGTTTTGGGCTTAAGGCGTTCCGGTGTGTTGGATCATGTCACCTGTTTGCTGCTCCTAATCCGTCAGCCAGGAACGGCACAACCACTCCAACGGTGACGAGAGGATTCACGAGCCAGGCACTTGGCTCTTCTTTGCGGCTTCCGCCGAGAAGCCATGTAGTAGTGTACTAAGTACATGAGCAGCCAGCACCTGGTCGGCCAGCCTGGGGCCCCGGTCGCATGACAGGCCTTGCCTGCTCTGCTGGTCTGGTCTTGAAAAGGTCGACCAGCATGTGGTAAGACCCCCGACCCCGTCGCTTTTAGTCAAATTCAAGACCGAAAAGGTCATTAGCGGGCAATCGTTCTCCATGCCATCCCATGTCGGCCGCATGAGCTGTGATCCTATTCGGCTGGCAAACCCACAACCCACGAGCCGCTTTTCTTGGTTAGGCTTTAGGAAGTCCCCAAGCTTTGAGTTGCCGGTTCCGCGAAGCCTAGTATGCTATAGCGAGTCTCCACCACCACCCTTGGTTTGACCGAGGACACCTCGTTCTCGCAGTGTACATACATACTATGTAGTACACTCCGTACTTGTTGCGAGGCATTTTAGACCATCGGCGGTGATGCTCACCATTCGATGGCTGGGAACATTCCGACATGGTCGTTTGGTCCAGCTAGCCAAGCTGCAAGAAGCATGCAGTGCGATATATTCTATTCAAAGAGCTGCTGAGGCTGGCCGAAAGCGAAAAGCGCGCGTGTGCTGCATTGGAGACAGAGGAAGACGAGGAAGCCTTGGCGAATTGCGGAAAATCTACGGATAGTGTACCTGCATACGGTTGCAACCGTTGGTCTGTTCCTGCATGGGGTACTTTTTTGGAAACGCGACGTACGTGTACAGTATCTCGATGCTGCAGTCGGTATGCAAGGTACACCGAGCTGTGGGTGCTCAACTCCGGGACCGGGAGTAGTGTACTTCCCACTATCCGTACATTACAGTCCCTATCATGACACCGACTGTACGGAGTACTACAGTACCCCAAGCTCTGGGTGGGCATCTAGCGGTAGGCCCAGGACGAGAGGCAACGGTTGAGTGGAAGTCCCTGGCACGGATGCATGGTCGCATGAACGGAGGCAAATTGGCGATTGGTCAATCTTCAGGGATTCGACGGGGCATAGGATCCCAGTCCAAACTGACCGGAGCTCTCCCAGCCCTCCCAGCCCTCCGAGAACTACGATCAGCGTCAGCGAGACGGATCACGATAAGTTGCCCCATTGGGAAGCCTACGGCCGGTAGTGCATACGAGTTGTGCAACATAATGCTCAGCACAGCCCGCTCTCACGCCGACACGCACCGGAAGAGCTACTGAGAATGTGCAATGTCTCCACTCTCAGAAGGACTTGGGCCCAATGTATGGCTGCATGGAAATCACCCGGGCTATCCACTGCCACAATGACAGCATGCTAATGTCAGACAGACTCAAGTCAACTTGAGTCCTTCCCTCCTCGTCAGTGGTGCAAGCTGCGGGTTCGAGCCAGGTTGTGCACGCTTTGTGCTGTTTCGGCGGCGCAGCTGTTTGACCCAGTCAGTGTACGTGCGTCTTTTGCCCATCCGTCAGTCGGTTCCAACTGGACGAGATAAACAGAGAGGCTAATGCACAACCGATACCGAAAGTCCATTGGTGCAGTTTATGCAGGCCGCCAGCGTCTCAGCTAGAGGGCCGGAAGCTGAGTAAGACAATTAGTGAGTGATGTTCTGTGCCGTCGAGCGATTGTGAACGGTGTCGTAGTGAAGGAGCCTGGCTAGAGTAATGCAGCCAAGCACAAAAAGTTTGTCGTAAAGAGTGTTGGTTCCGAAATTTGGTGTTCCTGGTCGATGGGGTGGAAAGTGGGTTGAGGCTTGAGATGATTACTTGCGAGTAGTGTCGCGACCGATGGGTGAACAGGAAGTCCCAGCTGAAGCCCGTACCACACCTTGCCCTTTCCAGTCAATGGAATGATTGCAAGCTGGCAAAAGCCAAGCAAATGCCTTGCCAGTCCTGGCTGGACCGTCTGGAATTGTGAACAAAGAAACGCGGGTACCTTACAGACGGCTCAACAGACCCTAGGTAGTGACACAGAACAGGACCGTTGTGAAAGAAAAGCCTAGGCGATGAGCCAGCCGTTGCGATTATCACTGCGTTTCATCTAATACTGAGCGGGACCTGGAGCGGCGCAGCGCCTCCCCCCAGTAGCCGATCACTTCTGATTCCAACGGATACAAGTTAACTAAACCGAGAATGTTTGCTCCCCCTATGCTGGGTTATCATGTTGGTTCTTGCGTTGGCTCGTTGGCTGTTGGTCCGTTGTCATGGGCGTTGGCGTTGGCGTTGGCATTGGCGCTGATGCTAGAATGGGCGCTGACGGCCATCAGTTCCCCGATTGTGTTCCATAAAGGCTGTTGGATCGCGAGCCGGGGCGACATTATCCTGGTCGGTGGAGAACCGACGACCTGTTGCTGGTGTGTAGAGTTTGCGTAATGACCGATTAAGCCGGTGGACGGCCGATGGATGATGGTGCAGACGCAATTCGCGCCCTCGCCGGTTGCGTTTAGCATCCCGGATTGTAGGGGCCAGACCGATGGGATCTGTGATTCAACAAGACTGGCGTGGAGTTGACCCCGAACCCCCGTGGGTTCGGAAGTGTAAGATAAAGTGTGGCATATCCATAGGCGAGCAGCGATCAAGGGTTGTTAGCTAGTGCTGAGAGTTTCCTAAGCACTGTTCAGGTATGGCTGGGTAGCCTGAGTAGCGTAATTGTGTTCTCGAGATGCTGTCCCTGTGAGCATCAGCTTGATGACGGTTGATATTGGCGCCCGCCCTGACAGATGAGCGACACCTGTCGAGTCACGTAGCAAAATGCCAAGGGTGGTTGAGTATCGATAAGGTGTGGAATTCCCGTCCAGACCAACCCAACCAGGATGTGCGGGTAACAGTTGATGGAGGGCTTCTAGGATGCCTGGCCGTCCGGCCGTTTGGGCGACCATGTGTGTGAGAGAGGGAGAGAGAGAGAGAGAGAGCGGTGACGATGAAGCGGGGTGTTGCAAGGGAGCGAAAGGGAAAATGAGGGGCAAAAGTGCAGACGCCGGGTACCTGACAGCGTTCCTTGCATTGCGTTTCCTGTAAGGTACGGCAGGGAGAAAGGAAAAGGCTAGGAATAATTTTCTCGGTGAAAATCTGGAAGCGGCGACGATACAGGTGGTCAAAGTCGAGTCACCGGGTCCATGGGACAGAAAACCGAGAAGAAGGGCAAGGGTGTGTTCCAAGCAGGCCCTGGAACATACCACCGTACGTGTAAGACGGCGCGTCATGCTCGGAGCAAAGTGTAAGTGTCTTATGCAGAAACAAGCCGCGTACATACCGTACGTAAGGCTAGGCGGATGCAGTTCATGCGTCCTGTCCGCCTGGTCCGAAGCATGTTCGTTCGATGTACGAGCAGGAAGTGATGGGATGAATGGCGGATGGCCAGCCGGATGGGCTGCGCAGAGGACGTCGACGTGCTGTTTCCTGAGTGCGGATATAAGCTAGGTCGTCAATATTCCATCCTTGAGCGGGGTACGCCAAAGAGGGAAAGTCACCTCGGGAGTTGCTCAACGAGTGTCCCCCACTTGATGGCATTACCAGCCGCAGCAGATGCGGATTCGGGAGGCTCGACCAAGGAAAAGGAAGGAAGGCCCTTGGAATAGCACTACGAAACGATGGATGATGGGCCGCACCACCGAGAGGATCGGGAAGGGAAGCAGCTGCTTGCTGCATCCACGACGCTACCTGCAGCATGACAGCCCACAGGAGTTTTCTTTTTGCCGCGAGGGATCAATTCAACGGCAGGTATGACGCGGCGGCAGTAAGACCAAGCAACGACCCTCCTCCACACCCGGTGCGGCACCCGTCGTCGCTTTCTTACCATCCCCGCACCCGACATTCGCGTCGCCCTCCCAAAACGGAGAGAGAGAGAGAGTCGTGGGCAAGGTTACGCAACAAGCAAGACCTACCATCAAAGGCAAGAGAAAGCAGAAGTTGATGGATTCGTCCGTGCCTGCCTTTTGCCGTCAAGCCGCTCCTTCCTATCTTGGTCGAGCTGCACCTGCACCTGCCTTGCCTGCAGGTACACTATCTACCTAACCTACCTTCCTACCTACGGTACCTTCCTACCTACCTACATTTGCATCGCACCTGCATCTGCACCTGCATGTGCAGAGCCACACTACTCCGTACACATCCTTGGCCGCCTGCCTGGTGCCCACTGCCCACAGAGTCAGTCTGTGAGTCGAAAGCAAACACATGCTACACCTTGGGGGTGGGGACCCAGTAGCAGCAGACCCAAATGCTCCCCGAGTTAACTTACACGCAACCAACGACTTCCATCTTATCCGAAGAGGCATGCTGCCCTCCGCCCGTTCGTCCCATCCATACCACTACTTACAGAGCCAATCAGCCAACGGTTCCCTACATTGATTGCACTGCCGGTCTACCCGGCCGCTCCAATTCGGCTCTAGAAGAAGCCTTCATCCCTCGTCAGTCACTTCGTAATCTGTTTACGGCGCGCACGGCGAGTCTTGGCTCGCCTTGCCTTGAATGCTCGCTGCATGGACCTCTTCGCGGTGGCGACAAACTCGTCCGTCTCTTCCCAAACTAACCTCAATTTGTGCTGTCGCAGGTTGCCCACGGCCAATACGGGATTGAATGGCTTGGACCTCAGATCGGATGTCACTTTTCCACCCGCCGCCCGTGCCAATGTCAATATCGGCTTCAATCCCGCTGGCTTCGTTGGTCTGCTTCACCATCATTTCGATGTTCGCCTTGCTCCCTCCATGATCTTCAGCTGCGGGCCGCGGGCCACTTACGAGGCTTGTTTAGTTCCGACCATCACGTCCCTGGACGCCTGCCTTCTCTATAGTGTACAATGTCAATGCGCCGGCATCCCGAGTGGCTCCCGCCAACGCGGCCACAGTCCCAGTGGTGTCAAGGTTCATGCCTGGTCGTCACCAAGCCCTTGGGCCAACCGGGATGTCCAGTCGATATTCCTGTCACCAGATCTATCAGGAGCACTCGAATCGACTCGACTCGACTCGACTCGACTCGCGCAGGGTGGGGCGAGGCAACGCCCGGGTGACGATGTCACCAATACAGCGCTCCTTCGCCCCGGCTCGACTCGGCATACGGACGCGTGAAAGAATGGAGAAGGACCCGGGTCCGTCAGTATATCCCGCCAAAGCCAGTGTGATGTCAAGGCCAGACAGAAGCGCGCGCCCCCTCCTTCTCGCAAAAAAAAAAAAAAAAAAAAGGTGCTAGTTAGTGGCGGCTGCATCATCGCGGGCCAACAAGATGCCATGGACAACACCCAAAAGCCCAAAGCGCGACGCGGGGTCGTTGACTGGCGACAGAGAGCGTGTGATAGACCTTCGAGCTGACCACTAAGATGCCGAGTCGCCCTCGATGGACGCTAAGTGGTGCAATGGCACCTCGCTGCCAGAGGTTGTCGTTGCCCCATGGTGCTTGTAGGAGCGGGGTTACACCAAAGATGCGCCACTCCAGCCCTCTGAATGGCCCAATTCTATCCCCATCGCACATCCTTTGTGTGTTTCGTGTTCCTGCACAACTACCCTACCCACCGGACAGTGAGGGCTTGCACAGCTGGATCACCGAGGCCTCGTTGGCGCCCTGGATACGACGCCAGTCTGCATGAACATTATTCGAGCATGCTCACATGTTCGCCGCTTCCAAGGAATTGGGTTGTGCTATGGACGGGGGACACAAGTGGCTCGTATACTGTGCAGCCCCTCGCATGCCGTTGGCGTCGGCTCTTACCCGAGGAATCCAAGGGCCTGCGGAAGAAACGGTGGCCTCCGAGGGGAGAGACACGGCGCATAACGGGGACCAGTGGGCGGGCGTGTAGCCTCCGCCAGGGCCCTCTGGACAATTTATCCAACACTCGGATGAACAACCATTTCTGAGAGTTTCGGGCTATTATTCTTAGAAGGCTGATGTTGCTATATCGCAGCCATTATGTGCCTGACGACATTAGATGGACGAGCCACACACGGCTTCTCCAAAGCTGGGATTGTCAAAACCCACTGTTTCCTCAATTTGATGGAATTCGACGAGCTTCGTCCGTCCCTGCGGCTCTGGCATGAAGACGACCCGCCGCCAACCCTGGCCACCGACGTCAATGCTGATCGGGTAGCCCATCACCTGCCGCGATGCTCCGCGTTTTGAGCCCTTCGGGCCTGTTCTGCTCGTTTGACTGAGGAATCAAACAGGCACGGCTCAGCTCAGCCGCTCCGAAGCATGACTATGGGTTACAAATGCGCCCACGAGGGCGAAACTTGCTGTGGCTCCGGAGTCACCGTGGCCAAGGAGACGAGCGGCAGGCAGTTGGCGGCTCGCTCTCAATGCAGACAGGCCAGCCCTTTCTTCGACTGCCGCCGATACTGTGCGTCGCTGACACAGTCACAGTGACTGTTGCCGCTGCTGCAACTACAACTCTGCCCAAGTGATCATCAACTGGCGGCGCAACGCCATCTGGTATTCGCTGGTTTGGTGCCTTGCATCCGCGCCGCCGCGGCCAAGGTTTGCTGGTGTGCGAGCACAGCGAGCGATACGACTGGCGGCAGCATAAGTGTGTGTGTCTGCATGTGTGACTGTCGACACAGAGCCGGTCCAGCGAATGACGGTGTTGAAAGAATGTGGTCGGACGCGCGCCAGGCTGGGCTGAGATGGCGAGTGCCAACCGAGGCAGCCATTTGTGCTAGTTGTGGACGACAGCTTTTCTTATCGGCGTACACTATATCCACTTATACATCGATGTCCTGGCCTATCAGTGGCTGAGTGCCTCGGGTTAATGCAGCTGGTCGGAGTTACCTTTGAAGCATTCGCTGCTCACTGATCTACCAAGGCCTATCGGACAGGTCTCATGTCGTGCGGGACGCCTGTTGGTGGCAGCCCGAGAGGTCCTACTTCCCAACCGAAGACGCTTGGAATCACAGGGACAGAAACAGAGTTCCGTTGTACTTGGGCTCAATCAGTACCTACTTAGACCATGTACTCATCATTGATTTCTCTCTTCGGACGGCCAAACTTTGGTAAAGTGCCACTACTGCTTAGCATGCATAGATTATCCGTAATTGCGAGGAAAATGTCATCAGCACTACGTACCATGATAGCCGATGATGTGCAATAGTTGTGTGAATGGCGCCGCTCCGTGCTCATGTCCGAGCAGTGACGCGACGCCCGTTCATGGCCGCCGTCAACGCCTTCTACTTGCACTGGCTCTGTTGCCGTGGATGCCTGAAAGGCAGACGCTGGCCACGGTACCATGACCAGCATCTGCTAAGGTTCGACTATTTTCTTCCTGGAGAAGACATGGCTGGCTCCATCTAAAACGCGATGGTCTCGCGGTGTCGAGACTGGCGCAGTCATGCAGGATGTCGTGTATGTGCGTCTGTTGGTCTGTCGGGTTGCCAGGCATTCGGGCAGCCCAGTTACGTGACTGGTCAATACCGTCGTAAACTGCACGCCAGACAAGTTTCTGGGGGCTTGGGAAGGCCTCCAACCATGTGGCGTAAAGCAGATGATGATGATGGCCTTTTGGGCGGACGAGGGCAAAGGCGTAAGTACATTGACACACACAGAGACCGGCGAGCTGTCATGTACTCTTCGGACTGTGGTACATCAGGGCTTGGTGCCGTCTCTCGTCTGTTTTCCCGTTTTGCCGCCCGCTTCTCCGAGCATGAGAGGGAACGGTACCGTATGTATCGTACACCCACCCACCGTATCCTCTGGCCCGTACCTGCGTTTTGCCCGTCCAGATTTAGAACAGACCTGGTGGCTGCGCCTTCCTCTCTTCCCAGCCCACCCACACCCACGCACCACCACATACGTATTCACATACCTTACCACTCAAACCACTCAACGTTCGGTACGGTGGGCAACTTCAGCCATCCTCATGTTGTTTCCGCTTGTCCTCAGAGCCAGAGGAGCCGAGCAGAGCAGAAACAGAATCAGCGCAGAGACAGGCGTGCAGAGGCATCTCCGTAGCTCCTGAGCTCCGCCCAGTAGCAGGGATCGGAACTTCGCACCGTTTCGTCTCGTCTGCCCTGCTGTTCCTGTTCCTGGTCCGTCACCGCCGTTGTCGCTGTGGCCCATCCTATCCCATCCATCCGTATTCCAACGCGTGTGTGTGTGTGTGTGTGTATGTGTGTGTGTGGATGTCCCACTCACACTTCCATCCCCTCCGAACCCACCCGCCAGGAACAGAACATCCCAGCGACCAGAGAGGAAGAGGTACGTACCATCCGACGAGGGACACGGTACGTACTGTCCAGCTACCCTAGTCGATCATGTACCCAAGTACCGCGATCCACAGATACGTACTTCCATACCCCCTGGCCCCGGTCGACTTGTGTGGGTGAGACATGTCTGCGTGGAGAGGGAAGAGAAGAGAGGAGGGGACGAGAACGAGGGACGAGGGTCCGTCTCCCAAGGTGCGCTAGGGTCTGGTGTGGTCTGGTCTGGGTCGGGTCTGCCACTTTGGCGTGGTACTCAGTGTCACGTACCATGGGGTCCCTATCGACAACTTTTACCTTGGGGCTAGTCGGTTGATCTTGGATTCTTTTCTCTACTTATCCCCCTTCACCACCCACATTCATTTCGCTCTCGCTACTTCATGATCGACATCTACTGTGCGCTGTGATCTTTTCTTCTTATGACCACTCGGTTCTTCCTTCTTTTGTGACCTCGACCTTTGGGAAACAATTCGACCTGCTCGAATCATCCCGTCCTTCCTTTAAACACACAACCATATCCAACCACTCTCGAGCCCGTAATTCAAACACCAAGCCGGTTCTTCTATCACACCTTCATACAATCTCGACGCCAGCTGTTAAGATTTAGAAGAACACTCGGGACGAGTTCCATGTACAACTAAGACAACCCACGCTCTCACTCATCGAGTCACTCAACATACACAGACTGCCATTGTCCGCCAACGGCCTGTCGTCCTATCCTTCACATCCAGGAAACCGAAACCCACCGTCATTAGGCCAACCGCCCGCGATCCGGTTCGAAAGAACTTTACACACAAAGTGTACAACAATAAACGCAACACCACCATCCTACGACTAATCAGTAAGAGACGGACTCGAACAATCCGCCGACTAACAGCACAGCTCAACACGACAACCTTGTCCGGTGCGTTTCTGACGAAGCCGCAGCCTGCAATCGGGAGAACCAAGGAACTGACCGAGGGAACAGACGTATCACAATGGACGCAGCCATGATGACGGCTCAGGCAATGGGGCAAGCTCCCTTCCTCTACTACCGCCCCGAACAAAAGCCCGATACCTCGAGGCACCGCGGCCACTTCTCCCAGCAGCCCAACATGCACCAGCACATGGCCATGTACCCCATGGTCCCGACTCTGCCTTCCACACCCATCTACTCGCGGCCTAACTCGTCCTGCTCTCAGCCCATGGGCCCCACGCTGTACAGCAACGGACCAGCACCCACAAGCATGACGCCGATGGCCTCGCCCCAGCCCTTGACCCAAAAGCCTGCGATCATGCTCGAGACGGAGATTGGTGACGAGAACCTCTACTTTCCCTCGACACCGCCCTTGTCGGCCTGCGGTAGTGCCATCAGCAGTCCCAACAACAGCTGCGAAATCATCCACACGCCGATGAACCCCATGTTCTCCGGGTTGGACGGCTTTGACGGTCTTGACGGATTCAAGGAGACGCTGGAGGTCCCCGAGAATCTCGCCATTGACTGGAACAGCTGTGGATCGCCCCCCATGACACCTGGTAAGTCGCAAGCAAATCGAAACGTGTGATTTTCCATCCGTGCAGAAACGCATTCATCTCCAAGATTTGGAAAAAGCCTGAACCATGCTCTGCCGCGTGCTGCAAAGGCTGGGCGGTCTTGGATCCCATGCCCGGTGGCCTGGGTGGGTGGTGGTTGCAAGGAAAGCGTGGCGGGGCAGTCATTGGGGATTGGTTTTTTTTTTATTAACGAGACGCTAACTCAATTTGGCAGTTTATCTCCAAAACCAAGCAACCAAGGTTTCCTCGCTTAGCACCAACACTAGCGACCTGCTTTCCACAGCATCTTGCCCTTCGCTTTCTCCCTCACCTTCGCCGTACGCCAGGTCGGTCGCCTCCGAACAGGATCTTGACTTTTGCGACCCGCGCAACCTGACCGTCGCTGCTGTGCCCAACACATCCAACCCCACCCTGGCCCCCGAGTTCTCAGCCTTCACCCTCGGTGACGAGCTCAGGGGTGAAGTCTCTGCCAAGGCTCCTACATCGGCCCCCTCAAACCAGACCTTTGACTTCAACCCTGCCATTCCTCACGGGCTTCCCGCTTTTGAGGATTTGTCTGACTTGGAGTCCGAGGACGACTTCGTCAACGGCCTGGTCAACCTCGGTGACGCCAACTCTGCCGAGGTGGGCCGCCCCCGTGCCTGCACCGGCTCTAGCGTCGTCTCGCTTGGCCACGCGAGCTTCATCGGTGAGGAGTTCAACTTCGACGAGGCTGAGATTTCCGCGCCGGCTTGCTTGCCTAGCCCCTCATCCAGCTGCAACGACAACGACTGCCATCAGAACAAGCGTCGCAAGGTGGTTAAGCAGGAGACCCGCAACTCTACGCCCAGCATGAACTCCACCGCCGGGTCTTGTCAGGCTACCAGTAGCGAGCAGCGATCCAACAGCCAAGCTCCTGCCTCTGAGGCCAACAGCTCGTCCGATTCCGAGACCCCGTCTGCCCCTCATCCCGCTCCCGTCAACCGCCGCGGGCGCAAGCAGTCCCTCACCGAGGACCCTTCCAAGACGTTTGTATGCGAGCTCTGCAACCGCCGTTTCCGCCGCCAGGAGCACCTCAAGCGTCACTACCGCTCGCTCCACACGGGCGAGAAGCCCTTCGAGTGCCACGAGTGCGGTAAGAAGTTTTCCCGCAGCGACAACCTGTCCCAGCACGCCAGAACCCACGGCAGCGGCGCCATCGTCATGGAACTTGACGAGTCGGGTGTTCACCCGTTTGACCACAGCATGATGGGCCACCCCGAGGACTACCACACGCTCGGTAAGGTCCTCTTCCAGTGTGCAGCCGAGATTCCCGGAAGTGCCAGCGAGCTCTCGTCGGAAGAAGATAGCAAGAAGAAGCGCAAGCGCTCCGACTAAACGGTCCGGGTGGCTTTGTTTTTTTCGCATTCAATTTCACAAATCGATAGCGATTAGTCGTCGCTTCGATCACGCCCGACACGACTTTGATGACGACAACTTCTTTTTTTCTTTTTTTTCTCCGGGCCTACCCGCCAAGCATTTTGCGCGGGTCGGTCAATAGGGTCATACGGGGAGGGCCTTCCACAGCGGGGGGGAGCTACCATTCACCAACATGGGAGGCTAGAACCACCTCAGGGAGGAACCACATGCGAAAAGTGCAAGCGGGTTTGGTCATTTTCACTCATCGATGCGTTGTCTTTGCTGTATCAGTATTTCCGATGCTAGACATGCCGGAGCCGCCAACGGTCTCGGGTGTGGTCAGCATCGAAGGGGGACGGGGTCATTTCAAGGGCAAGCAAGGATGATCACCAACAAAAGTTCAAGAACGCAAGGGCAAAGGGCGAGAGCAAAATCGGGCCTCGGGACAACGGCGTGTAAGGTATGGCGGATTTTGTTTCAAAGAGACATCAGTATGATTGTTTCCATCTTTTCATCGTTTCTCGCGCGGCTTTTTTGAGAGTTCCTTACAGCAGAGGAGGAAACAGCAGACTCCATCTTTTTTTGTTTTGGCAGCGGTCCAAGCGTATCTTTCTCTACGCTCGTTGTAATCTTTCCAGCGTGTTCGGAGGCCGGCAGCCAGCATCGCATTGGAACAAGGGAACTTTCTTCTGTGCGGCGCCGAGTACGCGGACCGCCTCCTGCGGGAGGGGGTGGGTGTTTGCCGCTTCGGGCCGCCGCCTTCTTGTGTTTACTTTTTGTTTTGATTTTAACTCCATCGATCCATCCTCGGGCTGGATTCTCCCTTTCGTTTGAGCTCTCTTGTTGGTCATGGGTCGAATTCCGCAAAAAAATCAGTGCGGAGGGACAGGACTGGTGTGAGTGCAGGCACTCATCACCAGGACGGACAGAGAAGATGCTTGGTTTTTTTCGTTTCACCGCAAACACTTTTCCCTCACAATGTACACAAACACAATTTTTTTTTTTGAACAAACTGAGAAAAAAAAAAGATACACTTTTTCCGCGATGCCAATAACTTGAAAGCCCCTCCAACAATGCCTCGTTGTATGTATGTGCGATCGCCGATATCTATGACTCGGCGAATAGTGACTAATGTCGTCCATCGACCGATGGGGGAGGAAGTATGTGAGGGCTCGACCCTCCTGCATACTTGAGCCCGACGGTTCCAAGACGAGACAGGCCCGGGCTGAGGCCGGATGCCGTCATGCATGTTCCAACCGGGTGTTTTCGAGTATTCTGGGCGAGCTACTTTCTTTCCTTTTTCTCCTTTGTTTTCTTGGTATTCGAGGTCTCGTCCGCTCCTTCTGTTTGTCTCACTCGCCCGCATGGGAACAGGCCAGGTGGGAAGGACCGTTTGGCCTTGGGGTTTCCCGAACCAGCCTTAACCGACACATCACCTGCGGGCGCGGCATTTGTGGAGGAGGTTAGTTTCTTATTTTATTTTATTTTCCTACCATGTCATGTTTCGTTTATTCTCCCAGCCAAGAAGAATTCTTATTATTATTATCACTATCTTTTTTGGTCAAAGCCCCCCCAGACTTGGTTCTTACTTTCTTTTCTCTCTCTCTCTCTCTCTCTCTCTCTCTCTCTCTCTCTCTCTCTCTCTCTCTCTCTCTCTCTCTCTCTCTCTCTCTCTCTCTCTTTCTCTCTCTCTCTCTGTGTCTGCTTTTTTTTTTTTTTTTTTTTTTTTTCTTTATATCCTTCCCATTTTGCCAAACGGGGATGGCATTTTGCCATGACATTTTCCGTTCGTTTCTCTCATCAGGATGGAGGCGTTGGTCTCACTCCATCGGGCGTCCTCGAGCTGAGTCGCGACGATTCCGATGGCTGAACTGAGACGCCGAGGGGTGTGTGTTTCGCGTCTAGCTGTGTTTCTCTATCTCACACTCACTTTTCTTCCCTTAGGATCAGGCTGTAACGGTTCCATTCTTGCCGGTTGTCTCTGGCGGTCCCACCCCCTGGCCTGGGCTGGCGGACCAAAAGCCCATTCCAACGGTTTAGCATGGTTGTTCGGCATAGTTCCTCCGCCTGGCTATTATTATTAACTTCCATTTGTCACGGTTCGGGCGATTCCCTCCGCATATCGTCGCAGTCGAAACGAAGTCTGGGATCTCACACTCTTATTCAACACCCAAGACGATATAGAAATCTCGGAGGCGCGATGGGATGGCCCCGTACACGGCAGATTACCGACGCTACGCGGGCAGGGGAACGCGGAAGGACGCCCGGCCGTGTCGCTGATTGGCGGCCAACGGGGGGGTAGGAGAAAGTGATTCCATTTTCCTGGTCCTCCGGGTGGGGCCTGGGGGTTGGGCGTTTTGGAAAAGAGAAAAGACAAGGCAAGATAGAGTCAAGGTTAGGTACGTTTGGGTTTCGCTTTGTTTTCGTCCGATGGGTATGGAGGGGGGGATGCGACGTTCTCAGGCCAGGCGGGGCAACAAACAGTTGTCAGCTATATGTCAGCGACGTGGACGCTATATTTTGTGCATGTATACGTAGCATCCGAACATCGGAAGTATTTGTCTAGTAGAATCAATAAGAAGGCGGAGAGGTAGTAACGGATACTGGTAACAAGATCACAAATTACCACCCCAGTAACTGGCAAAGTTTAGTCAGGCACTAGTGGGGCGAAGACGAGGGTGTGTGTGTGTGATTGGTTGGGGGTCTAATAGACTAATATCAACCAAGTCGGATAGGTTACCTCCTCGAACAACTCGTTGGATCGCAGCCCGCTAGTTCGTTGACATTATTTGCCGGTAGATTGGTTGAGCAATATGAGGTCCCTTCTCCGGGGAGTGAGGCAGGGCATGCGATGAACTACCGGCCGAGCTGTGTGGGATCCTGATTCAAGGCCGCGGTTCGCTGGACACAGCCACCGCCAGCCGGGCCTGCTCTTTTACAGGCACCTACATTACGAGAGTTACCGGGGGGAGGTGTAAATCTTGGGTGCCCGGCGGCGCCGTGACGGGTCACGAAGCAGACGCCAAGGATACAGGTGGTGTTGACAGGTTGAAGGCATGGAACACTATTGGCTCTGTCTAAGAACCCAATCTCAAAACTCCGGGATGATGGAAAATCGACTTGTGCTCTAAATTGCTATCCGCAAGTAGAGAGAAGGAAAGGGAAATTTGGTAAAAAGGTAAACGGGCACGGCTCACCGCTCATAGGACTTCGAGGCCCAAGCTTCCCTTCCCGCCTGAGCTTGGGGCAAGGCACTAATCATATCCTATCCTTACCTTACCTCGTTACGGATACCAGTATCCGCCAGAGATGCTCCGGTGAAATTTTTCGAACCCATGATGTCCCTCCGTTCACATGATTCCATTGCCCGTCCCATACGAACTATTGCCCGGGTTACTGTCAGGCCCGGCATTCGGAGAGGGCGACCCTTGGAGAGCAAGGGGTCGCTGTGATCCATCCGTGGCGCGATCGTGGCGGTCGAGGCACGGTGGTTTGGTTTGCTTGATTTGAGATAAAGACATCCTGGCGTGAGGGGGGGGGAGGACGTGCCTCCTCCTTGTTAAGCTGTTATAGACTACTAGTATCTATCCGATGGCACGGACTTTGCAATGGATGGATCTCTTGGTCATGATGGTTCGTGGATGACAACGTCTTGCCACTCTTGGTCGAGGTTTGCCTCATGAGAGCCTCGTCTTGACGCTGGAAAAGTGGGTGAGCCGATATAGCATAACAGTCCATCATCATAGTGTGAATCCACTGATGGAACCTGCTATTGTGACTAGAGGCGAAGGCTGCCTAAGGTGCAACGTCCCATCCGGGGAGTTGAGCCGTCGTTCCGGCGCGCCCCAGTTTCGATATGAATATGAATCTATACAAGCGAAGTGGTGCGAGTCGAGAGTCCAGCCCACAAGCACTGGTCGGCGCGGCGGCCTCTATGAGGCCGGTGCGAGATAATAAGTTTTGGATACCCGTCGAGCGGTGTAAGGTTGTGATGAAACCCATCAGACCATCAAGCATAAAGGACGAACCTCGGTGCAAATTTGGCGCGGCCCGCTCCAGATGAAAGTGGGAAAGAGCGCGCGCACACACTGAGAGGACGAACCGGTCTGGACGGATAGCCCGCTAATCTGCAGGCCCGTCGCCGCCCGCGACCCCCAACCAAGGTCCCCGTAAGGCCTAACGTCTCCGTTCCCCCCCCCCTCTCTCGCACTCGACTCTTTGCCTCCACACCGGTCACAGTGTGGGATGGATCATCAAACAGCCTCAGGCAGAACCGGGCCCGGCTCCTCAGAACTGGGCCTGACAGCCCCCCCTGGGCGACCGGCAAATTACCATCTCCACGAGCCGAGAGGATCCAGGTACCGTCAAACCCAGGCCGGGCCCAGGCCAGGCCTAGCGAGGGTATCAGGCGGATATCTCTAGCCACGGCGGCGATATTGTAAGTGTGTCATGCTGCATGGCCCTTCCGGGACCCCTAGCAGCTAGTACAGTCCTGGCAACCGACTCCTCCTCCAGGGACTTTGAAGATCCACCGAAGCCATGGAAGAGATAAAGAAGGAGAAGATGGCCGGCCAGGATCTTGATGAAGGCTGAGGGCCGGGCAGAGGCCGGGGCCTTGGGCCTTTTGGGCAGGTAGCCACATTGGTAGCTGTACTTGCAGGGTCCCGTTCCAAAGGAAGGCCTGAGGAAAAGTCTCCATAGCTTCTATTGCATCCAGCTGCCGCGCCGTATCCGTTTCTGCAGCCGTGGACGATCCCTATGTCACGGAAGCGAGAATGTGCCTGTTCGCGCTGGGCGGAGCATGAATGAACCCGTCTGCCCGTCCTCCATTCTCCTAGTACCTACTTTAGAGCATCCGTACACGCGTGGAAACAGAAGGCATGATGAATACAAAGTAATGCATTCGCGTGAGTGAGGGCAGGTACCGGCAGCGATGCAGGTACCTCGGGCCTTCCAGCTCCATCGCCTGTACTTTGTACACTGGCGTACAGTATCCGCACCGTCTCCCCCTCTCCCTCTCCTACACCACTTCTGGCCCCCAAACCATCTAAGCGGAGAAGCCCATCGTCAATTTAACATCTCTCTCTCTCTCTGCCTTCTTACACAATCCAATCTGGGGCTTCTCTCTCCTCACCCATCGCTCCCCCTTCAAAAAAGCTGCGGCGTCGCCACGTAAGGCGACGCCCTGACGGCAGAGCTCCAACCGTGGTTTCAGGGTCTTCCTTGGCTTTAGACGAACCAGTCTGTTCCATTCCGCTCGCTACAGAATTGACTGACTGCTCCGTGACCCCACATTGAAGTCTGGGCCCCGCCAACTGGCCGTTAAAATTGCACAAAGCCTCGCGTGCGTACGTTTACCAAGCAAGGCACACGCCAGGCTCTGCACAGCACAGCACAACACAGCACGGGATTCCAGACATACTGCAGGCACAAACAACCCAAACGGCCGGCCAGACAGCCAAGCCCGAGTTCCCCGTTCCGCATAATCCGAACCGTAGCCTGAGGTCCGACCGCCATGTCGTCTGAACAGCTGAATGTCATCGCCTTGGTCTCGGGCGGCAAGGACAGTTTCTACTCCGCTCTGCACTGCCAGAGGAACGGCCACCGGCTGGTCGCTCTCGCCAATCTCTTCCCCTGTGCCTCCGCCAGCGCCGGCGCCGACGCCACACACTCGGCCCCGCAGACCATCGTTTACAAGCCCACGGCGCATCACCTGAAGGACACTCAGGGGCACCAGGGGGAAGGACAGGAGACTGGCAAAGAGGCTGATGACGACGCCGACCTGAACAGTTTTATGTACCAGACCGTTGGCCACCAGGTCATACCCCTGTATGCGGACGCCACCGGACTGCCTCTTTACCGCCAGCCTATCTACGGCAGCGCCAAGTACGAGGGCAGGGACTATGACGCCCAGGCCGTGCCGGCACAAGATGGCGATGTGGTCCCCGAGACCGACGCGGATGAGACGGAGAGCATGGTGCCCCTCCTCCACGCCGTCATGGCGGACCACCCAGAGGCCAACGCCCTGTGTGCGGGGGCGATTTTGTCGACGTACCAACGGACGCGTGTGGAATCAGTTGCGCTGCGCTTGGGTCTCACGCCGCTGGCGTATCTCTGGAAGTACCCCGTCCTGCCGCCCGTCGTCCCGCGAGCCGTGGAGGACGCCCAGCTGCTTCACGACATGGCAGCCGCCGGGCTAGACGCGAGGATCATCAAGGTCGCGAGTGCAGGCCTCGATGACGACTTCTTGTGGGAGAAGGTGAGTGCCATTGCGGGCGCCACGCGCGTCAAGCGTGCCCTGAGAAAGTTTGGCGCTGCCGAGGGATCTGTCATTGGCGAGGGAGGCGAGTTCGAAACGCTCGTGCTCGACGGCCCGCCTGGCTTGTTCCGGAAGACTATCGACGTGCCGGAATCCGGGAGACGGGTTATCAAGGAGGGCGGCGGGACGTCGTGGTTGAGCTTTCAGGGGGCGAGTGTTCGCGAGAAGCCAAGCCCCGAGACGGATACAGGAGGAAGCTGCTCCCCACCCCGGGTGCCCGACCTCCTAGACTCGAGATTTCAATCCTTGCTCGAATCCCTTCCTCAAATCCAGGAAGCCCTGTCGGATGAAGACTTTGCGGCGTACGGCTGCAGCATATCGGCATTGTCCAAGGCTCCTTCAGATGACATTCACTGGTCTCTGGGTGCCGAAGCGGAAGGGGATCAGAGGCTGTCTGTCGAGCAGCAGACCGAAGAGATAGTTTGCCAGGTTCGAAAACGCCTTGCTGATCATTCTCCGCCGCTGCCCACGACAGCCATCACCAACACGGTGATTTCTCTGAGCTCCATGTCCGATTTTCCTACGGTCAACAGGATCTACAGCAAGCTGTTCCAGCATCCGAACCCCCCATCCCGAGTCACCATCTCGTGCGGCGGGCTCCAGGCGGGAAGCGCCATCAACATCCACCTGACGGTGAAGCCAAACCTGGGACTCCGTGAGCGGAATGGGCTTCACGTGCAATCCCGATCATACTGGGCGCCTGCAAACATTGGCCCCTACAGTCAGGCCATTGACGTACCTCTGAGTAGCCAGGCGGCTTTGCCACAAGATGAGCGAGAAGCGGCCCTGGGTGGAGCCAGAGCAGTAACGATTGCAGGCCAGATTCCGCTCGTACCGGCGAGCATGATTTTGCCCACTGAGGCGACGGGTAACTTGGAAATGCAAATCGTTCTGTCTCTGCAGCATCTCTGGCGCATAGCTACTGAAATGAAGGTGCAGCTCTGGACCAGCGCGGTTGCGTACTTCCCGCGCACGCTGGATGAGGCAGGAAAGAGGCGCCAGAGCCGCCTCGCCGCTGCTGCGTGGAAGGGCGTACATGCTCCCGACGAAGACGAGGACGAGGACGAGGACAACGGATGCGGACCCGACCTGTGGGATCGCAAGTTCAACCCGGCGTACATGTTCCTCGGCGACGACGGCCCCGGTCCGCAAAAGCTTCCGGACTGGTCCGCCGTCAAGGGCGCGACCGAGGAGGACGAAGGAGAGGGTAGAAGGCCGGTTCCCCCTTTCTTCGCTGTTGAAGTCGAGGAACTCCCCCGTCAAGCTGGCGTGGAATGGCACGCGCATCTCGGCCTCGGGCGCCTCGCGTCGTCGTCTGTTGAGTATCAGACCTACAACCTTGAGCCATCGCAGAATGTGCCATATTACAGAAGGGTGTGCCACGTCGTGATCTCGGGGGCGCTTGTCCACACCACTATTTCCTGGCTCGCGAGACGGGGCGCGAACGCTCGCTCACCGACGTCATTCTCCGAAGTCACCGAGTGGATACAACGCGCGTACTTGGAGTCCATCGGCAGCAGACAGCATACGTCGGAGGCCGGCTTCGCGTATCTGATGTACCTGAACGTGCCGGAGTGCAATGCCGCGGCCATGGCACCGGCTGGGGAGGGAGAGTATCAGGACCGCACGACGGCGTACATCAAAGCCAAGTCCATCTACGACGAGAACGGAGAGGTGGTTCTTGCTGTCGGGCTGTGGAAGTAGATGATTCACAAATACAAGCAAATTTGTCAAAGTCGGCTTTCTCAGTGCACGCGAGACGGAGGTGACATGCGGCACATGGCCTGCGCCCTTATCCGTCGTCAACTTTCCGTTGGACGTGACAAGGGCATATTCTTGCGACCTTCTACGGGCGGAGCGCATGTCTTGATGACCCTCTGACATGGCGGGTCGGAAAGTCGGTGTCGACGAAGCCATGCCCGCCCACAAGCATGGACATTTCATTCTAGCTCGTCCCGCCGAGAGATCGGGGATGTATACTACCGTAACAGTAACGGGGGATTCTCAAGCCGTTGAAAACACGCCGGCATCAAAACAAGGAAACTCACGGGGGATGCTGTCTGCGTTGGATGCTCAGGTTTGAGGACAGGGAGCAGGCTGCGCGAGGGAGATACGAGGTGCTATTTGTATACTGGGCATTGCGGATGTTTTTGGCTCCTTTGCCAAGCAGCGCGGGGAGGGGGGGGAGGTTCTATCCTCCGGGAAGGTCTTCATTAACGAAGTCGTCCGCATGGCTTTGGGGACAAAAGCGTCATGAAAGCAGTCGAGCCTGTTTCGTGAGAGTATGAGCGCCCATCACTCAGGCGGGCAAGCAAGTGAGGAGAAGACGGGGGCCGTTGCCCAACGTCCAACAGCGTTTCATCGACTCCCCGCAACCAAGACGGACCCCAAGCGTGGTGCCCCCCATCCATACGGCGGCTTTAGAGGAGTCAAAAGAGAAGAAAGTCCGGGGAAATAAGCTTGGTAAGACTCGACCCCAAGGGTCTCTACCGCCCACCCCTCCACGGCCGAGGTGAGAGTATGTGTCCCGCATGAGTTTTGCAGCCACGTGATGGGACGTGGAAACCCAACTCGTCTCGACTCTTGTTGTTGTTTTCCTGGTGATGAGGGAAAGCTCTCGCAAGTCTGTTATTCCGTTCCAAACCTTATTCCCCCGCACCCTGGAGCCCGCTATCGATTATCCCCCCCCCAGACATCGCTCGTTCCCTCCCTTCGATCCCCCGGAAGCCGGCCGAAAATTTCGGCGCTAGCGAAACGGCGACATTGCATCGAGGAAATCCCAGTACCACCGCCCATCAGCCGTGCTCTCCGCGCGCGCAATCGCCTTTCCGCTCCTCGAGGAAACCAGAACTTCCCATCTCCAAACAAACTCTAACCTCAGGTTTCCCCCCCCTTGCTTTCGTTTGGTTAATTCATACCGTGCCTCGATCGTCGAATCACGTTACTCGACCCCTGCTCTCGCGTGCGCAGCTTCATCCTCCGTCGGTCTAGGACATGCAGATGTCCAGGTCTTGGCTGTGATGGCGTACGCCCTCAATGATGATGATTCCGCCGTAGGGGCGGCACCGGCAGCACCAGCAGCCTACCCTCAACCTCCTTCGTCTGACGCCCAGCGGCCGCAATCTCGGTCCACCGGCGACACCCCGCCGCCGTCGCGCGGCTTAAGTTACGATGACAGCTCCCCATCATCGCCGCGCTCGCTCTCCCGGAGACAGAGCACCAATGAGCGCATCGACGAGATTCTAGTGGTACGTTTTGTGTGAGCCTTGACTTCTGCACCTGCCCTTCACACACCACCGCCACCACCCGGCATTTGACTGCTGAGGGACCTCTGCGTCCGCTCCGGCACCCCTTCATTGCTTGGCATCCGCCTCCCCGGCCGCTAAACCCCTCCGTCCCCCGGGAACCCTGGCTAGCCGTTGTAACCCCCCCCCCCCCCCCCCCCCCCTTTCTTGACTCCTCCCTCACCCGGGACACTTCCGCATCTCACTCTTACTCACACTCTCGGGAACACCCCCCGGGACGCAGGCAGCACGAGGTCGCGCACAAGCAATGGTCGGCAGACTCTCGACGACCCGCTCCGCCCCCACCAGTCCCCCGCGCCACTACTCCCGCGCCGACGGATCCCGCGATGAGACCGTCGGCATCATCTCCCGCGGCCCGGGCCGCAACTACCAGAGCATGAACGCCATGCCGCCGGCCGGCGTGCGGTCCCGTAAGTCGGCCCCTCAGCCGGCCCAGACCCGGCTGCCGGCCCAGACCGAGGTCGAGGAGGAAGAGGAGGAGGAGGAGGAGGACTACGACGACCTGGTCGCGCGGGAGGAGCGCGCCGCGCAGGACAAGGAGCCGTGGTACACGGTGTTCCTCTCGAGCTTTCAGAGCATCGAGCTGGAGAACAAGGGTAGCGTGGCCCGCGACCACCTCGCGCTCGGTACGTAACCCATGGCGCGGCGTCCTGTTGCGCCGCCGCCGCCGTCCGTTTCTCACCCCCCCAGGGCTAACCTCCCTCCCCCTCTCTAGAACGGACCTTCCTCGCGTGGCTCCGCACCTCGCTGGCCTTCGCCTCCATCGGCATCGCCGTCACGCAGCTCTTCCGCCTCAACTCGTCCCTCTCCGGCCCCGGCCCCGCAGACCCCAACGCTCACACCCTCCGCCAGCTGGGCAAGCCCCTCGGCGCGACCTTCCTGGCCGTCAGCATCCTCATCCTTTTCCTCGGCTACCAGCGCTACGCCCGCGCCCAGCGCTGGGTCATGAAGGGCAAGTTCCCGGCGAGCCGGGGCACCGTCATCCTCGTCTCCCTCGTGGCCTTCGCCCTCATGGCGGCGAGCCTCGTCGTCGTCGTCGTCGTGAGCCCCACGGGCAGGGAGCGTTAAAAGGTGGGGTACCGGAACGGGGCGGAGGGGGGCGCCCACCTGTTGCGTGTGGGGGGATCCGAGCAAGTCCTGCTGTGTCGAGAGGACTGGGGACCGAGCCGGATGCGGAACTGCACCTACCGGAGCTGCTCACCGGTACCATAGTCATCATGGTCATGTACATCCCATGTCACGCAGGAATGGACATATAACGTCCCCCCCCCCCCCTCCCCTTGGCTTGCTATCGTCAAAGGCCAGACCCGAGACATGCCCAGAGCGAGGATACACTCTGATTCGTGTCAATGGGATCCCCAATGCGCACATGAACGAGGAAGTGAAGAGCCTAGGATTTGCACGACACCAGTACCCACTCCAGCCCTTGAACTCGCAAGGCTAGCCAGAGCAGCAGCGGCTAGAGACGACGGCCCTCGGACCAGGCCGGCGGCGCGCAGCTCGTTCCCGAGGAACCGGGTGCAGGGAATTTCTCTATTTCTGTAAGAATACGTGATGATAAAATGAAAAAATCAATAAAGAGGAGATCAAAACTACTTAAAAGTCCAAAGTTAGAGAATGCCTCCGGCTCGCACCGCGTCTGAAAGGGTTTCCTCCCTCGGACCTATCAGATGACGTCAAAGCTAAACAGCACCTCAACTGTGGGCCCCTTGGGCCGTAGAACCACTTACAACCTCTTCTCGTGACGCACCACACTCGCATACACAACTCCCTCACTTACACACTTACACACTCTCACGATCGCTCACACGGTCACGCGCTCACAAATACTCCCATCTGTGACCCATCGCCAGATAGAAAGGTCACAAAATCAAGGCTACATTCCGCCGGAGGAGCAAGCTCAGAAAGCAACCGCGCGCGCAAGAAAAGGGAAAAAAAAAAAAAAAAAAGTCCCCGAGTGGGTGTGAAAAGATAAGGATCATGGCGGCACTGGAACCCCTCTCCGTCCCCTCCTTCGCAACGACCCAGCTCGCCCTCCTCTCGGCCGAGCTCGCCGCCGAGGTCGCCGAGTCCTCGGCCCTCGTCTCCCACCACGCCCCCGCCGCCCTTCAGCGCGCGGGCCTCGCCCTCCCCAACCTCATTGTCGGCGCCCGCCGCACCGGCCTCGGCGGTCGCACCGTCTTGGAACTCGCCGCTGACCCGGCCGTGTCCTCGGAGCTCCCCGAGCACGGCCTCCGCCCGGGCGATATTGTTCTCGTCTCGGAGCAGCCCGCAGGGAACGCCAAGAAGAAGGAGGTCAAGGAGCTTGAGAGCAAGGGGGCCCGCGGCGTCGTCACCAGGGTCCGCAGAGAGACGATTGGCGTAGCCGTCGACGAGGGCAAGGGGGAGGAGAGGGAGTTCGCCGGGAGGGTTTGGATCGTCAAGGTGGCCGATGATGTCACGTTCCGCAGGTGAGTCTGCATTGCTCCGTATCCCTTCCCCATTGTGTTACGGGGATCGAAAGGGGTGGGTTCAAAGTTTGGCTTGGGTTCAGCATGACTATCTCACAAATTTGGATAGCCCGTTGCCGAATACTCACCTGTCGGGCTTTGTTCCCCCCTAAAAGAAAAACGAGCCTGGGCAGCTGACCGTGGCAGAATGAATCAAACCATGGAGAAGCTCGAAAAGATGACCGAATCAGAGTACACCGCCTTCATGCGCGTCCTCTTCGGCCTCTCGAGCCCGTCCCCCGTACCCCAGGACCTGGCGGCGGACTCGGAGCTTTGCAAGATCCAATGGATCGACCCTTCGCTCAACGACTCCCAAAAGGATGCTATCCGGTTTGCGCTGGCATCACGGGAGGTGGCTCTCATCCATGGGCCGCCGGGCGTGAGTCCGCCTTAGTCCCTCCGTCTGATGAAACCAGCTACGAGGCACTGCAGCTGACGCCCTCCAGACCGGCAAAACCCATACCCTCATCGAGCTGATCCTTCAGCTGATCAAGCTCGACCTCCGCATACTCGTCTGCGGTCCCTCAAACATCTCCGTTGACAACATCGTCGAGCGCCTCGCGCCGCACAAGATTCCCATCCTCCGCCTCGGACACCCGGCCCGCCTGCTTCCCAGCGTCCTCGCCCACTCCCTCGACGTGCTGACGCAGACATCCGAGGCCGGGGCCATTGTCAAGGATGTCCGCACCGAGATGGACGCGAAGCAGGCCTCCATAAAGAAGACTCGCAATGGCCGCGAGAAACGCCAGATCTACGCGGACCTCAAGGAGCTTCGCAAGGAGTTCCGCGAGCGCGAGCGCCGCTGCGTCAGCAACCTCATTCGCGAGAGCAAGGTGGTCCTGGCGACGCTGCACGGCGCGGGAGGGCATCAACTTAGGGACCAGCGATTCGACATCGTCATCATTGACGAGGCCAGCCAGGCGCTCGAGGCGCAGTGCTGGGTACCCTTGCTGTCGGCGAAGAAAGCCGTGTGCGCCGGTGATCATCTGCAGCTCCCACCGACGATCAAATCGCTCAACTCTAGGGTGAAGGCTGCGGCGGGATCGGAGGACGGCGCGGAAAGGCAGATCAAGGGTATGACGCTGGAAACGACACTGTTTGACAGACTGCTCGCTCTCCATGGCCCATCCATCAAGCGCATGCTGACCACACAATACCGCATGCATGAGAAGATTATGAGGTTCCCGTCGGATGAGCTCTACGAGGGAAAGCTCATTGCTGCAGAAGCAGTCAGGGAGCGTCTCCTGAAAGACCTACCGTATGAGGTCCGAGACACTGAAGACACAAACGAGCCACTGGTCTTCATCGACACGCAGGGCGGCGACTATCCCGAGAAGAATGAGGACGATGACAAGGACGCCGTTAAGAAGGCAAAGTTTAGCTTGCACGGGGAGAGCAAGAGCAACGAGATGGAAGCGGCGCTGGTGCGCCAGCACGCTCAGAAACTGGTCGACGCCGGAGTCAAGCCGGAAGACATCGCCGTCGTGACCCCTTACAACGCTCAGGTCCGTCTATTCAACCCCTGCTCGACATCTGAACCGGCATTCGTGAATCGTGGCATGATGCTGACACCGTGGGAACCAAAAGCTCGCCGTTCTCGCACCGTTGAAAGAACAGTTACCGGGCATCGAGCTTGGCAGCGTGGACGGCTTCCAAGGCCGTGAAAAGGAGGCAGTCATTGTCAGCCTCGTCAGGAGCAATTCGCACGGAGAAGTTGGGTTTCTTGGCGAAAAACGTCGACTGAACGGTAAGCCCACAAATGATGAACCCGCTTTGCCTGGGGATATCCCAGCGTTCCGTGTGGCAAGACGCATGAACGTTAATGCGCTGTAGTGGCAATGACGCGACCCAAACGCTCATTGACGGTCATCGGGGACTCGGAGACGGTCAAGAGGTGAGTCCGTTTGAGAATTGCTTCTCCGATTCTAGTTGGCTTGTTGGTCGTGCGACGCGGAAACGTATGCACAGATAGTGTCGGCTTGCACCTGAGACACTACTGAGCCGCCCCCAAGCATTCAACATTTCGGGGCGTATTTTATCTTTCGCTGACTCGCTGCGGCACAAACAGAGGTAGCAACTTCCTCAAGCGATGGATGGACTTCCTTGAGGAGAACGCAGACCTGCGTTATCCGGACTTGTCGTCACTTCAGGGGTCTTGATACCCTATTTGGTATGGAGGTTGCGAGCGCCATCTTTCCACGGACATAGTAGGCCCGGCCCCCTCAATGTCAATCTTCATGCGAGGAAGAGGATTTATGGCCAAACTGGCGGCGATCTGGATTGTCGACGAACCAGCTTCCTCGGAGTGTAGGCCCGCTTAGAGAGGCCATCAGCGAAGTGGGATAGTTCCTTATGCGATGAGATGCGCTTGTTCCCCAGCGCTGCCAAAAAGGGAATGGACTGCATTGTCCAGCTGAGGGTGGGCGTATCGTAGAATTTCCAAGCAGCTGTGACCCATGCTCGCCTCCCGCCGGGGTTCATTTGGGGGGGAGGGAGGGAGCGTCCGTTGACGCAAGATGAGAGACGTCAGGGCGCCAGGGCCTAGGCTGTTCGGATCGTATTGTGATCCCGGACGGCGCGAAGGAGGGAAAAAAAAAAAAGACTGGAGAGAGGGGCTCAGATATCAGCCGTCACTCATCAGACGAAAAGAGCGGCACCCATGTATGTTTCAGGTTACTTTTAAGCCTGTTCAACCCTTGTTCCAAGTTCGCGTGGCCAGACCCGCCATGTTCTCCTACCGACGAGGACGGGGATGTTTGACCCTGGAAGAATTTGCGCAGCTGTTGGTCGATTTTACACACTGATAGCTGCGACGCCGCGTCGTTGAGGGTGTGAAATTGATCCGAGTCTGTGGCTGATACCGGGCTTTCCGCGACTGTGAGATGACAGGTGTCAAGAGGTCGTATTACTCAGAATTAGCGGGATTTCTCTTGAAGACGAAACTGAGCATGTATCTGACCGAGGGAGGGATAACGTTCAAAAAGACGCTACATCGCTCGCATCTCTCCCATACTGGATTGGTCTTACGTAACGCGTCCCGCCATTTCATTGTGTTTATCACCAGTAGCTCCCTTGCAGCGCGGCAGTTGCTTTGGAAACAGAATAAGTATAAAGTCGCAACGTGTGTAAAGGTTACAATAGTGTAGTAATAGAGCGAAATTTCATGGAATCGCTTTCGTGTAATCTCTCTTCCAGCAGTGCGGTTCGCCTGCGGCAACATGAGACGACGCCAATCCCGGGGCAGTTGCTAACTGGATGTGTATACCCCCGAGAGGGCCGTTGGCGAGTAATGGGCCCTGTTTGGCTAAGTCAGAGCGTTGGCTGGCCTTGTCTGCCGTAATTAGTACATCTTTTGCTCGCTCAATCATGCCGCTGGGGGGGCAGGCTGGGGTTGGCGGGCAGATCATAAGACGGCTACCTCGTTATATGATGCTCCTCCGTGGTCCACCTGACAAGCCGATCAAACCGTCAGTGATGGAGAGCATTTGACGTTGGATTTGTGTCGTATCGGGGGGCCGCGACAACAGAGTCAAAACAATTATAGTACTGTAATGTGCGCAACTTGACAGTGTAGCCAGGCATGCGTTGCATCATGTGAGTCTCCGATGGAACAGCTCTAGTATCGGCTGGGTGGTTAGTCGTGCCACTCGTGCAAGAACTATCCCTCAATACTCGGCCGTTAGGTAATTCCGGCAGGGAACCATAGATAATGGGACGGCACTCACTCGCAGGAGTTTTTCCGTGTAGTCTTGGCCGTCGCCGAAAAAGCCTCCCCGCGAGTCATGGGATACTAGGTAGGCAGGTGTTGGCAATAGTGGTGGAATTGATACGAACCGTCAAACGGTCAGAGAGTCTCAACCATATCTGGACGTTCCGTCTTGACAATAATGACAAAGGGATGGGATGGGGTTGCTTCGTTGGTCGGACAAAGGCCTGCAAGCCATGTGGTGTTTTAGCCTCCTGAGCTGCAATGTGGGGTCGGCCACCGCGCTAGTAGCTCCTCTTCCTCTTTCTTTCCTCTTCACTGAGCTGTAGGTCGGAAGGGGGTAGGGCGACGCGATCATCATCAGGGCCTTGCTGTTTTGAATGACGGCTCAGTGAAGAGTGACGGAAGTAATCATGTTGCCAGGAGAGAAGCTTGTAGCCGCGCCGTAGCCCCGCGCGCCCCTGTTTCCAACCAAGAATAACATAGGTGGGTATTCGCAGGTAGACAGACGTGTATATATGCAGGAGGACGTGGCATGTGGTTGCAGCGATCCAGAAGAGAGGCATGGGCGGTCGTAATGAGCGGCCTGACGGCGCATTGGGATTCGCCCATAACACCAACAGTCACATTTCGCCGGCATCGATCCTCGAGAGCTAGAGGTGGCGCTGTCAAACAATCGAATAGCCATCGTATAGCCAGCCGCCCATCGGATTCGCTGGCAGTTGGCATGGACGAGATTGCTGGGTGGTTTGATGGGCGGCGGCGGCGGCGGTGTTAGTGTAGGCGCAGGACAGGGAAATCCGGCCACAAACGAAGTAGCGCAAACGTCGGAGCTGGCAGCAGGAAAGACTAGTGCCGATGGTGGCGGGCCCCTCGCCTCCAGCACGGCGCCCGACTGCCGAGCTCGCTTGCTGATTTCCCAATGGGGTTTAAAGCAGACGCTCGGTAACCCTAGTGCGGCATTGACATATTGGACGACTACCACAGTAGCCTGCGGCATATTGATTGGATAGCGGAATTTAAGGCTCCATGCCAGGTGAAGATAGCAAATGAGTCTGGTTGGCCCTCAATGCTGTACGGACAGGACCAACAACGTCTCTCGTCTTTACCGCATGAGCAACAGGCCATCCAGTCAGGAGGCGGTGGCACCCAGGCCGTGGCTTTGACCTCTTCCTCGACTCGGCATGATAAGCAACCGGGCCGCGAGCTGAGACTTGGCGGAAGAGGCCCGTTGCCGGCCGGTCGGTACTTGACAGACAGACGCTCGCTCGCACAGCACGGGTTGAGTCTGGGGCGGGCTAGCATCGGTGTCTAACGGTGACAAAGCCATGAGCCGGGTCGAATGAATCAGATCTAGAGGAGGAGCCGCAGAGGCAGTGCGTTTGGCATCGCTGGGGGTCCCCAGACCTCCGCGATTGCCTCCAGTCATTGTCCGCAACGCAGGCGCTTGTTGGGGCCGCAAGCCAAGAGTCGGGAGTTGCTGTTCGTACCGGCGAAGCGAGGTGCAAGGTCGACACGGGCCATGTACGACTCCAAGACGGGACGGGGGGCGGGAGCAGCAAACCTCGCGACGACTTCATGCTTGTTGTTTGAAAAAGGGTAAGGGAAAGGGGAGGGGAAAAGACTGAAACAGGACGGCCAATCCAGCAGTGGCTCTCCAAAAAATCGAACCAGCAGGCCGGGCTGAGCTGTATCCGACAGGACCAGGCAGGCAGGCAGGCAGGCACTTTGGTCGGCAAGTATCCGTAGGCGGCTCGCTGTTGCCCTTGCGATGGCGACCACCCACTCCCGTGCCAATCTCGACAACAATAAACGTATTCAACATGCTATGCCTCACCCCCTTGATCGACCGGGAGCGTTTGTTGACATTGGCAGATGGGAAACAGAGGTGGTCCTCCTCCTACATTCCACCCATCCCTCGTGTCGCTGCCGCCCTTTCCAGCACGAGCACGAGCACCAGCACCAGCACCAGCACCAGAGCGGGTGAGAGAAATCACGCGCAACTCATCCATCCAGGATTTGCTCCGCGTCCCGCATCGCATCCTGACCCGCCTTGCGTTTGCATGCACAATAAAAATAGTTAGTGGCTTGCCTTGGACGCGGACGAGAAGACCGGATCCAGTTGGTGGAGGTGTCACGTTGTGTTCTGGGTAGCATTCGGTCGAGTCGACCCCCAATGCCATTTCGACCAGGAGGGAGGGACGGTCCCACGGTCTCCTTCCCCACTACTCTAGGCATCCCAAGCAATGACCTCAAACAAGGGTTATCCCCGAGCCCCAGGAGAGAGGGCGAGCAAGGAGGAGGGATGAACCAGCGGCAGGAACGTTGGGAACTCTCTCAATGTGAAGTTGGTAGAGAGGAATGAGATGGGATGGAGATGGCAGGTCGTCCCTCTCCGCGTCTTCCTTCTCGAACTACCTACCTAACATTACATCGTACATACCTAATCGCACATACCTAATACAAACCTTGCTCTGATAGAAGCCCGGTATCCACGTCCGATGTAGAACCCATGACGAGACAACACAAATCGTTTCTCGTCACTGCACTGTCTGTCTTCTCGGCCCATTCCTTCATCTCAGTACTGTGTACCCCAGGCGCTACCTACCAAACGCGCGCCATTGACGGCGTTCCAGTGGTCCGTATTCTCCCCGTTGTGCATGCATGCTTGTTTCATCACGCTAGCATCTGCGTCTGCTCTGCACCTGTCTGTCTCCACGCCCACACCTCTTTCCTGTCTGCATCTCCTTCCGTGTCGTGTCGTGTCGTGTAGTGTCCATCCATCCCCATCCGAACTTCCGCCCTCCGTCTAGTCTGATCTGGCCTCTTGCACTTCTTGTCCTTGTCCACCAGTCAGTCCCTTGCCTTTCCCACCTCCAAGCCCTCCCCTCCCCTGCTCTGCTCTGATGTGCTCGATCCTCTCTCTCGAAGAAAAAGGTACGATCCATCACCAAAGTACTTTGTACTAATCTCGCGCAGAACCGATACATACCTACGTGCCAATTGCTTTCCCTTTTCTCCCGCCCTCCCATTCTCTTTCCCCCTCTCTCTTGTCTTTCATTTCACCCTCCGCCGTGCTTTTTACCGTTGGGAAGAAAGAAGACGCTTCGTCTGGACCAACTGCGTCTCTCCAATTCCTCTTCTCCAACCTGTCTCGGTCTCTCCGTCTCAAACCTGCTTCCAGGTACCGATACTTCGCACCAACGTTCCTTACACCTTGACCCTTTCTTTCTATACGTACTATTTATCACCCATTTCTCTTGTAATTGTATAATTCCTATCCGTATCTCTACCACCCTTCCCCTCCCCTTCAACTCACACGCCGCACGCCCTTGGCCCAAGCGGTGCGATCCAGCTCATCCTAATCATCGCTGCTCCTCGGCCTCATCGCCAGCCTGTCGCAGAGCTGCCTGGGTGCTCCTTTGATACGTGACGCATGCGCTGCCAGGGCCCCCTCCCCCCTTCCTAGTTCTTTAACTACTACACCCAATCCTCGATCCTCTCGTGGGTTTCTTTTTCTTATTCGCTTCGTCAATCCTCGTGTCTTGCTTGCCCACTCGACGCTACTCCGTCTCTTGATCACAGCCTCGCTGCGGCTGTCGAGGAGCCACGCCACTGCGCTCCACTCCCCCCAACAGTCCCGAGGCCACAAGCCGCATTGCTGGCCAGACGCACCATGAATCAGGGTTCCAGCATAGATCACCACTTGGTCTAGACATCTGGCGTCCTATCGAGAATCCCAGTCCGGAACTCACAGGCCACCAGCCATCGCATATCGGTTCCAAGCAAACCCGTTGCCGCACGGCACCGGATATCGCCCGCCATCATTTCGGGCCTCACTTAACCAGCATTGTCCCTGCCCCTCCTAATCATTTCCCACGAACGGCACTTACTCCATGGCTTACACTGGTCGACTTGCATATACATCGCTCCTCATCCTCTACCCTCGTTTACTCTCGCTCTAGTCTTGAGCCCCGCGAGCTGTAAACAACTTGGTCAGAACTGCCATGGGCCTTTTCAAGTCGCCAAACCAATCTTCTGCGCCAGGCGTACTGCCTCGATCCCAGACGGGTCAGTCAATTCGAGGCAAGATATCAGGCCCGATTCCCATTCCTACCCCCTCCGACGACGAGTTCCCCATGCGCAACCCCGGCACCGGTATCGCAACGCCTTTGGCCGCCGCCGCCGACATGAAGGAACAGCAGTTGCTTCCTCCGCAGGCCGAACCCAGGGCCGGTTCGATTGTCTCAGTCGTCCATCCTGAAGTGACACCCGCCCCGCGGACGGACTCGGTAGTTGCTCCTGCAAGATCAGCCCGCTCTCGCTCTGCATCCCCTCCTGCATCTACCACACATGGCAACTCGCCGCAGTCGCAGAGGAGAACAAATATCTCCACCAATCTGCGCTACTCTGCCGTGAGCGCATCATCCGAACAAACTGGCGAGAGTCGCGACCGGCCCCAGCGCAAAAAGTCGACTTTGCGCGGTGCGCTTGGGAAACTTTTTGGCCGCAAGAAGAAGACGGGAAGTCGAGGTTCAACCGACTCGCAACGCATATCGACTTACAACGCGTCGAACCAACACAAGAGTGTAAGTTTCGGCACCGGCTGCACCCTGACCTTTCCTGTTTGTTTTTTTTTTTTAAATAAAAAATCTGGATCTGGACACTGACGGGAAATCAGCAGGACCTTTCCGCGTTAAGCCGAGTCACCGAAGCCGAACCAAAGCGATCGGTATCTTTGCCGGTCACCGAGTACGACAGAGCATTAAGGTCTCACTCTATTGGGCTTCATGATATCACTGCCATTGAAAGCGCGCGCAATTCGATCAACGTTGATCTATCTGTGCTGGGCCATAGGAGGGCTGCGACCGCTACCGCTAGCCAGATATACTCGGCGCCGTTCAGAGGTCGTGAAGGTGAATTTGCAGGTCTTTCGCCCCGTCCAGCAAGCACTCACGTGCGCGGGAGTCGCCTTTTTGCCGATAACGACGATCCCGAGGCAATTGGGCGAGCAATCACCAGTGATATAGGCCAAAAGCGACGGTCCAGGAGCCTCAGTGGTCTCCAGAGCAATGAGATTCGCGCTGATCTCCGACGCAGAAGCGACGAGATCCGATACTGGAGAGAAAGTTACGTGCCTACTTTCATTGCATCTCCGACATCATCTAACCCTCCGGACCACGAACATCAATTCGCAGGCGTGGGCTCCGAGGGCATGCCGGATTCGCCAGTGGAGCAAGGACAACAGACGGTGCACACGCCGCCTCAGCCATTCTCCTTTGGCAACCTGACTCACATGAATGTCATGGCTGGCATGAAGATCACACAGGCAGCCAGTATCGAAACACGTATAGATGCGCTCGAAGAGAGGATGCACCGCATGGAAGATGTTGTAACGCAACTCTGCAATTCGGTTCCTGGTTTCCAGACGCACGCCAACCCACCACGCCGTCCTGCACCCTCTATCCCAGATTCCAATCCGTCCTCTCAGACGACGACTACGGCAGTCAACCCGGTGCTTCAACAGGTGTTGCGTCAGGATGCATATGCGTCCTCATACAGCAGCTCTGCGCACTCTAACAGACCGATGTCGAACTCCACTCTCCGAGGCGTAACCAGCTTGCCTGCGATATCGCATCTTGAGACGAGCAGAACGATAGGAACGTTCACGGCAGATCATTACACGACGCTTCTCGCACTTTTAGAGACGGAAAGAGCCTCCAGGCAAGCCCTCGAGTCTCAAGTAAAGAAGTTAACAAGGCGCGTGAACATGTATTCAGGGCCCGGCGGCCATGGTCGCATCTCCTTGCAGATGGAGCCGCCACCAACGGCCAAGTCTTTTGGCAGCGTTTCGGCATTCGACCGCGACTCGTCCGACGACGACGCCTTTTCCAGGAATCAACGGTTCTTGGCCGAAGACTCGGGCGTTGGGACTGGTCTTGGAGACGATGACTCGTATTCGGAAACTTTTGCGACGCCAAAGGAAGAGTACCCGTACGGTTACGGCGCGTTTGGAGAAGAATTACGCGACGAAATCGAAGATCCTCAACGCAAGAAGGCAGCCAGGACCTTGTCTCTGAGCCAGATGACGTTGAGCAAGAAGACTTCCAACACGGCGGTACGAATTTGACATGGTTCGCTACACTACGACGCGCTGTTTTCTTTTTTTAAAATTTGTCATTATACCCCGGGAGATGATCTCCCACTCACGAGGCGACGACGGTGGTTCTTTTCCCGACAGCTGTTACGTTGAAGACTTGCTGTCGTTGCTATTCGGCATCGATACTTCCACTGAATCTCTGATGAGTTCGGCATTGTTATCGTAGCGAAACCTTTTTGCATTAACTTCTTTTTCATTCATTTGTCTACCCATATGGCGGCTTGTCTTTTTCATCTGCAACGCTGTGGGTGGAACTGCAGCCAGAAAAGTTCCGTTAGGATCCATCTAGCTGAACAAGACGCCTTCTTTTCTCAATTGGGGGGGTTCTTTTTTTTTCTTTCTTTTTTTTGTTTATTCTTTTTGTTCGTCACTTAGTTGTCTCAGTGAGACGAAGGTTGCTGGGGGCGTCCACAGTCAGGTATGGACGGAAGATGTGGTGTCAGGCATTGACAGGCTCGAAGGTCGATTCCTCGTCTAGGCCCAATATCCGGTGGATGTGGAGAGAACCGTAATATGTAGTCAGATCGGCCCGACATGGATGCCTATAGGTCGCGAACATATACAATATAAAAACATACTTTCGGCTCGACTTTGATGATAATGGAACCCAACCCGCCCGTAAATCTCGCTGCCTGTCATCCGGCGCCCATGCTAGCTCAGCCAACCGTGCGCAACGAACTAAGTTTGGCTGACAAACAAACAACGGGTCGAATGATATGGCCCCGGTCGCAATTTCCGGATCGTTATCTCGGGGAAAATGAGCCAGAATGTTTCGAAGAGACTTCTGGATCATTCCCGGGGGGGGCCCACGATGATCTCCGGGGGAGGGGAGGGGGCGCGATTGCTCTCTGCGAGTTGGCCTGCTTTCGGTTACGGCAGGCTTACGCAGAAACGGGCTGTTCTGCTGTGTACATAAAAGAGGTGCGAGATACCGACCTGCTGGCACAGCACAACCGGGCAGGCATCTCACGAATGCACGCCGCCGGCTCCGCCCCGTCGCCTAGGTCCTCGACCGATGCTTCACTTTCCATAATCTTGGCCAATACCGCTAGGCTGCCCCCCGACGAGATGAGGGATGTCAAACACGTGGCCCCCCCCCACCCCCCTATCTTAGAACGCGTGGGCCTCCAATAGTTAGAACGGTTTCCGTCCGTCTAACCCGTAACCTCTGCTTCTCGCGCTGGGTTCGCAACGATGATTAGCCGTCTCCGCCCGTCTCCCAGCGGAGAACTAGGCCCGGCACCAGGAGAAGTCCGCACGCAGCGAGGCCTTCGTCTTGCCTAGTGAACTCGCCGCCCAAGACGTCACAGCCCGTGGGGGCTGTTGCGGGTGGAGGAAGTCCTGCTCAACCCGGTGGGCTTTCTCGAAGCCCGGCAGTGTCTTTTGAGGATCTGCCGTGGTCGGTCGTGAATACCTCCCAGCGACGGACGATCTCAGCCGTCTCTCACCAACGGAGCTTGGGGGAGGGTCAATGGGTCTTCGCGACCGGGCCCCATCAGAAGAAGCCCGGATGCGGAGGAGAAATGAGACTCGGTCGACAGTGGCTCCGGCTAGCGGCTGGTCTGCTAAAGCCGAGGGCTCTTGGAGTCCAGAGATCGAGCCAGGGGAGAAGAAGCTACCTCGTCCTCGTGTATAATGGATAATGCCCTAGCTTGTATATGACGTTTTTGTGAGCGGGGTGTAATGAAGTTGACGAAGTTGAACGTCGGCAATCGAGTCTGCAATGGCGCATGTCCCAAAGATGCCATATTCTGAGCAGCCCGTCCATCCCATCAGGAGCCCGTACATATATGGTTCCACAAAAATCTATACCGTTTCCAAGGTGATATCGAATAATGTCGGGTAATATCCGTCGCGAGGAGCACTAGCCTGACAATCACTATATACCTGTCTCTTCAGTAGTTTCCTATGGAGCGATATCGCTCATCCTCGCCCCCAGCAGCTCGTCGGAACGCCTCGGCTTCGGGGCTTTGGACAATATGCGGCCCTCCACCTATTGATTCCATGGTTTCGTGAACGCAAGTGGGAGTGTATATCGACCACCCATGCGTCAGTCGGTCTCAGTGAGACTTCGGCCTTGGGCCTTCGAAATAAATATCTGATGCGAGTTACGGGAACTGCTGCATCACTGGGGACGGATATCGTGAACCACAGAAGTGGCGTGAAGCAATGGCTGTCACGATTCCAGGTCCAGAAGGGCTTCATGCTATGCTTCGAGAACTCCTAACGCATGCAGGCCCGGTTTGTGATTATGGCTCGACAGCATCGGCTTATCCTGCGAGCTCCTCGGCGTGTCATCGAGGGCAGCTTGATGTGGAGAAAAGCTTAGAAAGCCGATGCCGGCTTTCCAAACAACCGATTCGTCTCGCATGTGCTCACTTTGTGTTGGGCCAGTCTGCTGTGCTCGCGTAGTCCATGGTGCAATCGGCGCCATGCGTATAACGTGCCAACCTTCATACCCCGCGAGGCAGTGTTCAAGAAAAGGCCCGCGGCGCCAACTCCCTCTTCGAAGACGCCGCCGCCGGCTCCATCGCCACGATGACACCCCCGAGGAGAGGTACTTGGTCTCCGGGCGGGACGATGTCGTAACTGGGCCGGAGTGCCAGGCAAGCGGTGCCCATATTGGCAAAATGCGCGTCAACGTGTCTCGAGTGTTTCCTGAGGCTCGGTTTGGCGGCAATGTTGGATCGTCATCGTAAGAACGGCGCCGACGTTTATACCTTGCTTTGGTATGGCCGCACCACGACGTGAGTTTCCCCGGCGAAAGCCGCATTAGGAATTCCAACCAGACGGGGCGCAAGTCAACATGGTAGCATTGTTATCAGTCGCAATCTTATCCACTCCGCAGGAAAAGAAAAAAAAAAGTTTACGATGGATGCGGGCTCGCCGCCAAGTCGGGTTATATCCACCACGTAAGCAAAAAACCCAAGGACCTACGCACAACCACCAACTGCACCGGCTCACTCGAACGAGCGCACATACCACACGCCAGAACCAGCCTCCCGCGTCTTCTTTATGTGAAAGGCTGCATTGAATACCTGGGCAAACTTGAGCTTTCTTTATTTTGTTTTACCCCTCCGTCCGACCAGCCCGCCGCTGCCGCCGCCACCATCTACACAACCACCACCACAGCCAGTGTCCCTCCGCGCGCCGTCGCCTGATAATCATTGCGACGTACACCACAACCTCCCTTGCAGAGGACACCCGACGATACTCGAAGGTGTGCCAGCGACACTGTTGCGCGCATTCTGCTCCCTCTTTTCCCCCACTCCAAGAAGCAACCGAACGACATCGCCCAACATGTCCGGCTGGGTGGATCGGTCCAAGACCACGCAATCCCACAACTATCGCGGCTCGACGTCGTTCGCGACGTTCATGATCATCGGGCGTACGTTCCCCTCTTTCCACCCTCCCCTGTTCAGTCGTGATCCCAACCCCGCAAGGATGCTAACGAGAACCCTCACCCCACAGCGACCTGCTTCTTCCTCGGCATCCTCTTCGCCTCCTTCCCCTACGACTTCCCCCTTCTCTGGACCTCGGCGCCCGTCCCGGACACCTTCCTCGAGCACCTCGAGACCCACCTCAAGTTCATGCACCAGTCCCCGCCCCTGATCGGCCGCCTCCTCAACATCATCGTCTTCACCGGCTTCCTCGGCTTCTTCATCAAGCTGTTCCGCCCCTCCGAGGCCAACGTCCTCTTTGACGGCGCCTCCCTCGTCCTGTACCTCATCGGTGTCGGCGTCTACATAACCAACATCGTCAAGGGCCTGCGCTCCGTCTCCGCCGGCATCTGGGACGACCCCGACTTCACCGGCGAGGTCAAGGACCCGCGCGTCGAGGGCGAGATCATCCTCGGCAAGGAGGACAGCCTGAAGGTCCTGGCGGCGAGCAACACCATCCTCGCCCTCGTCCTCGTCGGCGTCTTGGTGTTGCAGGCCGGCCAGTGGTATGCCGAGCGCAAGGATCGCGAGGACATCGTCAAGCTCGAGGAGGAGAAGAGCAGCAAGGGATCTGCGTCGCATAAGAAGAAGCAGTAAGGGGGGGATGTCGTGCTGCATGCTGCTCCATCGCTATTGCGACCTGACCGTGGCTTGGTTCGGTGAGTCTGCTGGCCGTCCGAAGCCGCAGCTTGACGCACAGATGGGTACAGGCAGGTCCTTAGCTTCAGCCAGGTGTGCGTTAGGTCGCAGCACTGAGTGTACCTTGCATAATGTACACCGAAGGGTCTCCGCGCGAGATGTATCACATACAAGAAAAAGACTTTTGCTAATACTCGTAACATACGATATCTGAACGTCACATTGTACTTCTTTTTTATTCTTCTCTTGGCTCTGGCCTAGACAAGATACTTGCGACAAGCATATCTATCTTTTTCTACAGGATGATGCCATACCTCCTGCACCCCGATAGCAAAGATGGACCCTTGCTTTTTCTCCATTTCGACTTGTCTTACTCGAGCTTGAGCTGCTCGAACTGCTTAATCGTACCCTCGAAACCCCTGGCCTCAGACTCGAGATCAATCAGCTTCTGCTGGTCCTGCTTCTGCACGGCCTCGGCAACCTTCTCCTTGTAGATGGGGTCGTTGAGCACCTTGTGCTGCTTGTCAATGTTGGAGCGAGCCTTGTCAAGCTTCTTCTTCGCCTTCTCGATTTCCGCGTCGAGGTCGACGCGGCCCTTGACGTGCAGGTAGACGGAGGCAGAGGACGCCACAGGGAAGGCGACGCAACCGGCCGGACGCGCGGCATCGGCATCGATGATGTCAATACCCGTGACGCCCTTGCCGCTGAGAGACTTGATAGAGGCAACCTGCTCGTTGATTGTCTGGAGGGAAGTGGCGTCATGAGCCTGGATGATAACTGGGGTTGCGTTAGTGAATAAGACATAAGCGATGAAACTGGCAAGGTCGACTTACTTCTGCTTTCCTCCTTCTGGGCGTACTCGCTCATGAGCGACCTGGCACCTCGGGAGCATCCCAGGACAAGCTCATAGGCGGCCTCGGACTTGGGGTCGTCGAACTTGGCATCGTAGACGGGGTAGCTGGCGACCATGATGGACTTGGTCTTGTCGTCGGGGCGGCGGGGCAGACGTTGCCACAGCTCCTCCGTGATGAAGGGTGTGAAGGGGTGGATCATGGTCAGCGCACCCTCGAGGGCGGTGTAGAGAGTCTGGATGGCGCTAGCGGCCTCCTCCGGTGTGCCGTCCTGAATGATTGACTTGCTGTTTTCGATGTAGACATCGCACAAGAAGTTGAGGATGTACTGGTACACAATACCAGTAGCATGCTGGAAGTCACGATCGGCCAGGGCGGCGTTTATCTCCTTTGCGGCCGTGTTGAGCTTGTGAAGGATCCAGCGCTCGGCGAGTGTGATACCGACAGCAGGCTCCTTGGCGGGAACAAAGTCCGGGGGCAGCTTGCCAAGGACGTACTTGGACGCTTGCCAAATCTTGTTGCAGAACTTTCTCCAGCCAGTCATGACCTTCACATCAAAGTTGACGTCCCCGCTTGTCGAGGTAAGAGCAGCCATGGTGAAGCGCAGACTGTCAGCACCGTTGCGAGGGAGGCCATCGGGGAAGGCCGACTTCTGGTACTTCTCGGCCTTGGCGACCTCACTCGGGTGAAGGTTGCCCACGCGAAGCTTTGCATGGAGGTCTTCCAGCTTGATGCCGGCAATGGCATCCAATGGATCAATGACATTGCCCAAGCTCTTACTCATCTTGCGACCCTCGGAGTCACGGACGAGGCTGTGGCAGTACACCTCGGTGAAGGGGACCTGGCCGGTAAGCTTGATACCGAGCATCACCATTCTGGCGATCCAGAAGAACAAGATGTCCCAGCCAGTCTCGAGAACCGAAGTGGGGTAGAGCTCCTCCAGATCCTGGGTCTTATTGGGCCAACCCAGGGTCGAGAAGGGCCACAGACCAGAGGAAAACCACGTGTCGAGAACATCCTCGTCCTGCTCGAGGGTGAACTTCTTGCCCGGAAGGGCAGCCTTGGCCTTGGCCTCGGCCTCTTCGCGAGTCTTGCCAGCGAACCACTGCTTGTTGTCCAAGGAATCCGACTTTTCACCCTCAACCTTGGCCAGGTAGACGGGACAACGGTGACCCCACCAGAGCTGACGAGAAATACACCAATCGTTGATGTTGGACATCCAAGCATAGAAGCTGCGCTCGGAAGACTCGGGGCGAATCTTAATCCTGCCGTCCTTAACGGCAGCAACAGCATCATCAGCCATGCTGCGCATGCTCATGTACCACTGGGGCTTGAGGAGAGGCTCAATGACCTGCATTTTGTCAGTAACCACTCATTTTGTCATTTGAAAAGGGGCACCGACATCCTTGGAGCGTTCGCAAAGAGGGATGGTCATGGCATTGTCCTTCTTGTCAACGTAAAGGCCGAGCTGCTTCAGTTCCTCCTGGATAGCGTATCGGACGCTAGAAAATGGGTCAGTCTACGCAATTCTGACCGCAACGCCGGCAATCACTCACTCGAATCTCTTTTGGCCCTTGTACTTGCCACCGTTCTCATTGATGTTGCCGTCGTCGGTGAGGATGTTGATGAACTCAAGCTTGTGCTTCTGGCCGAGGTTGAAATCGTTGGGGTCGTGCGCAGGGGTCAGCTTGACAGCACCAGTACCGAATTCCTTGTCGACATAGGTGTCGGCGACGATGGGCAGCAGGCGGCCCTCGATGATTGGGTGCTTGGCTTTCTTGCCAATGAGGTGTGAATATCTGGGATCCTCGGGGTGGACGGCAATACCAGTATCACCGAGCATCGTCTCAATACGGGTGGTAGCGACCTCAATGGTCTCGTCGGAACCCTCGAGCGGGTACTTGAAGTGAATCAGGACACCAAACTCGATCTTCTTTTCGTATCCTGGAACCTCCAGCAATGTGCGGCCAGACAATTCCTTGTTGACAACCTCGAGGTTCGAGAGAGCAGTAGTAAGTCGGGAAGACCAATTGACGAGTCTGTTGGCACGGTAGATGGTACCCTCCTCGAAGAGTCTGACAAAGGTTTCAGCCACGGCGGCAGACAGGTTCGCGTCCATCGTGAAAGCCTCGCGGCTCCAGTCGAAACTTCCTCCCATCTTGCGGAGAGCGGCGTTGATCTTGTCGTGGTACTCGCCTTTCCAGGCCCATACCTTTTCGACGAAGTCCTCACGACCCAAGTCGTGACGGGTCTTGCCTTCTCTCCTCCAGAGCATGTTCTCGACCACACTCTGGGTCGAGATACCGGCGTGATCGCAACCGGGAATCCACAAGGTCGTTTTGCCTAACATGCGGTTCCATCGAATCATGATATCCTGTAGGGAGTCACCAAGGGCGTGGCCCAGATGCAGAGAACCGGTGACGTTGGGCGGGGGGTGGGCAATCACGAACTTGCCCGCAGGCTTGACCTTGCCATCGGCGGTGAACTCGGGTTCTGTAGGTAAAGTGTCAGCTCGAAAGCTCTAATAAGGGGGGCACGTGCCGCATACTGAAGAAACCCTCCTTCTCCCACCAGTCGTACCAGGCGCTCTCGACGGCTTCGGGGTGGTAGGCCTTGAAGTGAGGGTCCTCGAGAGACTTGAGGCGCTTCTTCTCTCCTACAGGGGTATCTTCAACGTATTCGGGGATGGCCTCTTCCTCCTTCTTCTCGGCCTTGGCCTTCTTCTCCTTGTTCTTGGACGTGGCGGGTGCGGCGGCAGCCTTTGCGGCCTTTTCGGCCATCTTCTGCTTGAATTTGGCGTCCTTCTCGGCCTTCTTGCGCTCCTTCTCCAGTTCCTTCTCGGTCTTCACCTTCGGGGGTGCGCCGGCGGCGGCACCAGCATCCTGGCCGGCGGCATGGGTGGCGGACGTCGATGAAACCTGGGCCTTAGTTTCGGCCGAGACAGCAGGAGGCGCTCCCTCCTTGAGGCCCTCAGCGGCGCCAACTGGAATAAGAGGCACATGGTCAGTTCAATGTCAGGATGGCACAATCAGGGCTGGCCAAGGAGGCATCGTGAGGATGGTGGGGGTGGGTGGAGGGATAGCGCACTGGGGTTTCCGCGTCCGCTGTCGGTAGCCATGGTGGCACGTGTCTGTAGAAACGGTTGTAGAGGTGGTCGTGGACGTGGACTGAGTGATGGAGGGCGCACACGGAGTGCTCGAAGAAATATTGATTTGGACGTGGTGGGTACTTTGGCGAAGAAGCCCGGAGAGGTGGGCTTCGACTGATGTCTAAATACGTACAAAAAAATCTCCAAAAGGTCTCTGATGAGGGGCACGCCGATATGACTCGGCGGTCTGGTTGCAGCACTTCTCTGAATTTGACTCACAGGATTGGGTGTCAAGGAGGAGCGCTTTGGAGGGGTATGCAGCTAAGAAAAAATTGGGCCTGAGTCACCTAGCCCAGGGACGCGGACCGGACCTACCCACGCTGTTGCGGCACAGCCACAGGCCGGGGATATCAATGACATGCTTTATCGATTATCGATAAGACGTTGCAGCTACCTATGTCTTCCCTAGAATTATGCCGACCTCAGGCAGGTTCCAGGAGATTGATTGACCCATCGGTAGCCAGCTTCAACCACATTCTCCAACCAGAAGTTGAAGTTATTGATTTACTCATTGTTGGTTCAGTCCCAGAGAACCGCGTTGCTCTTCACCACTCAGCTGTTGCAAGCCTTCTCTCTTCGCTCTCTTCGATGAGATTATAACCCTTCAGCATATCCTAGTGCTGGATGTTTCTTCATTTTTTCTATCTCGTTCAATCAGGTGAAACCCCCGGACAAGCTTGAAAGTGGCGGCGCGATGGTGCACGTCCCGGGATATGCCAAACTGATCGCTCCAAAATCACACCGGGGTCACGCTATCTTCTCTATCCACGGCAACGAGAGAAGTCACAAGGTGATTGGAGCTATACGTCTGCCCAGATACAAGCAAGGGTTTTTGCTGACCATCCCACTCATAGTATGGGCTTATTGATGTCGTACATAAAACCTTTCATGGTCTTCGACGCGGCCCCCTTGAACTTCAGGATGCACTGGTCGTGCTTGCTTCCCGGCAATACGCTTCCTGGCTGCAGGACAATGAATTCATGGCGGCATTGGTAAACCCTTTCCATGGGCGCCGCCCAAAAAAGAAGAAGGATATGCCTCACCCGGAATTCAACGTCCTCGCCGCCGCCGTCGACGGTCTGCACCCTCTTCACGGAATGGGCGATACGCCACATGGATTTTCCTTTTTTTACGGTCCCATGAAGCGTATGATGCCGAATTTGTGGCAGGACGACGGTCAACCCAAACCTTTGCGCGAACCAAAGCTGCAGGCGGCCATCAAGTTCCAGTTTGGGCGCCGGCGCACTCTGGACAAGCTCGACTGTACGCTGCCTCTTGCCAACACCATTTTCCAAAACGGTCTTCAGTCCACATTGTTGGCGAGCCGCTGGCGTCGACCATCAAACAGGGCCATGCCGGAGCTGCTTCAGATCAAAGAAAAGCAGTCCCAGGAGGTCGCCTATTGGCTTCCGAAAAGCGCTTCAGATATCTCTGTTGATTCCCCAATAGTCCCGATCACTGTCCCTCGCGAAATTGTCGCAGGCCTGGGTAACATTGTTAGTCAGATCAGTGTGCAAGGCCAGACAATGCCGGCTTCGGCAGAGCTCGAGACAGCCGTTAATGAGCTCTACGCCAGACGTACGAAAGAAGGGCACGAGTTCCCACCGGGCCCCGTAGGAGTCTGGGCTATCGTTGTGCCAGATGGCCCTTTTCAAAAAGCAAACTTGGAGCTTTTGCGGGAGTGGACGGGGGACTTGAATCGAATTCAAACCGCGTATGATGAATGGTTCGAGGCTCTGGCCTTCAAAGATTTGGTCCATCAGCTCTTGCGAAATGGCAGTAGGGTCTACAGGATCCGTAAGTTCGACATCGACCCTGTTCTGCATCCATCCTCACAATACTAACAATTGCGAAGTGAGCGGAGGAGGGGGGTGGGGAAAGAAGCAAGGCCTCCTTTCGCTGGACCCCGAAACCACCTACTCTTCATCGTCTGAGGAAAAAGACTTGGAGAGCTTCATTCGCTCCTTTGAAAGCCAACACGACGGGGGTGATCAGCAAGGCGTGGTTTCCCCGGGATCCTGGATTCAATACTTTGTTTCACCCCCAATGAGCGCCCGACCGAATCCTCCGAGACCGCGCGGCGCGACTATGGAAATTGCTCTGGGAGCATCAGAAAGCGCAACGTCGGAGGAACCACCGCGGACTGACGGCCCTCCGGAGTGGAAGGCCATCCCCGAACACTTCGGCGCGGTCTCGAACCATGGGCTCTTCGTCAAATGTGAGACTTCAGGGCTCGTCAGTGAGTCGAAACTTGACGTGCCGGGATCGTGGGTGGGATGCTTAAAGCTGGGAAACCCTTGAAAGAGGAACGACTCTATAACTATCCGTGCAAAGGGCCCCAAGCCGGTGTATAAATACACGTAACAATAGAGACGGTGCGATTGGTCATCATTCAATGGGCCTGATTATGTGTTTCCTTACTTCTCGCGGTTAGGGATACACCTGGGCGGTGGCCGGCTGTGCGTCCGCAGGTTATGTGTGGTTTGGATTGACTATGCGCGACAACACCTACAGGACTGACGCAGTGCTGTAACCCGCGACACGACCTGCATTCACTGGATGATCCAAGTGGATGCTTTCCCCCGCGTGCAACTTTCTTTAACCTCCACAAACCTGATCTAAAGTAATAATTCAAGGCACACATAAGCAGCCGTGAAACTTGAAATATCTATAACCCCACAGAGAGAACATGTCCACAACAAGCAACGTGACGCCCTCCAAGGTCGGGGTCATCTCGATCGGCGACATGGGCGTTGGTATCGCCAAGCTTCTCGTTGCCAAAGGCTTCCGGGTCGCAACCAACGTCAAAGGCCGCAGGTAACCAACCGCCCTCCTTCGCCCTCCGCTGTGGCCTCACTCATGCTTACCTCGCCCCGCAGCGAAGACACCGTCCAACGCGCCCGCGACGCCAACGTTGAACTCTTGGACTCGGACCTGGACCTCGCGTCCCAGTGTGCCGTTGTGCTCTCCGTCGTCCCTCCCCGGGACGCCGAGGCGACGGCGGATCGCATCATCGACGCCCTCGCCGGCGTCTCGCGCGATGCGCCTCTCTACTTCGTCGACATGAACGCCGTCGCGCCCTCGACGTGCAAATCTATTGCATCGTCCTTCGCCCGCGCCCGCGTCCCCGCGCTCTTCGTCGATGCCTGCATCATCGGCGCCCCGCCTCGCCCGCAATCCGCCCCCAACGCCGGCACCAACGTCTCCTCATCCACAACCCCACCGGGCGAGGACGGCGACGCCGGCTGGTACGTCCCGGGGATGCCCATGTCCGGCCCGCACAAGCTGGCCGACCTCTCCCTTCCGGGGGCAGAGGGTCGCGAGACGGAGACCTTTGGCGCCCGCCTCAGCGCCGTGCTCGGCGGGGACCACATCTCCCCCGACGTCGGCGCCGCGAGCGGCCTGAAGATGTGCTTCGCCTCCATGACCAAGGGATTCACCGCCATCGCCACGCAGGCATTCACGAGCGCCCACCGCATGGGCGTCCTGGACCACCTGCGCAGCGAGCTTTCGGTGCGTCTGCCAGGCAACCTTGGTCTCGCCGAGAAGGGCATCGTGTCGATGCCGCCCAAGGCGTACCGATGGGTTCGCGAGATGGAGGAGATCAGCAAGACGCATGTTGAGGAGGGCGGCTTCGGGCCCGAGCTGTTTATGGGTGCGGCAGGGGTGTACAAGGCCGTGGCAGAAGACTCTCCGCTTGGAACGGAGAAGATTGGTAAGAGGAAGAGGGGCACAACGGTGGAGGATGTGGCGGCGGCGTTGACTGAAGGATTCGAGATCCAGAAGAAGAAGACGGATTAATGTTGCGTGTGAGACCGTCAAGGGACCATGATAAACCGATGAGAATATAGTTAGATGTTCAACGCAAAGATAGACAAACACATGGTCTTACGCCCTGCAACCCGTTTCCTATTAATATACAGAGCTTTTTGTGATAAAAACAGCCCGCCTTGAACGCCGTCCGTGTCATGAACCACGTGCTGCCGACCCGAGCCTGTTGCCGCGAACCCATTCGCTCCTAATATTACATCGCCATCCATTATGCGCCATTGCAGATATTGCCATGTTATAAGTTTCCATTAAATTTGGTCCCCATGAATCCAAAGCACACGTTACAACACTGACAACGTCAAATCGCCCATGAGCTTTGCCCTGATTTGGATGTCCACCTCCAAGTTGACTTTCAGATCTACAATGAAGCCTCGCTCGCCATCATGGACGATGTCGCGTGGGTTCTTGGTTCGCTCTGGCAAGGGTATAGAGAAATCGGGACCGCCAGGTGGAAGCTTACCAACCTCCTCGGGTACCCCGCGTAACGGTGCTCTCAGGGAGAGATCTTTGGATGTACGCCTACGAACGGGAGGACGCCTCAAGGGCCGGAAACTTGATGACGAAGAACTACTTGTGGTATCGGTGTCCGATGCAAGCGAGGACGTAGTGCTCTCACCGAGCTGTGGTAGTTTCGTCGGCGCCGTTCGTCGTGACGGGACCCCCGGGCGGAGAGGCACCGGGTCTACCAAATGCTCATCACCCGCAGGCAGTACTGACGCCGGTGTGGCTCTAGATGCCGAAGGACGTCTTCTTCCAGGCCTTGGCCCAGACTGGGTTGAGTTCGAGTTTTTGGGTAGGAAGTCGCGGGGGTCCTCTCCAGCTTCGCTCTCGTGTTCACGATCTGAGCCATTCAACACAGATTTGCCCTTGGTATCCGACGTTGACGACCGTGGTTTTCTTCGCGGCTTAGAGGATTGAGATCTGGTCTTCGAACGTGATTCTTGCTGGGAGTTGCGCAGGATAGACGTGTTATTGTTGTCGGTAAATGGCAACGGGCCCTCCATGTGCTGGGCTGATTCCATCTCGTGTAAGTGATGGAACTTTCTTTCGAGAGGCCCGGTAATTGAAGATGACGGCGTGTATGCTCGTTAATAGTTTGATGAAATGGTCCAGGATGTGATGAGTAGCACGAAGACGGTTGCGTATGTCTCGCAGATCCCAGAAAGCAAGATGTAAGAGCCTCAAGGTTGAAACAAACCCTCGTGTCGCGCTCGTGCAGATGGTTGTGTCCTTATGTGTCGATGGTCGTTCCTACGATTCAGTCGCTCGAGGAATGGCGTATGAGCAGCCTGCGTGCCCAAAATCTATGATTTGGGTCGGACCTTATACCAGCAACCGTCATATTGTTGCTTCGCTCTTCGTCGGTCCGTTTTAGTGTTGCAAGTTTCGATGGTACTCCGGTGTCTCCGTTTGTGCGAAATGTGGTCGCTGGCCGTATTCACCGATGGCTCCCCAGTATGGTTGCAACGATTTCCAAGGTTTGGAATGACCGTGGGAAGAGGGAGGCAAATAAGCGCTGGGACCGGCCTGGAGGGCAGGAGGAAGACCAGAGGCGCAGACGGGGGACCGGGGAGGAGGCGGAGGCAGTCGAATGTGCCAAACCTCCATAGGCAGGCTCGAATGTGCATGCACCCTGACGTTGCAGCCCGGACGTGCGCTTGGCGGGGAACATGGGCTTGCGATTTTCCTTGGTTTTTGGGGAACGTTGCCAAGTTGCTAGTCACATGCACGGAGGGTCCCCATAATCGGAAACTTGGTTTTTGGTTTGGACCCAAGAATGCCGATTTCTGCAAGCCCGAGGCATAGCTCTTGTCCAATTCGTGATTTTCGTCCCAGGGACAGGGCTTGCAAGAGTGGGACTTACCTAGCCCGATGAGTAACATCTGCACAGATATTCCAGGAAACGTTCGAGAAACTGGGACTACGGAGGCAACGCCGAAGAAAAGGGTCCCCACGTTTGACTGGGTATTTGCTTTGACCTTGACTACAGCAAATTGCCATCCGGATTCAATCCTGCTCTTCGAGGGGAACAGAGTGGCAATTATTGGCCTCTATAGCAGCTAAGCTAGGGGTCCACGATGATATTGGTGCGGTGTAGACGAACCACGTTGGATGGCATTCCGGGCGAATGGTTGTCCGCATGCCCGTGACCTGGCATTTATTCCAGCACATATCTTGTTCTCGCGACTAGTCCGAAACACTGCGCACAGCATAAACTAGGTAAACGGAGCCAGCTTTTACTCGATCATGTCGATATCATCGTGCGTAGCGGGTACAGCGGCGGCAGCGGCACCGCCGCCGTTCGCCTGAGGCGCAGTCTCACCCGAATTTCCTCCACCAAAGTAGTCTGCCATCTCGGCATCCAGTTCTTCTTGGGTTTTTCGAGTGCGACCGTCCTTGCCAGAGCGACCCCCTCTTCCACCGTCTTGATCTCTCCCCCCATCTCTACCTCCGTCTCTGCCTCCCCCTTCCCTGCGAGCGCCAGGCCTACGGCCACCACCGTTACCGCCACGTCTTCGGGGCATGGGGCTGCGCGAGCGGTTTCTGGAGCGTCCCCCGGGTATGTATCTGTCAATTCCCCTACTGGCAGCTTCGTCGACGTCGTATTTGCGTCCAGGCGACATTGATCTGGATCGGCCGCCGGGAGCAGAGATACGTTCAGCCAGGGGACGGCCCGGCATCACTGCCGAGTCGAAAGGGTTTCGAGATCGGGGCCCCGATCCACCAGGCATAATCGACAACCTGATAGGTTGGCCTGGGACGTGTTAGACTTGGAGCATTTGCAGACAGAGGCTCAAACTACGTACCGTTGGCGTTGGCGCCGTCAAATTCCTTAACCGCCTCCAGAGCATCCTCGCGGGACTCCATTGTAACAAAGGCAACGCCCTCCGAGCGTCCAGCTCGATCATACTTTAGATCCAGCTTGGCGACAGGTCCGATCCTGTTGAAGAGCTCCTGTATGTATCTTAGCAACCCGGATCCATTATCCGCATGTCTAACAGCTCGTACCTCCAAATCCTCCGGAGTGAGTTCGTAATGGATGTTCTCGACACGAATCTTTGCGCTGCTAGAATCTCTGCGATACGAGGTCAGCATAGCTCTACAACTGCTGTCCACAGTGAGGCTACCTTTGTTCCGGTTCGTCGCGTCTTCGTCGCGGGGCTGGGCCGCGACGGGTATCTATTTACTTTAGCTGCTGGTCACACGGGGTCTTGATACCAGCCAAATCGTACCATGTTCTTCAAACCGATCGTGAACCCATTCGCTAATCAAGTGTTAGCTGATGACGCGTTTCGTCCTCTTCCTTCTGCTGAGGCTTACCTGTCGAGATTTCTAGGTTCGTCGCGGAAAGACTGTATCGCAAGATGGCGACGCCTGTTAGCTAGGCCCTTGTAAGTGATAGGAACCGCTCCCGGTCTTCAACGGGGCGTTCAGCGCGGATCGACAGCTGCGAGAGAATCGAAGCCGACCGGGATGAGGGTGAGGGAGGATCTTTCAACCTAGACGATTAAGTCTGGAGATCAAGCATAGGGACAGTTGCGGGCTTGCGCCGTACCTTTATGACGCCATCGCGATGGTAATCCTGACGTTCGCGTTCACGTCTACGAGGAGCACCTCCGCCGCCTCCACGGCGGTTGCGAGAGCCGTCGTGCCTCTGTGGTGCGTCGAGTAAGCTCCGTGGTCGCATACGGTCCAAGGCTGCGGGTGTTCGTACCTTTTCACCGAGGATCTCGTCAAGGCTGCGGTCCAATTTGTCCGCCATGATGAGCGTCTGGTTGAGAAGATGGTATTGGAAGGATTGGCGCAGCTGCAATTGTCGAGTCGGTCAGTCGAAAGCTTTCTTCGCCTTCGGTCTCGATGGGCGTAAGTTTCGTTGCAGGATGTGATGGGACAACAATGCTAGTTCGCGACTCAGGCACTCGACGTATCACTGAGCGCAGATCGACCAAAAGACACTGGGGTGTGGCGCTGCGTGGAGAGCATACGTACATCGTACCTAAGGTGGCTGAAAGCTTGCTATCCCAGCGGGACCTTTTCGAAATGGCTCACTGTAATTGGCTACCAGGAACGCCCATGAGAGAAGCTCTCCATACTAGAGGTACAGTGGATCATACTGCGAGTCTCAGGGGTCCGGCAGCCTAATGTCTCCTCGGCATTCCACTGTAGCGACTCCTGAGCCATTCAAGGTCTCAGCACTACTTAGCGCGCCCGTTCCGCTGGTCGCAAAATTATAGGTGGTGTCTCGTCTGTCTTTCAGCGCCCTACGTCCGTTGATGCGAGGCAGGATGGATCCGGGCCGGAGTTAGTCCTCGAGGGGAAGGAGAGGCGCTAAGCCCCTTTTGTCATACCAACTGTAACTTTAGTGTCGAGCTGTCCTCCCCAATGCGCATCCCTTGAATCGATCAGCCCGTCAATGTGGGAATCTCGTATCTGGCCAAATTTCTCACTCCTTCAGCCAAAGACACACGAGAAGGAATGCCCAGAGTCATCTTCTTCGACCACTGCGCGGCTGCCATTTTCTGCAAGTCAAATAACGCGCAACTCTCTTGAGCCTGTTCTGAACCTCAAGACGAACCGCTTATCCGAAAGCTACAACATACCCAGCTGCGCGAAGCCAAGCCAAGCCAAAGGCCGTCGACGACAACCTCTCTATCCACGACCGACCACCTTTATGATTATCGCATCTTCCTTCACCACGTAAGACTGCCACCCATGGCTCGCCCCATGGGGTCAGTTCGTTTGAAAAAGGCGAACCCAGTGACCCTCCTTCTTGGCGCAGTGCTGTGCATCTTCATCATCGTCTTCCTCGTCGGGCCCTCCAAGTCGATCACGGCAGAGCCGTCTGGTACCGCCTCTCACCACCTATCACCGCCAACCGCGCCCTATCGAAAGAAGGCAAAGGGCGACACAAGGCCACCGCCGGTCGTCCACTACAACCTCAACAATGTCACCATCACAACCGATCCCATTGGCAACCGCGAGTCCGTTCTGATCTTGACGCCAATGGCTCGTTTCTACCAGGAGTATTGGGACAACCTGCTGAGCCTCAGTTACCCCCACGACCTTATTTCGCTCGGCTTCATTTTGCCCAAAACCAAGGAAGGAAACGCTGCGACGGCGGCGCTGCAGGAGCAGATCACCAAGACTCAACGCTCAGACAAGAACCGCTTCAAGAGCATCGTCATACTACGGCAAGACTTCGAGCCGGCCATTGCATCCCAGGATGAGAGCGAGCGGCACAAGATGGAGAACCAGAAGGCCAGGCGGGCAAGCATGTCCAAGGCCCGCAATTCGTTGCTGTTCACCACCCTAGGACCCCAGACATCCTGGGTGCTGTGGCTTGATGCCGACATTGTCGAAACGCCGCCGTCCCTCATTCAAGATCTGGCATCGCACGACAAAGCCGTCATTGTCCCCAACTGCTTCCAACGGTTTTTCAACCCCGAGACCAAAAAGATGGAGGAGCGACCATACGACTTCAACAGCTGGCAGGACAGCGAGATAGCACAGAAGATGGCCGAGACAATGGGCCCCGACGACATTCTACTCGAGGGTTACAAGGATATGCCAACGTACCGTGCATTGATGGCGTATCTAGGCACTGATGAAAACGACAAGAAGATGGAAATTCCCTTGGACGGCGTTGGCGGCACTGCGTTACTCGTCAAAGCGGACGTCCACCGCGACGGCGCCATGTTCCCGCCCTTTTCCTTTTACCACCTCATTGAGACGGAGGGTTTCGCGAAAATGGCGAAGCGCCTGGGCTGGCAGCCGTTCGGGCTCCCAAACTACAAAGTAAGCAGACCTTGGTCACCGTCAATTGGTTCATTATCTCACATTTGTGCAGGTCTATCACTACAATGAATAATGGTGAGGCGCTACAACAGTCAGAACACACAAGTCTACCACTGGTTTTGCTAGTGAGACGGTAGCCGAAACTCCTCTTCCAACAACACCGGCGGCGGCATTACAAATTTACGCGCAAGCCTCATAAGAAAGAAACACATGCCTTTCAAAGCCATTGCACAGATACCCCTTTTTCATATATTGCCAAAAAAAAACATAATTGCGTTCAAAATATTGGCGACAGAGAAAGAAGAAAGGGGGCAATGGTGGTGAGAGTCAGGCGTTCTTTGTAGCATATTCACACAACCCCATCCACCCATCTACGCACAGCAAACTTCTACACACTTGGGGGGGGGGGTTTCCCCTTTTCCTTTTCTTTTTTTCGTCTTTTTTCCCTCTCGATGGATCAGGAGTCTGGGGATTGGGATAGCCGGAAGGGCTGGACTTGAGCGGCTAGGCAGCCTCATGACATGAAGGTGGTTGCGTCCGAGGGATGTAAGAGTAAATACAAAAGCGCCAAGGACCCAAAGAAGGGTGGCGGCGGGGATAGGTAAGAGAGGAGGAACATCATGGGACTGCGCAACATATCAGCATTAAAAGGAGTCTCTTATCCTTCAAGTCGAGAGCTCCGGGCGTTATAGACCAAAATCATATGTTATCCAACAAGAAAAAAAGGAAGAGCCAAAAAAAAGGCCCCGTCCATGTTTCTTTTCGTTTTCATGAATGACGCTCGCCGTATTATACGCATTCCCTTTGACCCGCGCGCCGCCATTCCCGCCCAAACACAAGTGACGATGTATCTCCCGTAAAAAATAGATATATATATATAGAAAAGAAAATAAATAAACACCCTAGCACGCTTCCCGAAACCCAATCCATATGCTCCCTCTCGATATCCTCATATCCGGATAGTAATCGCTCAGAACCCGTGTTCCGATCCAATCCTACCCGCTCCCCCTGCACCCGCCTCTTAGGATGATAACCTTGCGCAGGATACTATCACCCCGCGACGCAAGGGGAGGCGGAGTCGAGACGCCAAACGAACCGTCCTTGTGCACTACTGCCCCTCGTACCTCCCCTCGTCGTCGCGGCACCAGAACTCGACAAGCGCGCGGGTGCCGAGCACGTCGCCGCCGCGCAGCAGCGCCGCGACGTCGACGTTGAGAGGCGAGTCCGTCTCGGGGTACGCCAGCAGCGTGCGCACGGCGCGCACGCTCTCGAGGACGCTGTAGGCCGGCGTCCAGGCGTCCTTGAGCAGGTCGAGACAGATCTCGCCCGTCTGCAGCGCAATATTGGCGTGCACAACGGGCGTCACGAAGCGTATCGTGGGCGGCCGCAGGGGATAGTCCTGCGGGATCTGGATGGCGAGGAGCCAGCGGCCTTCTGTTTTGGGAAGGGAAAGAACAGCAATACGTTAGCCACCGTAACTCAGGGGGCGTTTCCACCTCGCGGCGTAGGTAGGGAGGGATGCGACGCATGCCTTCTGGCCGCGACCGGCCTCGCCAGAGGGGAAGTGAAGTAGGGAAAGGGGGGAAGAAGGTTAGGCGGGGGGTGTTAAAGTACCATCATATCCGTTCCCGATCCCCCGTCCGTTTATTACGGCTTCCCAGGTGAGAAGGTCCTCGTCGTTGACGGGACCCAGCCTCTCGATCCCCCGCTCGTCCTTCTGCTCCGCCCGCCACACATCCAGCTCCTTGATGAGTCTCTTGATCGCGCCCCGCCCGTCCGACGATTTGGACTTGGACTTGGACTTTTTGTTCGCACCCGCAGAGTTCGACTGGGAGTCGGGCAGGTTCTGGATCCGCCACGACATGTCGGCGAAGGCTGGTGGAGGAGAAGCTCTTGTCTGTTCGGTCGGGTGCGGGAGAGAGCAAGGTGACGGCGCCAGCTGCAAGAGTGGACAACAGTAGTGGTTCGAACGCGGGTAGTAGTAGCAGGTTGCTGGTCAATTGGACAGAATGAACGAAAGCGGATATGATATCTCGCTGTCTTTCGACTTGGGGTCGTCAAGAGTGAATGCTGAGAGATGAAATGCTGGAGCTCTGGAAACAGGTATGGACGGGGGGTTCACCTTGGCCAGTAACTGGGTCACGCTTCCCAGTATGCAATTGAGAGGTACCTTGTAACGCGCGACAGCACGGGTGGGCCCTCCGCGGCCTCAGCCGAGGTCTCCAGGCGTGGACCGGCCCTCTACCTTTAGTTTCCGGTCCCTGATCAACTTCACCCGTCGTGCCGAAACCCTTATGTGTTAAAGTCTGATGAATCGTAGCCCAAGCTATCAATGTTCCTGGCCTTGGGAACTCTGCACATCTCTTTACTACCGTGTTCTCAGAAAATGTTCATTAATATTTGTCTACGTCGCGATTTGTGCCATCTTTCCATCATCTAGAGGGCCGAAACAGCCAGCTGACCAAACTAAGAGGGGCGCTACAATGGCGTGCCTCGACTTGTCTGCCTCGCCATGTTTTTGCCATACTAAATTCGCTGTCCATCCCCGATATGTCCGAGTTGGGAGACGAGATCAGTGAACCACATGTTTCCGCCCCTCGCAGTTGTCACGAAGACATACAGCCGCATACCTGCTATGCTCATGCAACTTGCTGCTCATGCTATCATCACAATAAAACGCCTAATCCATGTCCCAAAGTATTTGGCCCGTAAGTACTGCTCATTCCCGCATGTATGCAGGGCTTAGCAACAAGCGATAATTGCTCTTCCTCAAGAAATAAGGGCGTGATGGACTTTTCAGTCGCCAATGAGGCCCACGACTGAGACGTTTAACACCCCCTTCCATGGTGGAAGAACATAACCCCGCCGAACTGTCCGACGAGAGAGAATGCGCAAAAGGTTGTACAAGAATTCCATATACATGCGTCGTGAGGCCACCTTTGTGATATAAGGTCGGGGCCGAGTAGATGATGACCTATCACTCGGTCATTGCGGGGAGGAGATTGGGCGAAATGTATTTCCCGGAAGAAATTCATGCCGAAGTGTCGTCCTTGGGCTTCCAGAATCGCATCATCCGGCCGAGTCGCTTCGATTTGCTTGACTTGTTCTTCTTGTCGTTCTCACCATCGCATGGGACTTCCATTGAGAGCTTGCTGCGTTCGCCGTGGGAGCTGCTAATAAGCCTGCTTAGACTGGCAAGACTGGATCTGCGGCGGCCAAAGGCTGCCGAAGATACTGAAACTGGCCTTTGCTGATCGGGCCGAATGGGATCCTGTCTCAATTGACTGCTGGCTGCAAACGAGCTGTCTCTGGTCATGGTTGAGTGACTGGACGTCAATGAAGGAATATCCACAGAGAGTCTGACCTCCGGGCCAGGCTCCCCAAGTAGCAGTGACTGGAAATTGTTCTCTTCATTAACCGAGGACGGGGCCGTGGAAATTCGCTGCGCATCGTAAGACATGGGCGAACGAGGCGACGGGAATGAGGAAGCGTGGCTCATTGAATAGGGACTGACAGGAACATGAGAGGAGGTCGGTAGGTGAAGGGGACTGACGTCAACCGGAGACAGATCCTTGCTCGCAAGGATTCTCCTCGGCGAGGGAGTCGCGGAGCCAGTCGATTCCGACTTCTCTTGGAAGATAGAGCTTGTGCGGAATTCGGACATCTCCGGAATGAGGGGCTCCTCGACAATTACGTCGTCTTGCAAAGAGACTAGAGATTTCTCGGATTTCATGCTAGCGGCCACCTTAGTCGCATCCTTGTCGGCGGCGGCGGGAGCTACGCGGATGCTCGCATCGTCTAACGCGACAGGCGCAATATCCAGGATGGGTTTCTTAACGGTGTTGGTCGCAGGCGGCGTGGCCTCGTCACCGGACGATTCATCGCTATCTTGCGCAACCCTCCTGCCGCTGTTGGTGTGAAGCGACGCGGACTTGCCCGTGTGTTCGTCGTCTTCCTCGTCCTCCTCGAAGACATCGGCCATGGTTGAGCTGCTACCAAAGCGGTGGATCCCGAAGCGAGCAGCCTCAAAAGGTACCATTTCGGGAGCACTCTCAGCGCGCCTATGGTAGTGCATTCCTGGGCCACTAAAGCCCTTCATGCCTTGCGCGCTGTGAAGCTGGCGTTTGGTAGAGGCGGCGGCTCGCTGAGCGGCATCCCATTCTGGATTGTTGCCTAGAGGAGTGTTGAAAGGACCTAGAGCAGCATCCAAATCGATCATGGGGAAAGAAGTGTCATCCTGGGCCGACAAAGGACGGGGTTTCCACTCTTGCAAGTTCTGAGGTTGGCTAGAAGTGTCCGTGACCACGAGTGTCGGCGTCACCGGCTCAATGTTGACTTCGGGCTCAGTCATTAGGGCTTCGTCCTTTGGTTCAGGGATCTCGAATTGACGTGCCGAGTCGCCTGAGAGATCCAAATCCTTACATTTCTTGTTGCGCGGCTTGCTTTTCCGAGCCAAAATAGACCCCGCCCAGTTTTTGACCTTCTTCTTCTTTTTCGACTTTTTGCCGTCAGGTCTTTGACCGTCTTGCTCCGAGATGCCTAGAGTCGTAATCGGATCTGAGACGTGCTCAGAAGTAGAAGAAGATGCCGAACTGTGAGGCTTGGATCCGGAATCAGAAGAGCTGGAACTCAGAGGCCTTACGCGTAGCGGCGATGCAGCAGCGGCGAAGGGGTCGAGTCCAAAGAACGACCACCGCTTCGGGGTCTTGGTTGGGCTCGGCATCGGAGGGCCAACAGTGCCCGCCTCGGGCAAGTTGATGAGTGTGGGAATCGAGTTCCTTCGTCTTGGAGACGCGCCCACGGATTGAATGCTCTGGGATCGTTCAAGGACGGCCCCGGCAGTGCTGGGTCTCGATCCGTTGGTCTGCCGTGACGGAGTGAGCACGAGAGGAATGACGGGCTCGCTTCCCGTGTTGGCGGTGGTTGGAATAGAAATGATGGAGGATATGCTGCCAGACACAGAGTGTCCACCAGGCCGTGCCGTCACGGTGCTAGAAGTATCACTAGACACCATTGATAGGGGGCGGGGAATGAACTCTAAAGTGTCAGAGAATCCAACGCGGGCACGGGTCGCAGGCCTCTCCGCGGGTGAAGCTCTGTCACTCGAAGTGCCTGAATCGGCAGTCACGGGCCTGGTGAACTCTGGTGGTACCCTGAGAACCGGCTCGGATTCGACGCCCTTCAGCGTCTTCCCGTCCAACCCTCCGTTCTGATCTCCCAGACGCCGGTCATAGTCGGCTGGACTGGTTGGCGCGCTATTACCTCGCATGTTTCCGGGTGCTGAGGGCTGCACAATGAGAGAAAGGTCGTGGCTTGATAGTGCCGCAGATCGTCTGTGGGCGTGGCCGCGGCGGTTGGCGGGTTTTGGGGGTGGAAGTTGGAAGGTGGGGGATGCGAAGCCACTCTCGGATCTTGTTGGGCTTGTACCCGTCACTGTGATAGAATCTCCAGAACGGATGCTCCCTCCAACAAATTCGCTTCCTCCTCTTCTGTGTCCGACCCCAGTTGGTCGTGAAGGCGATGGCACAAGTCTGGGGGACACGGGCGGCGGGGACAACGGAGGGCTAAGAAGCGAGTTGGTGTCCGGCGACAGCGAAGCACCCGGGTTGAATGTGAAGTTGGGGAGCGCAGGTGATCTTGAAGGTCGGTCGGCAGAATCGGCAGCCATGCTGAAGGTAGACCGGTCATGAATCTCGATCGCGGATAGAGGCCGTCGTCCCGTTGCTCTAGAGATAGAAGAAGGCGCAGAGGCGGACGATGGCCTTGCCGGGAAAACAAAAGGCGGGTTCGGCAAAGGAGGCATTGTTCGAGGGGAGCCTGGTCCTGAAAAGGGTATTGGGGAGGAGGTAGAAGCATCCATCATAACTGGTAGAGAGATCGCTTGCATCGAAGGCTGGTCCAAAACCTTTGTACCGGCGGAACCCGTCATAGTCTCAGGTCCAGCAGTCGTTGCCATGTTAAACTGAGCCGCTCTGCGGCTACAGGATCGGTCAGCAACTAGTAGAAGGACATGTAGAGGGCGCGGTTGCGAGATGGCCGTCGGTCGGTGAGGAAGGGAAATCGCTTGGTTCTTGACGCGGACAGCGCGTCGGGCAATTTGCAGAGGCGATGACGGGGTTGGTGATTAATTCTGTTGCATCAACGTCTAAGCAAACAGTGGCCTTTATAGTGCGAAGCGTTCGCTACACGGGATTAAAACTTGAGGCCGGTGGGCGAGTAGACACCTTTTCGTTCGGAGGGGGGATGTCGAATGCGGCGCGTTGACGATGGGAATTGGACGAAATTGGCGTTCACGATTGCGTACGTGACAGAATCGGTCGACCAGGTAAGACAAATGCTATTTATCGAAGATGAAGATTGAAAAGGTTGTTAAGGAGCGGACGGTACAAAACCAGAAGCAAACCTGCAAGATTTACAGCTGGAATTGAACCACGAAACAGAAGTCAGTGAACGACGACGGCCTCGAAAGGTTTGGGGGGGAAGAGTTGATAGGAATAAGAGGGGGTTGCGACGCGGAAGACTAAAGAGAGGATGAGATGGATGGGTGGACTTGGGATTAGAATTGGGGACACACACACACACGCACACGCACGCACACAACACACACACACACACACACACCAACGAGAAGCGACGAGTCGGGTCCAGCGGTTGGGGTGTGGATGATGGGGGCAGGGTGTGTGCAAATGTGGACAGGGAGGGGGTGGGGAAGGAAAATCTCAGTTTGGTTTGGACTGACTGGTTCGGGGAGTGGAAGGGGGGAGGGGACAGCACGAGGGGGAAGGAAGGAGAAGAGGGAGCAGCGGCAGGGACATGCTGACCAGGGGGTGAGATTGTGATTCCAACAAGTCCTCAGAGCCCGGACACAAGCAAGGCAGGGACAACCAGGGGGGCTTGCTCAGGTTGATGGGGCAGCAGCCGTAGCGTACTCACACCCAACGCGCCAAAGAGCAAGCGAGCAAGTACTCGACAGCACCATGAACCGCCAAAAAGGTACAGGCGCTGCTGCGATACGAGAGGAAGCAGTACGGCGGTTACAGTGCACACATATGCAACTCAATATCAGACGGTGGGGGGGGAAACCAGAGGTGCGTACTCTACCTACTGGCAACATACCTAGGTAGAGAGAGTATCGACATAGTAGTACATCTAGGTAGGTAGGGCACGAATAGCCTTCTACAAACGGAGTATGCGTAAACCCATACTGCGTGCACACGGCGCCGAGTGCAACATCCAGTTACCATTGTTGCTGACCTACCTATCTAGGCAACTTATCGGAGCTCGTACAGGTATGCCCCAGAGTCTGATCGACGAGCAAGGCATCCCTGGACCAAATCGTGACCACCGACCGCTACGAGGAAGACGCTCAACAACAAACCCTTTGCTCGGCGCCTGAACCCTTCCGTTTATTACCTAGGTAGGTATCTTTCCACTCGACTTGTCTATGGCATCTTCTGCCTCCGTACCTATCTTGGACGCACCTGTGGCTATCCTACGTCGCAGCGACTGGACGGGCCCTGGCAGATACATGCCTCGCCCTGCAGCTGTACCTGCACTCCCTCTTGTGAACCATCCACTCAAAGCCGCCCAGCTCCTGGGCAACCTGGGCAACCTGGGCAACTGGCTCATGGTACCAAGGGAAAGGGGGACTATGCAGTAGCGTATCACGACACCACACCTTATGCTAGGGCAAGTACCTATTCGCGTCGCTGGGGTGAGTGTGGTGAGGTGCTGGTTGCCATACTCTTTGCTAACCCCTTTGGTGCTTAAGGGAGCAGCCACAGCAGTTCGTACTAAGAGCCGGTACTAAGAGCCGGCCGTCCTTGGGTGGCCGGCCACACAGCCCATCTCTCCCGAGTCCCCTTAGCGGTCCGACATCTGGCCATAGGCCTCTGGTTGGCCTGGTTAGTCTGGCTAACTTGACGAGGTTGCCCCCCCTCCGTTGCGTTGCCTTCCAACGCCGTTTGACTATTCTCTTTCATTTGTCTCGAGTCCATGGCCCATTGTGCTAAAATCTTGTTTTTGGCAAAGGGAACCTGCCTCTTATTGAAATGGCTCTGCAGATAGTCTGAGACTATATCGCCTAGTCGGTGGATCTGACGATGGTTGGGTCGCTGCAAGTCACAAAGGAACCTGGAAAGGCAAGTGGGCAGGAGACAGTGAGTGGAGGCGCTGAGAGCTCAAGTGCACGCTGTGTCGTGCTTTTTACTTTTTATTTTTTTCTATTTTTTAATCAATCTTTTTTGCGAGGTGTGGAAGCCACGATACCCTGGGCTCAATATCCATGATTTTTCTTTTGCAAATTATGGCCTTCCCAGGCCGGCCTATGAATAGAAGGGGGGGGAATAACACTGACAAAGATGTACTATACAGCACAGACAGCTAGCTGGCAGCCTGTACCCGGTTGTTTCTTTTTGCCGCCCAGAAGTGGCCGACCAGGACCGAAACCAAGACCAAGATCATACAAGCATACAAAGAAGTCTCCCTTGCCTAGGGCAGTCAAAGAAATGAAGAAAAAAATTCAATAATAAATCACGCGAGCATAATAGCTCAACAACATCATCAAAGTTCTATCGGCCGTCAGCTAAACCCACTGACTACTTGCTCTGAGCAACCGCCTCAGCTCAGTTTCGCTCGGCTCGGCTCAGCTCACGGTCACCTCCGAGGGTTTGATCAGGTGCCTCTTGGAGATCTTGAGAGGGCTACCTAGACCGATGCTGAGACCGACAACCGGATGAGCTGCGCATGGCAGCTGCGAGCCAGACGAATCATCGCAGCGTCTCCCTCCTTGGCTAACAAACGCCATGTAACAACGGCTGCCAACAGCTTCTGCAAGGTACCTGCCTACCGTATATAAACGGCGCTGGCGGCGTTAGCTCCCTTGGATCACACACCCCCTCCATCACCATCGCTGCCATCCGCCCCTTGCGGCACTTCTGGGAGAAAGCCACCACAACAAGCCTTGACATGGTCAACAAGAAGAGACGAGACGAAGAGAAAGGAAGAAGAAAGCAGGTACAGGGCCAAAGTTAGGCCGAGTCTGTGCGAATCATGTTATGATTCTGGTCAATCTTTCCTAGGTTCTACGGCCTTGCCCAAAGTATCGGAAATACGCTTTCGCTTCATCCTAGAACAGGACTTGAGCTGGCTTTCAATCCCGTATCCTGAACACCTTCTTTTCTTTTGCCCGACCCCGGGTGACCCGGCCAAGTTTCAACGCCCAATAAAGACACCGCCGGACCCATTGCCGACTCGATTCAATTCGACACCCACGCCGCATCTTGGGATTCGATCAACGCCTCCGGTTCGTTCCACCTTGACGTCCATGGCCAGAGCAGAGCCAAAGCGGTCAGGCGATGTGTGCGGGCTCAATGGGGCGTCCGATTGTGGCTTACGTAGTAATACCGGATGGCAGCATGGGGCACTGGGGCGGCACAAGAACCAAATTCCTCCTCCGCGATCAAATCCCCATGGTGGCCTCTGACTGGTTAACGGTCTCAAGAACGAAGAACGACGGTCAAGGGTGCAAAACGCATGTGCCAAGGCCCCCCCCTCGTTACTTTTATCCCGCTCTTTCTCCATTGCTGGGGTTGCTGGGCCTCAAAACGCCCGCGCACCCCCAGGCGGCAGGCCCAGAGAGACGAGAGCCCCTCCTCCAAGCCTCAAATATACCCCTCCCATTCTCCCCATATCAAATCAATCGGCCAGATGGCCGATGGTGCTCGGGTCAGATCTGCTTACTTTTCTCTCTCTTTCGCTTCCTCCTAGCCTTTAGAGAGAGAAAGCCCTGGGTGCCGAGTTCTGGGACCACGGCTGGTCAGGTTAAGCCCTCGAGTGCACGCGTAGGTGAAGGATCAAGTACCTCGCGTTATAGGAGGCGTTCCGAGGGGTACGGGTAGTGTTGTCGATATGCGTCTGTTTGGCTTTTTCCGCCCTGTTTTGGGACGGCTCAGTACCCTCCCCCTCCCTGGGCACCGCATACATCGTACATAGTATGGTCTCCAAATGATAATTGGCAGCATGCAAACGCGTATGGGATGGGACGGGGTCAGTACCTTATTTCTCCCATGTTTCCCGTATTTGACGCCCCGTTCCTGATGCCCCCATTGGACCTCCTAGTGGGGTGGGGAGCATGTCACGGTTGGAGCTGATGGGGCCTGGAAGAGGGAGGGGAGGCAACACGACGCAACCCCAGAATCGGATGCACTGACGGCAGACCAGAACTGTGATGCACACCTCTTCCTACGAAGTACAGAATGGTCCTAGGCCTATGTCTGTATGCACACGGCGCCCGTTTACCGAAGCACAACGGCACAAACAACGGCGTCCAGTGCTTCAACCTCGCATGTCTCGTCCTCCTGCACACCTTCAGCGGCGCAAACGGCGATGACAGCCTTGTCGTAGTAGCTCGCCAGTGGCTTGCTCCTCTACACTTGCAAGTTTGGCAGGGGAACAAAGGGGGCAGCACCGCGCGGCTTGGTCCCAAAGTTTAGTTTGGGGCGGTTTTTTTTTTTTTTTTTTTTTTTGTCATCGTTGCCACGGCTGGGAGCCTCATGTTGTTGACTCGGTTGCAAAGACTGGCGGCCTTAGGAGCTGGCCATGAGACGACGGTTTGATGGGAACACCTCGGTCCGTCAGCCTTGGCTTCAGTCAACGCTCGCCTGTCTCCATTGGAGGAAAGGTGGAAAGTTTCTTTGTGCGACGCGGCGCCGTCACCCCGCGAGTCCACGGCAAGGAGACGCCAGCGCGCATGCCCAGCTTGCTTAGTGCGGCCTAGCCCTCAGCTCTTGACCCTTCACTTGTTTCGAGTCGGCCATTGCGAGCGAGCGACGAGACGAGCGCCGCCATCAACAAACAGACGGCACCCCCCAGCCCGTTGCTGGCCGACCACCCTATCTGGCCAGTGTACGGATACTTCTGTACCTACCTACGCATTGGTGCCTTTTCCCACCCCGTTCTGAGAGCTGCAGATGTGGCCGCAGAGCAGATGCAGATGATAACCTCCGCGCCTCCGCGTCGCCCCAAGCACCAACCAACCAGAGTCGGGCCTGTCAATTGCCATGTCGCATCCAAGCCCACCACGCGTATGCAGCTCGCAGTGGGCACAGACGGACCTGCATGACGCGACGGACCAATTGAGGAGTGATGGCGGCTTGATAAGGACGAGAGGGATTTTGCCTTGATTCGGCACATTGGGATCTTGGTCGACACTTGGGATGGCATACCACGGCATAGCACATCGGTTTGCAGCTTGAGATGAATGACATGCCGACTCGCATCGAACCCGCCACGAGTGAAGCAGGAAACTCGCATGGGGAAATCAGGAACAGTTACCCCCTTGGGAAGCCCTCATCTCCCGGCAGGTGAGCAAAATCCTCCTCGTGACGATGCTTTGCCTCCTTGGTTGGAACCCATCCCCACCAGACCGGGGTGCGCAATCCCTAGTAGTAGGTATAGCAGAGTCCCATTTCGTTCTGTTCCCCTTGTCCATTGTTGTTTCTTTTCCCCGACCTCTCCTCCTCTCATGGAGGCTCGCCAGTCATTGCAAGCGCGGGTCCGGCCTAAAGCATCCTAACTTGCATCATTTCATATCCGATCCGATCTGCCAAATGCTTCTAAGAATACACATCCTTCCTTGCCCACGCCAGCCTGTGGGCAGTGGGTGGCCCTCCCCGGCGACCGCAACGGTTCGTTGGCGGCAAAGCAGAGCGCACCAGGCTTGGTCGAATTGCGGATGACCCAAACTAATTTCGCCTGCAAGATGACCTGCCGCCGCTTTCAGCCAGCGACCCCACGCCCCCTCGCCGCCCTCGGTAATGAAAATGGAGCGAGCGATGGCCCAGTCATCACAAAAACTTGTTGGATACCGCCGCCGTTCAAAATCTTGCGCCAGCCATCCAAAAACCCTCAGGTCTTTACCAAGTACCCCATCAATATTCACCTGGACATCCCTGCTCGGCTGATCAAGAAAGCATCTACGAAGATCACTCGAGGCCTTCTCTTCGGAAACCTGGGGTTGCCCTCTGGGATATCCAGGTTTGGGCAGTGCAGGGCACAATTGGAGAACGGCTCCGATGGATCCCGCAACAGGGATCACGACTCCGGAACTCGATATGCCCAACACAGTCGGTGACTGGCAGAAGGGGAAGGGGAAAAAAGAAACATCTGCCTGGATCATCTCGGCAGTTTCGCGCGCCACCGGAAAGTGTGGACATCAGCCGTCATCTGTCTGGTTGAGACTGGAGAGCGAATTTGCAAGTCCACTTCGTCTGGTAGTGTACATTGTTTCCGTCCAGATGGATGCTCATCCGTCAGTACCATTTCTGCCCGCCGTGAGGCAGCCATGTCCATTCCAGCGCCCATCTGAAGCTGGCCTTGTCCCGAGGCATAAAACGACGTAATGTCTCAAGATCAGGCCTAGCCCTAAGCCACGACCGTTGGAATAGAGCTGTTGGCCGGTAGGAAATTTCTCGGGGTGAATATCGGACACCGCATCAAAGGGCCGAGATGTCAAATGATCGGCTGAAAGGCCTCCAACGCGTCCCACCAGACGTGTTCTACCCGAAGCGTAAAGGAAGTGACACAAGCCGAGTCGACTCCGACGGAAAAAGCGAACAGAAAAGCAATCGCCGCAGCGATTGCGCACTACGAATCGTCAGCGGGAAGCCGGAGACATACTCCCTTGCTTGCTGGTCGCATTGATGCCGCTTCTGTCGCAAACTGGTCAATCAATTGGTTGTGCATTCCCACGCGCCCCCTGGCTTCCGGGAGGAGAAGGACCCTGGAGAGCAAACTGCCGTCAGCCACATACACGGGTCCTTATTATATGGGGCGCACCGCCACGTCTGCTTTTGACTGGCTGGTCGGCAGCCTTGCCCCCTCCCACCCGCCGCATTCCAATCAGACGTACCTCGAAATTTTCTGTCCCGACAGGGCAGATTTCAAGCCATCTACAGAGCAGTGAATCTTAACTACGCAAATTAACGTTCCTACAGCTTGGATCCCGCAATTCTTCAAGAGCTTATCATCATGTCGGCTGCGGAACCCCAAACCAACACTGCCGCTGGCAACAAATCTCTTGGCATGCGGAAGAATGGTATCTGATCAGCTCCATTCTTGGGCAACCTGGGCTTCGGTGAACTAACCCTGTCTCCCTTCCAGGCAAGCAATGGCACGAAACGAAAAGGGCTTTTAGGCCGACGTCAGGATTGACCTCATACGAGAAGCGCGCCAAGGACCGTGTTGCGATGGCCGCGATGAAGGCCAAAGAGAAAGAGATGAAGGACGAGAAGGAAGCAGAGCGCAAGGTGAGTTGCACCATCTGGGCTGTACTCTGTCACAGGCCGGCAAGGCTGACACTTGTTTCTAGCAACGAATCCAGGCCATCAAGGACAGAAGAGCCGCCAAGGAGGAGAAGGAGCGTTACGAGAAGATGGCAGAGAAGATGCACAAGAAGCGTGTGGAGAGACTCAAGAGGAAGGAAAAGCGGAACAAGCTCATCAACTCATGAGCTGCGTTGCGGGTAGACCGCTGTTGGGGCGGGCACTGCGAACGAATCTCGACGCCGACAACCTATCAGGAGAGGCAGCACCGGTCTCCCATGAACAGACACCGAAACATTTTCAGAGAAGTGAAGAAGGAGTCTGGTCTACCGCGCCCTATTTTGCACAGCTCGGCGAACAGAATACATGTTACAGGGGCTCATGCGAGGGCGAACGTTGTGCTAAAAAGGCGGCTCCTCCTCCTCCTCCTCCTCCTCGAGACACGAGGTTGCGACAAGAAGCGATATACAACAACGATACGGAGGCCAGGCTCAGGGCCGGTGGGTGAGGGGAGGGGGGGGATGAGCCAAACCTTCGAAAGCATATGTACTGTACGCCTGTACTACAGAAACGTAGCCCGATGAGGCTAGCCATCCGAGCTTTTTCAGTTGGTGTCAACAGGTCAAAAGGAGAAAAGAAAAGAAAAGGCCAGATGATGGGGTGGAACTGATCCAGACAAGGGGTTCGAATCATGGTCGCATAGTGTGCATAGACACAATAAGCGCATAGCATGAAGCCTCTTGATGTTATTTTTTCTTCTACCTCGTTATTGATTACAAGTATACAAAACCTTGTGAGCGTGCTTGTTGTGAAGTTCAGACGACGTTTCGTGACAATGGAGGTCCTCCCCCAAGGGGGACTGCATGTGAAAGTGCGTCATTGGCCGAGAGAGAGAGAGAGCGCACCGGCGGTCAACCAGCTTTCGCCTCGACACCGTGCACATTCCACCTCCACACCTTTCCACACCGCGTCCTTCCCTCCCATCTGCAAGGAAACAGCCACCAAGCAAGCCTGTCCATCGCCCGTCTATCAAACACACGCTCAAAAGCATTGACCGTCCCAACGGGGGGAGCCAAGGGGTGAAAGTTTACCTGGGCCCATCCCAAAAAGTGGTTGGTCGGCAGCTGCGCACTCACTGGCGCGTGCGGTTTGCGCGCGGCGGCTGTAGTAGAACGCCTTTTTTTAGTCGAACTCATCCGAAAGAGGGAGAGGGCTAGATACTGGTACAACAAGAGAAGAGGGGTACAAGAAACAGGGTGAAACCATGTCAGCCAACGACGGCTTCGGATTGCCGTCGGCGTCGGCCTCGACGTTGGCGACGGCAGTCGCCCTCGGCAACTCTCTCAAAAACCACGACCACAGCGGGAGTAGCAGCAGCAGCAGCAACAGCAGCAGCAGCAGTAGCAACAGCAATAGCAACAGCAGCAGTAGTCAAAACCACAGCAAGAGCGGTCACGACGAGAGGAGACCCTCCGCACTCGCCACCGCAGTAGCCCAACTCCCCGCTCGGCGACCGCGGCACCAGGTCACGCGCTCCATCACCGAGTTCTCGCCGCCGCTCAGGATGCATCGACACCGGCACAGCCATCACCACCACCCGACGCAGCACGCGCTGCACCTCAACGCGCAGAGCCGCCGGGACAGGGACAGGTTGCTGCTGCTGGACGAGAGGGCCCCGGGCCCCGGCGCAGGCGGGCGGAGCTCGCTTGACATGCCGAGGTCGGAGCATGTGACGCCCAGCAGGACCCCGGATTCGAGCCGGAGGACCAGCGCGCTCGTAGGGCCGATGATTGGAGGCGGGGAGAACCCAGCCCTGACCGCGTCGCCCAGGAGGACGAGAAAGGTCGACAAGGCAGCCGTGCTATTGGAGGAGAAGAACCGGACGGCAAGCCGGGTCACGTACGTACACACACAACGCCCCTTTTTTGCGGGTGGACTATCAAAACCATACATGGAAGCTGACTCTCCTTCGTTTTTCCTCGTCACAGGGGCCTGAAGAACTCACTGGTCGAGCTCAGCGGTTTCTCGACGGCAACGACGCGGCGGCTCGACGAAACATACTACTCAGTGCTGGAGAAGAAGAGCATGCTGCAGAGCACCGTCGCAGCGATTCAGGAGCTGGCGGTGGCCTCGCGGCAGCTGACGGGCGAGTTCGAGGAGCAGGCTGAGCAGATGGCGCGCGACGTGGCGGCGCAGCTCGACCAGTTTGGGCAGTTCGGCGAGCAGGAGGCGCGGATCGCGTCTCTGCAGGGCCGTGTCGAGACGGGGCGGGCGCGGATCCAGGGGCTGAGCGGACGCGTCGACGCCGTGAGGCGGCGCATCGAGGGATGGGAGAACGCAGATCGCGAGTGGCAGGAGAAGACGCGCAAGAGGCTGCGAACTATATGGATCGTCATGTCGGTCGTGTTCGCCGTGCTCATCGTGCTGTTCGTCGGGGCGCACTACCTCGGCGGTGACAGCGGCGCCGAGATCGGGGGCGGGACGGGCCTCAAGGGGCTCGAGAGGGGGGTCAACAGGAGCGCCGGGGCAGGGGGAGGACCTCTGCCGCCGCTGTGGGAGGACCGGAACGAGAGGGAGGAGGAGGACCGGCTGAGGGTGTTTGACGAGCTGTGAAGACTCGTGGGGGGGGCGTGGTATTGTTTCTCTCGAGACTGCAGGGAAGGATGGAAATCGCATTACGGCCAACGCATACTAATATTTGATACCCCGGAAAGAAAGACGTTTGCTACTTGACCACTCTCCCGCTTATCGCCCGTGGGTGTGTTGCTATCCCAAGCCAGGGGCAGAATCCCCCATGCGTGTTCTGGTGTACCACTCGCTGCTACAGTCAACTTCGTCCCCCCTGAGCATAAACCACAATAGGAGTCTGCACATCAAGGGGGGTCTGGTGGGATATTTGCGATTATATTGACCCTTTGCCAGTGTTAGGAGGGAATGTACGTAAGGCTCTATGTAGTTTATCTCCTACTTTGCTATCCTTGGTGGTCATCTAGATGGTTTCCTTTTCGATACTGACATTTCGGTGGGAATCGTGAGAGCTACGTGATTTATATCTTCCTTTGAGCCCCTGGAGAAAACTCTCAGTCCGCCTCCTCGTAAATCTCTGGACCGTGTTAGCCCGCTGCTGCTTCGATCGAGCCGAGAAACGCTTTTAGAATGTCGTTGGCGGCCAGATGGACCCGCCAAGTCGAAGGGTCCTTTACAGATGCCTGCAAACCACGTCAGATCGGGGAACGTACGTGGCTACTCCTCCAGGATCTGAATTCCTGACGAGCCGCTACGATGAAACTTCGTCGTCACCCATGGCCCTCCTCGTATGGACTGCCTCGTCAGATGAACGGAGATGGTTGGGCAGTGAGCTATATGGAAGCCCGAACAGAAGGAGGGCCATGCCATTCGTCGGCTCTCCAGATAGCTTTGGAGGCAAAGCAAACGAGGGTCGTGAATCAATGGAAATGTGGCTCAGATGGCTAATTGATGGTTTTCCGGGAGGTCGGGAAGCGACAGACAAATGCATCAAGAATGCTGATTGCTATCTATCTCCGTTCTACTATTTGCTAATGAGTGTATACACACACACACTTGTATATATATACACATACATAGTGTTATCCAAACAACGAGCAGCTGTCTTTTTTGATCCAAGAGAGCACACTGTTTAGTTCCTATATTTGTAACGTTTCATAACTCAGGATGTTGATCAGCCAAGTCGTCGAAGACGACCTGGTAGCCTGGCCTATACAACGCTCATACTCACCCAGTGAACCCGAGATCAACAGTTCGAATAGAGGACCTGCCAGATGGAGAAGGGGCCAGCAATCCTTGCAAGATGCAGAATGCTGTAAAGGCTTCCGAGTGAATAGCATGTCGTGTGTTTGCATAGACCCGCCGCAGAGAGCGGGTTTGGATTGAAATGACCTCAACCCGTTGAAAAGGGGGGCTCCTGCAGTCACCATCAGCTTGCGAGTTACGGAGCATGAGTGGCATTGATACGGCATGGAAGGCACTCCGAATACCTGGGCTACCGTGTTTCGTTGGGCCCGTCCAAAGTCCACTAAGCTGATCTGCATTTTTTGGGGGTTTTCCCAGCTCGACATATTGTATGTAGTGGCGGTGGTGTTCTGGTCTTGTCACTCGTATCTCTGGCTGTCTCGACTCATCTTCCCCTCTGCTTCGAGTGCCGGATATCGTATCCGGTCCAAGGCGCCATTCACACGTGTCTAAAGAAGTCGTTCACGGACGCGCTGTGTCGACGACTTCGCACTTTTTTTTCGTTCGTGATAAGGGCGTGGTTATTCATGACACAGACCAGCTGGTGATTTGACTGGAACAGCCGGATCTAGGGTTTGTATGAGGCTACGTGAACGTGCGAAACGAAACGTCTCACTTGACTTGTTTGGATCAGCACACAAAGCCGTACCGAATACGGAAACACGCGGCAATGAAGTGGCCAACCTCGGCCAACCCCATTCCCCTTGGAGAAGCTCTGGCCCCTCCATTCTGCCCCGACGAGGAAGCAGAAACGGACACGAGTGGATGACGCTGACAGATTGCCATCACCCCATCTCGTCATCGAAGCTAGCTGGTCGGTCGGTCAGTAGTAGCCTGAGTAATCCGGAGTCATCAGGCCAGCAGGTCACTAAACTGGTTGAAATGTTATGCGGCACAGGTACATGACATGCCGTCCCGGCGAGCCTGGGGACCGGGCAGGCCGAACGGCGGCTTAAATGAGAATTATGCACATCGATGGTCCCCGTTTCTTTCTTCTCCTTCCTTACCCCCTTTACGATAATTACCCGAATGGGCGCCGCTCCGGAAAGCCGACGACGCGACTCCACACCCGTGCGTCCACGTCCTAAGCGTCCCGGCAACCCGTATGTAGCCGGATAGGCACATGTATTGCAGCGTTGCTAGGCGGAGTCCCGTCACTTCTAGGCTCTCCAAGCGGGTTTCGTTTCATGAACCGAATGAAGGCTACGCCTGGACCCAGACGTAGAGTTTCCGCCGGCCGCGGGTTCCAGAAGCACCGTCATGGTCGAGCTTCTGTCGTATCCGGGGGGGTACGGCGTCAAATGGGGGTTGGCGCGTGTGGAGACGGAAGAGCACGAGGAAAACTACTCTGTCTGGCAGGAATCAATAACGAACTAGCTAGGTTGCTAGGTATGGCTGTGTAAAAGTAAAATTGAAAAAACAGGCCAACGCAACGAACGGTCGGATCTCTGTTGGCAAGTGGATACGGTGGGGGCAGGAAATCGTTGTAAATCATTGCATGATCAAGAACAAAAAGAAGAAGAAAAAAAAAGGGTACAGTGTCGAGCGGATTTCACCCGGCGCTAGGCGTCGATTGTCCTGTACGACAGCTCGGTCTCCTCCGGAGGCAAGGCCCAAGGGAAGTCGATGGCGACAACGATTGCGCGTCTGCGGGCTTGGCCATGGCAAGGCTTGAGGCTGACTGGCCTTGACAGCAAACAGTTGTCTCCGTAGTGGAGATAGGGCTTTTCCCACGCTTGTTTGGCGGTTTGCCTAGCTTGGTTTACGTACCATGTAATATTATCATACTGGTGTTGGATTTGGGGGCCGGTGAGTCAACGAGAGCGATACGGCTGCATGGTTGCACGGTGCATCTTCTGCAAGTCATGATCACTGAGGCAAGGGACTGCCCTGTCGCCGCACTGGAACATGAGAGAGAGAGAGAGAGAGAGAGTGTGTGTGTGTGTGTTTCTGAAGGTGGGAGAGAAACATCAGTTGGACACAGACAAGTCTACTACCGGTATAGACGTGATGCAGTACCGAGAGTTCAGAAGACAGGCAAGTCGAGGAGGTAATGTGGCTGAAGTGTGTGAGTCGTGTCATGGGAATGACGGCTGCACACGACGAGGTGAAGGGCCGTCCTGTCCCTGTCTTGAGTCGATGTCTCGGCATCCAGCTCCCGGCCTAATGATTGGGTGGTAGACCTGAGGAGGGTGCCCAGCGACGTCATGCACGCCCCCCATGGTCAATATTCGACAGCAACCAACTCTTGCCGACAATCGTCACCGCCACGCTCTCTCGGCGTCACTCGGGCCTCAATACTTGGGAGTTTAAGGTATTTGTTGCACTTGGAGGGGGCTCGGCTTGCTGCGGTGCGGTGGCTAGCCTCATTCGAGAAAGACGCAACTCAATAGTCATGCGCAGTCTGTAGCCCGCACTGCATCCATATTGGGAACATGAAGGGAAGGGAAGGAAGGATGAAGGAGTAGACAGAAGGAGCTTTTTGGGCTGTTGTTAGTCGTTACGCAACTCAGTCATCGCTGACGCCTAAATCAACTACCGTACTCTTCCCACCACTTTTTGTCCCTCTCTTCACCCCCGGAGGTTCTACGGATCTCACGCTCACTCTTACCTACTAGCATCGATTAAGCGTCACCTTGCATCACTGGCAAGAAGCCATCTTGCAAAAGTAGTACCTTGAAGTCTAAACAAGACACTGGGGAGAGGAGACTGGAGCCCAAAACATTCCTCGTCCTTTTAGGGTATCTCGGCGTGTTGCGGAACGCGATGCCTTGTTCAAGCAAGCATCCCCCCCCTGCTTCGTTTTAGCTGCTTTGGCCGGCCGGTGTTGTTTTTTTGCCCCCACCCCTTGTTCCGGCCAAACGACGCTTGTGTGCCGTCTCCCCGAGCTAAGATATCCAGATATCCATTGCGCTGGGCTGACGCGAGAGGAACCAAAGCATGCCAATCTTTCTGCCCCCCTCCCTTTCCTTCGCCTAGGTAGGCGCAGCTGACTTTTGCGGTTGCTGCACACCCACAAAGGTGTTCAATGACAGCCCTCGCTTCACAGCTTCTCCGACCTTAGAGTTCATTTCGTCTCGTCTTTCTCCGTGTCATCGTGCCGTGGCCCCTCCGTTGACTGGCCCCGGACGCCCGAAAAGACCCTCGATAACCGCTGCAAGTAAAGAGCTAATGAGCGAAAACAGGGAAGAGAGCATCTGAATCCAGGGCAGATGAGAGAGGGGCTAGGGACACAAACGAGTAAGCCCCCCTCCCAAAGACGGCAGAAACAGCACGCGGGGGGAAAAGCCTAAGCGGTTTGGGCAATAGCCTAAAAAAAGCCCTTTGGCCGGGTTCCCCCTTTAAAATCACCATAAACCCGCGGAAACGGCACACCCGCAACAAGGACATTGACTGCCAGCTACTTCGTCCACTACCTACCTACCTACCTACCTACCAACGCCTCACTGCTGCTTGCAAGAGCCGTATTCGGCAGAAACGCCCTTGACTACCTACCCCGCCATACGCGCGTTACGTTGAGTGACCCGACAGCCAGCGCCCCCACTGAAATCTGGGCCCGCACCCGGCACCCCCCGGGCCCCTGCCCATTGGATCTGCCGCGCACCTTGGGTATAGGTACCTGGTAGTGTACGGAGTACACTACCTTAACTTAGCACACCACCTACCTGCCTACCTTGCCTCAAGTACCTCCATAGGTGCCTAGTGCGCAGTCACCATGTACCCTGCGGGTCTTGTACCGCTCTAAATTGATTATTACGTCGGGTCCCTCTCTGTCTCTCGCTCGCATTCGTCCCAGCTGTTGCTCTGACGCCAGTCAGCTTGTCCACTACCTCTTGCGACAA